CACGGAAGGTGTCCGTGCACAATTGGGAACCAGGTGACAGGGCCTGGCTGCATTGCCCGCAGGCACCTTTGGCTACGTCGCCTAAATTGTTGAAGCCGTGGCGGGGACCCGTGGAGGTCGTGCGGGTTGCACGCCCCCAGTGCGTTCAGATAAAATGGGGAAAACGCCGTTGGTACGTCCACCCCTCCCGACTGAAACCGTTCTCGCCTCCGTATGGCCTCCCCTTGTGTCATGAGGGCCGAGCATGTGACGTGACCAGCGACCCTGAGGGGGAATTGTCTTTGCCTGCTCCTCACATGTCTCCGCCTGATCCGCTCCCAGGTGTCTCGGAACTGACAGTTGCCGACCATCGGCGGCCGGATCTTGAGCAGCCGGAGCCACCGGACGGTCGCCAACGTCCCGTCCCATACGACGGACCGGCCAGACGGACTCGCGCTAGGTCGCGCTACTTTGTGTGACCTGCCACGTGAGGAGTCGAGGCAGCCGGAGCGCCTCGGCACTGCGTTTAGTCACAGAGACACTTGGCGCGTTCGGTTTCCGGTGTTCGCTTTTAGTGTGTTCGTTTTCCGGTGTTCGCTTTTATTGTGTTGTTCGTCGGGCTGTATATTGCTTCATATTTAAGTGTTGTGTTGTGTTGTTGTTGTTGCGTTACGGGGCACACTGAGAGGTGGAGTTTCTTTGTTACTGCATTGACGTTAGGTTGTGTTGTTGGTTAACAGCCGGGCCGGCTGCAAGCTATGTGGGAGGGGGTGATGTAGAGGTGATACGCACTGGGATTAGAGATCGTATGCCAGCGCGTAATGATTGGCTGTGTAGGTGGTGACGTGCGCTGACGGTGGAGGATCAGGGGTCAGCGCGGGGTCGTGGGTTACGGGGTACTGATTGGCTGTGGACGGGTGACGTGCTGAGAGGGAGTGATCGGGTGGCAGCGCGGTGTGATTGGTGGAGGAGTGTTAACACGCGCTGGGGAAAACGGATCGTAGAGAGAGTGCGTCGTGATTGGTTCATTAAGGAGCGATGCTCACGTTGAAGTACGCATCAGCTCCGCCTCTCGTGAGCAGGGGCTATAAAAGGGGATGCACACAGGCGTGAGGGCAGTGTGTAACCAGCGAAGAATGAAGACGGGGATGAAGACCTAGGGCCCTGCGGTACCTAGTCCCGCTGTCCTAAGGGGACCGGGACTCTGTGTAACCCAGAGGCGAGTGTAGTGTGTGTAGCCAGAGGCGTAAGGTCTACACGAGCCGAATGCAGTGTATTGTGTAGCCAGGGACATAGGGTCTACACGAGTCGAGTGTATTGTGTAGCCAGGGACATAGGGTCTACACGAGTCGAGTGTATTGTGTAGCCAGGGACATAGGGTCTACACGAGTCGAGTGTATTGTGTAGCCAGAGGCGTAGGGTCTACACGAGTGAAGGGTATCGTGTGTAGCCAGAGGCCTAGAGTTTACACGAGAGTAGTGGAGTGTGAAGTCGGAAGAAAGGAGACTACACGTTGTATTTTGATACGTAAAGATTTAATAAAAGTGTGTTCCCGTCAAGAAGTTCCTGCCGTCAATTCCCATACTTTAGCTGTATTGATCTATATACACATTGTGCATGTCAAACCATTGCTGGATGAGGACTTTCCCATGACTTGCAGGCAGTGAGGGTTATTTTGACCAGTCAGTATTTACGTCCAGTGAGTGCGGTTTGTTGAAGGTGGGAGTACAAACGGTGGATGTTGTTGGACTTGCACTCTCCTGCCCACACCACCTATTTAAACCTGTTTCATGCATGGTGGTCACACAACCAAGCACTGTCCAGGCTCAACCATGCTTAGCTTCAATTATGATGGGAACCAGGCTCATTCTGGGTGATTTAGAGATAGGCATGTACACATGTGTATAGAATTGGATACTTTACATTAACAAGTGTGTAACGCTTTGAGGCAATTAATCGTTTTCTGCTTGAGTCGCACTCTGTAGACCCAAACTTGCAGTGAATGTGGGCTTCAGGAACCCAGCTTGGATGGGCTTCACACTCTGTGAAAAACAATTACAAGTTCCTTTACTTAACACCAAGGAACAGTCAATTGAGAACAGACGTCACCATTTTTAAAAGGCATGTGAATGTTTAAGTGGAAAGGAAAAAGGAAGACAGAGACTAAAATGGGCAGATATTGTCGGAAATGTAACCAGGAGGCGAGAGTATACCAATGTTACAGCAACATGGGGGCCCATGATGTGAGCAGTACAAGTTGAGGGGGTTCTAAAGGCTATTTAAAGGGCAAAGCGTCACATGTCACCCTCCTATGTTCCGAGGGCCATGCATGGTAGGTGAGTGGCAGTTGACTCACAAAATTAAACGTTTGATGATAATGCGTTGCAAGCGGTGCATTATCACAAATAACAAAATCACCAAGAAACACTGTGGCCATAACAGGAATTGAAACCATGCGACGTTTCAGGCAATGGTCCTTCTTGATAACAAGAGAGATCACCTGGTTGAGGTGTTCCTGGATGACGCACGCCTCTTCCAGCGCCTCCTTGGTTCCCCTGAACTCGGACACCATCTCATCTGTAAGGGCCAGTTCACAGCGAGTTTCAGTAATGAGGTGGCCGGGCAGCAAGCATTAGGGGAGATCCGTAATGGCCATGTCGGAGACACTTGGCCCAGCAATTGAGGATTTGGGAAGTCTGGGTTTCATCCTCCGGCGGTTATAAACACACGTTTAGATTATTTTCGCTGATATAAATGTCCACGTGATAAGCCACTTTGTTGAGCTATCGTTTGTGGCCAGGTAGCTTTTGAAAAAGAAGCGAATAGCTCAATCTTTACCTGGTAAGATAATAAAAATTGTTTAGTTTTATTTGTATACATTTTTGTAGTGATTTGTTTACCTTTCCCATACTTTGCACTCCTATCGTGTTTTTGTATTGTTTGTTGTTGTAATGTTCTGACCTGCCTCTACTGGAAATGTGCGAACAATTGCTTTATAGCTCATCGGATTCCCACAGTGTAAAAACATTTACACTATGAGACCTCCTTTACCAGTGGCAAAATATAGTAATAGGTTTTTACCCTTTCAACTGGTACAAAAACTGACACCTTTATACAAGGGATCATGTTTGCAATAACCACAACACAAGCAGTCAAAATGCGTCATCTGGTCCAACACCAATGGAGACTAGGCTCTAAGAAAAGCTGTCTCGGGTGTGGACCAATCAACTTCAAGGACAGTGCATATCATTAACATTATCAGAGTAGTTTATTTTTGTTTGCATTTTGACTGCTTGTGTTGTGGTTATTGCAAACATGATCCCTTGTATAAAGATGTCAGTTTTTGTACCAGTTGAAAGGGTAAAAACCTATTACTGTAAAAACATTGTTTAGTGAACTGGTCTCAGCTCAGTCAGAAATGTCACTCCACTGCTGGATGAGGGCCTCCCCCCACGCTGTCGTTCATCGCAGTTATTTAACCACAAACTAAGGCGGGCGTACACGTGGTAGCATATAATAATTGTACAACAGCTGTTGTTGCTTCACTACCCGATGTTGCCCCACACCAGCCTATAACACCTGTGATGCACGGTGACAACGCACCCCGAGCACTAGCCAGGCTCAAGCGCATTTCGGGCCTAGGAGTTTCACGAGCACAATTATGGGACACTTCGTGATAAAAAAAAAAATGCAATGCGTGAGTTAATGTACCGATGGATGTACTGGCCCCCGTCATGGGAACGTGGCATTGCTGTCCGCTCACCGAGGGTTCCGCAAAGGGACCGCAATTCCCGCAGCGCGGCCCGCGTCTCCTCCAACTCGGCGTTTCCCGCCATCTCCACCACGCGAGTAATCGATTCCTCCTCTTCGGGACGTCTTACAACTACTGCAGTGTCGGTACGCATTGAGTACATTACGATCGCGACGTCGTAGAAGTGCCATAGATGAATAGTATATATATGTATTACATTTATTACGATACGTACATGGAATCGTGCGTCTAAAAATCAATAAAATCCGATTTACCTACGTTGTAAGTAAAATACATCAATCGATTCCGCACGTAAATCGATTCTAATGCTCAACAGTTCAGCCGTATCCATACGAATGCATTATTTAACAAATAATTTACAATTACAGTATATACTCTATATTTAAACCCCAATGTATGCATATGTATGGTTCTAAACGCGAACAATGCAGTTATCTTCAAATGTAAAGGAATTGTTCGTTGGGTTGGTAGTGGTACAACAAGCAAGTGTGTGGTGCTCTGCACGTGAAACATTAAGTCTCCAACTCTTGTTATCCACTCCAGTTTTCCGACTCGTTGTTTATGTGCTATGAAGGGCCATTGCGCGAAACGTCACTTATTATCTTTTCTTGTAAGGCCAGTTATAAATCAACACAATTGTCAATAATATTGTGCTATACAGAAGGGCCATCGGCGCGAAACTTCTCTTTTTCAAATATATGTATTTGATTTTAAGACAAGAGTGTTATTACAGTACTAACGAATTGTGTTGAGTGTTTTAATCATTGTGGTTATACAACGCAGCAAAAGCGGCATCGCCACCACATAGCGTACTGTACCGGCATTAATGTCAAAACTCCGCCCACTGCTGGAAGCCCCGCCTCCACATTAGCGAAGCCCCGCCTCCTGTTGATTGAAGCCCCGCCTCCTGCTGATTGAAGCCCCGCCTACTCATTATTGAAGCCCCGCCTCCTAATTATTGAAGCCCCGCCCCCTAATTATTTAAGCCCCGCCTCCTGCTGATTGAAGCTCCGCCTTCTAATTATTGAAGCTCCGCCTCCTAGCGATTGAAGCCCCGCCTCCTAATCATTGAAGCCCCGCCTCCTAATTATTGAAGCCCCGCCTCCTAGCGATTGAAGCCCCGCCTCCTGCTTTTGAAGCTCCGCCTTCTAATTATTGTAGCCCCGCCTCCTAGCGATTGAAGCCCCGCCTCCTCCTCATTGAAGCCCCGCCTTTTCATTGAAGCCCCGCCTCCTCATTGAAGCCCCGCCCTAGTCCCGGAAGCACCGCCTGCCTGACATTCATCCCATCACGGCTGTGGCACTGGGCAGGAGACGCGGGACCCGTGGGCAATGTGGAAGGTGCTTCAGTAACAACCCCCCCCCACTACCCCGACGCATGGCCTATGTTGTGATTATAACAGTGATAATCTTGTATGCAGTGCTGTGAACAATGTCAGATGTAACAATGGCAAGCCGCTGTGTATTGCCAACCGGTCCCGCGCTCTGACCAGCAAACACGTGCGGTCAAACCACCCCCGCCTGCATCCAGCAGCGGGCTGATCGGCGGCCCTAAGTCGATGAACTCAAAGCATTCCGTGTAGTCGTGGGCTTAGCCGGCTTTGTGCACCAGTGGGATCGATGCGACATTCTGTGCCGTAAAAGTTGTGAGAATTGTGGTTCGATTGAGGCCCCGGTTCGCCCTGTTCGTGGTTAATTCGCAAGACGTGGGAATGTGATTCGTGGCGTTCTTAAAAGTTAAAACTGTTGTTTGTGTTATGGACATCGAGATTATTGTAGTTGGTAGTGAATGGCAAAGTTGAAATGGCAACTGGTTCATCCGAAACTCGTTTTCAATACCACCATCTATTTTTTAATTAGAAACATTTAAAACGTCAACAAAATTTTTGTCATTATTACCATCATCGTCACTATAATATCAGTACTACAGTGTAATAATAATAATGTTCAACCCATTGTCAATCTGTTACTGCATAGAGGCCTGCCGTGTCACAGTCACCGGACTTGTTTGGCTATACTGTAATGTGTAATGTACTTACAACGCTGGTAAGATGTTAACTATCTCGCCTGATATGCAGGAGTACGTGGGTTCGATCCCGACTCTGACGCCTGTACGTTTGGAGTCAGCGTGGGCACGTAGATTTTTCTCTGGGTCCTCCGGTTTTTCTGTTCACATTTAGAATCCACGTGCGTTTTGAGCATTTGGCTGCTATAAATATACACGTGGATATGCCACTTAGTTGACCTATCATTATTGGCCAGGTCGCTTTTGAAAAATATCTGTAGGTAAAAAAAATTGTTTCGTTTAAAAGTGTTTTTGAATAATGTGTGGAGGTGGTTTGAGGACCGGTTGAGATACGACTCACGAACTGATGTTAACTGTGGTCAGGAAGCGAACTCTTCTTGCCGAGTTCGTAGTGCGGTGTGTGAATGATTTTTTAATCTCTCCATAATGATAAATACTGTGTAATCACTAACCATCACTGTTGTCATCCTCACCATCACTATCATTGTCACAATCGTCTTGCTCATCACACTGGACTTGTCATTGTGTGTTTGCTATGTTTCACTCGACACCCAGAAAACCCTTGCAAACGAGATGTTCCATCTCTTGGGATTATCCAGGTGAACATTGTAATGTATAACAAGAATGCAACCGTTGAAACATTAGGGATATGCAATGCTGTGCCATGTATAATGAGGATCATTAGAACGCTAACTCTTTCCAAACGCAGTATTTACACGTGGGATATGACCCAGGAACCTTGAGGCCATCACTGTATTCTTGATTACCAGCCACGGCTAATGTCAGTGGCGAGTGATATCTGAAGAACTCCGAGCTCCCGCTCACGCCCCCCAAGTCCCCACCAAGTTTATTTTCTTTTAACAAGATGAGTACTCAAGAGGCCAGGATTAATCTCATTTACAAGAGTTACTGAAATAAAAACACAACTGCATCACGTGAGAAAATATTTCAGTGCTGGCTCTAGCGATGGGACCTCTGAGCTACCCGACGACCCCTAAAACGTCCAGAGTTTAACGCAGCAAATGATCGGCACCAACGAGAATTTTTTTAGAAGGAAATTGCATTCGGACCAGTAAAAACGGTTGCATAAAGTGCATGAATGTGGCCGGACCTCAAGATGCTGTACAATGAATGGGGAAAAAAGGTATTTTCAAGGGGTCCGAGAAAGGAGAAGCAATTATTAGTGATTAATTCAATTGATACGATACTCATTTTGCCCAACAATTGCAAATTATTGGATAAATATTTTTTATAAGTAAAAGCAAATGTTAGCCAATTTTTTAATCTCCGATCTGAAACCCCTTCGCGGAGGCTAAAAAGGCCGGCGCCTCATCGCAGCGAACACGACGGCACGCGTCGCCACGACCGTAATTAACGTTCAACCTCACTCTGACCAGCATGGCGACATATTGTCAAACAACCCTCGTAACCGACACGGCTTGGGGAGGACTTAAGCAGTGGATAGACAAAGGGCTGTGAGCTATGGAAGAGTGGTCATCAGCCATGGGTGGTTTCCCACCATGACCTCTGTGCAGACTTGGACCTAATCAAAGGAACATAGCATGTTTGTGCTTCGTGTCCCTGTATTTTCACAGTACGTGTGGTTTGTTTCTGACTTTGATTCTGCGACTTGCTGTTTTGTCCAAAATACACTTGTCGCAAGTGAAACATGCTGTCGGAAAGCAGCACATGAATTCAATTACCTACAATCACCGCAATGCAAGACCCTTCTGGAAATCGGTCTTAATCAATGGAACAATGAACGTGGAACACACGATACATACGGTATAAATTAAACGGAACAAATGGGAGACGATAATAATTATGAGACAATGTACAACACGGACAATACACAAGATACAACAAATGAGACAACATAAAAGAGATGATACAAACGGGACTGAACAAATGAATCAGACCTTAGATAATACAATGCACCAAACTAATCACAAATCAGATCAAGAAAACTATAACTAACTTTCAAAAAATATATATAATTGATTCTTGCGGACAGCATGACTATCCATCATCCATCGTTTCTCCCCAGCTGATCCTGCTGCTAATCCCTGCCCCCGCCCGCCAGCTACGACCAAGCCTACACCAACCCCACCTTAACCTTTCTCACCTGTCCTAACTGTCACCATAACTACACCAACACTGATAATAGTTTTTTTACCCTTTTATCTGGCAACAAAACTGACACCTTTTTTACAAGTGAGGTTCCAATGGTACACCAACACTTTCAACAACCCCAATCTTTATGTCATGCACTATCACCTTATGTACAATTTTATAATTGCTGTGAAGTGCCTTGGAATAAGGCGCTGTATAAATCTAAACAAGCTAAGAGGTATAGGCGGCCGGCTGTGCGCATCGCCGCTAACTGCTCGTTTATTGCCCCCTTCCGCGAGACAGCAGCGGCTGCGCGAGGCGCTGCTGGTGTTGGGGGGTGGTGTCGCCATCTTCGCCGGGCACGGCACCGTCTCGGGCGATGAGCGGTTCTATCGCGAGCTGCTCATGCCGGCGCTGCGTCGAGTCGTGCCGCCTGAGGCGGCGCACACGTTCTCCATCCGCCTGCTGGCGCTGGGCCTCGGCCCTCGCCTCCACCCCACACGGAACGACGGCCCTGCGCTGGTGAGGTCCGGCGCACGTGTGGGAGCGGTCAGTCCGCCGTCGATCTGCCGCCACACCGCCGACTCGCCGTGGTTGCGTTGAACAGGGGGGTGGGGAACCGACGGGCCAAGCGCAAACCTTCGAACCTCATTCCGTTTGGCCCAAAGGGCCATAATGTGAGGTCTACCACTCGAAATGGCCCTTCAAATCATAATTGACCTGACGAGCATGGCTTCTAATTTTCGCGTTGCGCTCGGTCGCTTTTGTCACTGAAAGGGCCTCTCGTATTCACAGAAGTGGCTGCGTTCATGTATGGTGGCCTGCTAAAAGTATCTTAAAAATCCTATTTGTCTAATTAAGGAAAAGGTTCCCTACTTCATGGCTTAGCGGCATCACAGTGGCTCTCAGTACTACGATGACCCCTTGCCATCGTGGCTTTGGCAGCACTGACTGTGGATGACCTGTGTTGACGGCGTGATGCTCGGGATGGACTACGTGGGAGGTGCGGTATAACTGTACGACGACGACGGTGGCGATGATGACTTCGCTCTGCGCCCTCGTCCCCACAGGAGACGCGCGTGTTTGGCCGCACGTTCGCGAACCCCGTGGGCATCGCGGCCGGCTTCGACAAACATGGCGAGGCGGTGGACGGCCTCTTCCACCTGGGCCTCGGCTTTGTGGAGGTCGGCAGTGTCACTCCGCTCCCGCAGCCCGGAAACCCCAAGCCCCGCGTGTTCCGGTTGAGCGAGGACAGCGCAGTCATCAACCGGTGTGTCGGGACTACTCCCCGCTGGCCGCTCCCCTCCCACCCCTGCCGCCCCCTCGCTGTACGGATTTAGTATCGATACGTCTCGTGTGGATCTTAGTCGTGGGGATCTTTTAGTTTTGATTGTAGTTGCGTATCCTCCGTCGGTCACCGAGGTTGCTGGAGCCTCTGTCGTAGTGTCACAGGATGAGAGATATTTACATTAATAAATGGAAATTTAAGAGCGGTGTTTTCTTTGGACATCTTATGTAGCCAACCGTGCGAATCGGAGGTACGGGGAAGGCGACGTCACATAACTACTTTTGAGGTTCAATCAGTTGACTTGTTATCCACACTATGCGGTACTCCACTATAAAATTTGTTCATCACATTAAATTCTAAATGAATACACAACCACAACTCGGTCAGTGTGAGTCTATGGGCTTCCTTGTGAGTCGTTGGGCCTCTGTGCGATTATATGGGCCTCTATGCAAGTCATTGGTGACCAGGCTGAGACAATAAACTCACTCCACTTGAGGACCCAGTTTAATCACACAGGCAGCTGAAATCCTGAAGTGAACCCAGGATCTCAGTGGTACAGCTGGGTGTTGATTGCAGAGCCATTATCTCGGTCGGTGGATCACACAAATGTTGAGAAACTTTCTTCCCGTGTGCGTAAATGTGTCATACCCTGGCTAGCCAAGAGAATGCAGTACAGCAAATGTAGACACCCACCTGTTCCATCTGCATGGGATAGAGTGCTCCCTCGAATGTGTGGGTTTCTCCAGGTGCTCCTTTTTCCTCCCGCATGTAAGTACTTATAAGTTGACTGGTAACACCTTGATACACTCTTTTCTCCTATAAAGTTGCAGTTGCATTCCTAAAGAACACCTCGTTATGGGAAAATGGCGTTAGAATAAATAATATAAGGTAAAGCACAGTTCGCGATAACACATGAGTTGCGTATGCAGGCTGAACAAAGACTGAGGCGCATGGGTAGCATCTAGAAGCATCCAGCAGCATCCCGCCTTGTGCGATGCTACACCTCGGCAGCCGTCCAACTGCTTATTCCTACTAGCACAGCGTAGTTCTGTTCACTCAATTGTGTTCTATCCAATTCGCGTCCGCGTTATTAAAACAATGTGCTTCCTAATACATTAACCGCGTTAGATCCAATTCACGTTATGAAGACACACGTTTTCAGAGAAGAGGCGAAGGGGGAGGAATTTGGCTCCAGTTCACTACCTGCTACTGATTTCCCGCTCGTCTCTGGTTCCTCTTCGCTCTTCCGAGTCATCTGTGCACGGCATGTTACGAGTTCAAATGATTTTTTCCGAACCTCTTGAGTCGCCTCTAGCAGCACTGACGCTGTCTCTGCTTTGCCATGCCCCTTACCCCGCAGGTACGGGTTCAACAGCGACGGGCACGAGGTGGTGGCGGCACGTCTGGGGGCACGAGCGGACGCGCAGAAGGAGCTGTCTCGAGGTGTGTGTGTGTGCGTGCTTGTGTGTAGGGCACTCGCGTGTGAGTGCTGCAGTCTTCGTACTGCTCTCGGGATTTAAACGAATAGTAACTATACTTTTTCCCCAATTTCGTTTGAGTTTTGTGATGGACTGCCCGTTCAGCACTTTCACAGACCAGCGCATCGCCATGAGCTTGAGGATATCGAAAAGTAGATGTTACAGATCGACTTGTAACAACACGTAAGGTGACCTTTTAATATCGACACACTAGGGGGCGCTGCTCTTTCTAAAATGTTGATGGTGGTGCTGCTGATGATGGTTGTGTTTTTAATGATAAATTTGATGATAAAAATTATTATCGTTATCATTCTGTTGCTGATGATGATTATGGTGGTAGTAGTAGTCTTTTTGAATGATGATGATCGTGGGCTAAATCAAGCCCTGACCGCCTCCAGTTTTACACAGCCTCACACCTTCACCCTCACACTCGCTTCCATCGCACGCGATGGTATGGTGATGATGGTTATGCATCAGATGATGATGACGACGATGATGGTAACAGTGGTGGTGTTTACATCATTAGAACTCCTTGCCAGTACCAAAATATAATAATAGGGGTTTTCCCCTTTTTCTGGCAACAAGACTGAAACCTTTTTTACAAGGATTCATAGCTGCATTTACTGCAAGTATGATAATATATGTATTGTCCTTGAAACTGATTTGTCCATACCAGGGACAGCTTTCGTTTGAGCCTCGACCCAATTGGTGCTCGACCAGAGGACGCCAAAAGGCGTACAGCTCAAAGACAATGCACTATCAAAGTAATGAGGGCTCGGGGTGAGCATCTACATCATGAGACTTCCTTTACAAGTACCAAAATACAATAGGCTCAAAAGAAAGCCGTTTCTGGTGTGGACCAATCAGTTTCAAGGGCAATGCATGTACTATCATCGTGTTTTTTTGTTGTTTGCATTTTGACTGCAAGTATTGTGGTTAATGCAGACATGAATCCTTGTAAAAAGGTTTTAGTTTGTTGCCAGAAAAAAGGGGAAAACCCTATTATTATAATGGTGGTTTTTTGACGTGATTGTGAGGGTTGGGTCCGTCGGGTCTGTCAGGTCATCTTTTCAACCCCTCATGCCAATCCAGCCCACGCGAGCTCCCAGCACACAACCACTCCTCAACGTGGCCCGACCGAAACGAAGAACCACCGAATTTTACTCATGAAACTTTTAACGAAAACACAAACAAACAAATTGCAAAACAATCAACCCGCTCGCGTCTTCCCCGAAAAGTGACGCAAACCGCACGTTGGGATCTCGACTCTGCAAACTCCTCGTGGCCTCGTGCCGGAGCGGCTCACAGCCTCCGACTCCTGGACTCTGATGCAGCAGCAGTTTGCAGCCTCAGACCCCTGAGCTAGAGTTTGCAGCCTCAAACTCCTGGTCTCCGATGCAGTAAAGACACGCCTGTCACTAGTTTGCAGCAGGGTGAATGCCTGGGAGACTCGTTGACTCTGTTGGCATCGAAGGCCAAAGGGTCACAGTTTGCAGAAATGTGGAGAGCTGGGAGGTTCATCACCGGCGAACTCTCCCTCCTTGAAAATGCACGGCGGTGCCGGGGCACGACCACCACCAAAACACCGCGATGGCCAGGAGTAGCCTAAATATCACTCTGCCTGAAACATTGAACCTGTTCATACACTCCCTGTACCAAACACTTTGCCTGTAACCCTGGAAACCTGTTGATACACTTCCTGTGTCAAACAATGTAGGTGAAAACTCGGCTCCAATACTCCCTCTCTGCCTGAATGACTCTGAAACTACTTGTAAAAATATTTCTCCTGGGCTGTCTTCTCTGCCTGCATAACTTTAAAACAACCTGTGAATAACGTTGCTCCAGGACTCTGTCTCTGCCTGAAAACTGAAATATAAAATATGATCATACGATGAGTGAGTAATGTACCTTTGAAATTAACATCTCAGAGATTACTTTATCAAGGTGCACCGGTTGAAATTTGGAAAACACCATTACCAGTTAATCAATTTATCTGAGGCCTTAAATATAACCAATGTAAAATAACTAAACCTATTTAATCGATATTGCCCCAATGCATAGCTCATGTGTGCACACCTGTATTATTGAATTCACATTTTTTTAAACCTGCTTTTAACATCTCTACACTCCCGTCCATCACTTATCAGCTCCTCTGGCTCAGCAGACTTCCGCACCCACGGATATTCTCTCCAGCTCTGCAGAAGATGGCACCTCGTCCGCTTTTTCCAGCCGAGGTCGGGCTTCCACGTGGTGTCAGGCCACAACTCTTGTGCGTGCCTCTCGCCCTCCCGCAGTCCTCGAGCGCACCTCATCGCCCCGAGGCACCAGCAGCTGACAGGGTCGAGTCGCCTGCCTCACGTTCCACCCTCTCAACATTCACTTTGAGGCAACCACGTGGTCGCGCCGCATGGCCACGCCATGCTCCCCGATGCTCGTCTCTCTCTTCTCTCTGGGACTCCTCCCCTATTGTCACTCTCTCGGGGCTTCTTTCTCTCATGTTAGGCTCCCCATCCTGCCCACGAGACACCTACCCCTCCCGCAACATGCAGCGCTGAACCGAGGAAGGGGCGGAATGAGGGGGAGGGCAGGGACGTGGAGAAGTGGCTCACAAGGGCAACTACAGTGATGTTGATAATGCATTCGATTATATAATATTGACGGGCTTAGTTAACCTCCAGCCACAGTAGTTTCTCACGATCGTCATCCCCTCTCTCCCCCTCCCACCCTCTGGCTCGCTCCGTCGCAGGTGGGCATCCCCTCGGCATCAACCTGGGCAAGAACAAGCTCTCGCCCAGCGCCGCGGATGACTACGTGGCGGGGGTGACGCGCTTTGGCCCGCTGGCCGACTACCTTGTGGTGAACGTGTCTTGCCCCAACACGCCGGGCCTACAGGTCCTTCAAGGATGCTCCGAACTCAGGGCCCTGCTGCAGCAGGTGACGACTGGTTGGGGTCACGGAGGGAGGGTCATTCTTGAGGTCATAGTCAGGGTCACGATAGAGGTTGGGGCCATCGTCACGGTCACTGCAGCAGTTGGAGTCGAAGTCGAGGTCAAAGTTGAGGTCGGCAGTCTGTGCGGCAACAGCACTTGCCTCAACAGTCTGTTTGGAGCGCGTGTACGTTTATGTACGTGTAATGAGCGACTTCCGTGACACGTCGTGTAGAGGGTACTTCTTTATTTACTCACACTGGGCACAACACAGGCCAACACTTGTTCTTCCTCACACTGAGCACAACTCTAGGTATTAACACATCTACTGGCTACACACACAGCCGATCACTCAGCGTGGTCCCATTGCCCCCACTCGGCTATGCCGCTGGCTGGTGGCGTAATGATGATGGCGATGGAAACCACGCAGGGGATCTTCCACGTGGCCGGACGACGGAGAGAGCTGTCGGCGAGCAGCGACGCAGCCAGAACCCAGGACCCCACACATGAGCCCTGAGCTCCGGGTCCGCTCCCCCTAATATCCCCCCAGGCGTGGCTGGGCCCCGCCTCCGGCCACGCCTTCTCGTGGAACCTTCCAGCAGGTTCCTGGAGTATCTCTGCTAACCCCACCTGTTACCTTTGCCTTAGATACACCTGCTTCTCTGATTGGTTGTTACTTCTGTGCCCATACCCGTGAATCCCTTTCCAGGCCAGCAGATGTCACCCTGTCATTACATATGGAACCCGAGTTTGATTCCCGCTTAAGGGGCCAACACCGGTTGCAATGATGTGAACCTGTCCTGGGCCTCCCCTAGGTCGACTCCGCCTTAAATTGGAACCTGGTGCTGTGTGTAAACATCACCACTGGGGAGACACAGGTGGTCGGGCATCGTGCTGCCCACCCACCCCCTCGTGTGCCATGCCAACCTTCATAGGTGCTCGCTAACAGCACTTGGCCCAATGGTCTATATAGGCTGTATGTGTTGTGTGTGCGTGTTGTGCAGGTTGTGCGTGCGCGTGACGCACTGCCCACTCCACACAGGCCGGCCTTGCTGCTCAAGATTGCGCCGGACCTCACCAACGAGGCCAAGCGCGACATCGCAGCCGTTGTCACTGAGGTCAGCTTCCACAAACGTTTATTCATAGCTTTGTCCACCCGGCTGTACTCTGACTGTAAGGGCGGGGGGGGATCCACCATGCTGGTGAAGTATGGTGCGTGGTAATGTGCGACCCGTCAAAATATCTGTCCGGGTTTGGTGACCCGGAAAATGACTTCGCACCCGGCACACCACATCCAGAATACCTCTCTCGCCTATGGCTGTGGTTACTAGTCACATGCTACCTCCTCCAGTCTACCAGCGACCGGAAACATATTAAGCAATAGTGCATGTGCTTAACACAATGAGGCAACCGAGACGTGCGGTGGTGCACGTGCAATCTCTGCTATTCCCCGCGTGGCACAGATGGGTGTGGACGGCCTTATTGTGAGCAACACCACTTTGAGCCGGCCGGCGGGCCTGCAGTCCGCTCACCGCACCGAGACCGGGGGGCTGAGCGGGGTGCCGCTCCGAGAGCTCTCCACGCAGACCGTGCGAGACATGTACAAACTCACCGGAGGTCGGCTCCCGTCCACGCACCCACCCACGCACCCACTCGCGCACCCACTCGCGCACCCACTCGCGCGCCCACTCGCGCGCCCACTCGCGCGCCCACTCGCGCGCCCACTCGCGCGCCCACTCGCGCGCCCACTCACGCGCCCACTCACGCGCCCACTCACTCGCGCACCCACTCGCGCACCCACTCGCGCACCCACTCGCGCACCCACTCGCGCACCCACTCGCGCACTCACTCGCGCACCCACTTACCCGTGCACCCACTCACCCGCGCACCCACTCCGCGCACCCACTCGCGCACCCACTCGCGCACCCACTCGCGCACCCACTCGCGCACCCACTCGCGCACTCACTCGCACACCCACTTACCCGTGCACCCACTTACCCGTGCACCCACTCACCCGCGCACCCACTCGCGCACCCACTCGCGCACCCACTCGCGCACCCACTCGCGCACCCACTCGCGCACCCACTCGCGCACCCACTCGCGCACCCACGCATGCGCCTACTCACGCGCGCACTCACTCGCGCGCCCACTCACGCGCCCACCCACTCGCGCACCCACTCGCGCACCCACTCGCGCACCCACTCGCGCACCCACTCGCGCACCCACTCGCGCACCCACGCACGCACCCACTCGCGCACCCACTCGCTCACGCACCCGCTCACGCACCCGCTCACTCACGCGCCCATCCACGCGCCCACCCACGCGCCCACCCACGCGCGCACCCACTCACGCACCCACTCAGTCACGCACCCACTCACTCACGCACGCACGCACCCACTCACGCACACACTCACGCACTCACTCACGCACCCACTCATGCACCCACTCACTCACGCACCCACTCACTCACGCACCCACTCACTCACGCACCCACTCACTCACGCACCCACTCACGCACCCACTCACGCACCCACTCACTCACGCACCCACTCACTCACGCACCCACTCACTCACGCACCCACTCGCGCACCCACTCGCGCACCCACGCATCCACTCATGCGCCTACTCACGCGCGCACTCACTCGCGCGCCCACTCACGCGCCCACCCACTCGCGCACCCACTCGCGCACCCACTCGCGCACCCACGCACGCACCCACTCGCGCACCCACTCGCTCACGCACCCGCTCATGCACCCGCTCACTCACGCGCCCATCCACGCGCCCACCCACGCGCCCACCCACGCGCGCACCCACTCACGCACCCACTCAGTCACGCACCCACTCACTCACGCACGCACGCACCCACTCACGCACACACTCACGCACTCACTCACGCACCCACTCACGCACCCACTCACTCACGCACCCACTCACGCACCCACTCACTCACGCACCCACTCACTCACGCACCCACTCACTCACGCACCCACTCACTCACGCACCCACTCACGCACCCACTCACTCACGCACCCACTCACTCACGCACCCACTCACTCACGCACCCACTCACGCACCCACTCACGCACCCACTCACGCACCCACTCACGCACCCACTCACTCACGCACCCACTCACTCACGCACCCACTCACTCACGCACCCACTCACTCACGCACCCACTCACTCACGCACCCACTCACTCACGCACCCACTCACGCACCCACTCACGCACCCACGCGTGCATACAACAATAGCAACTGCCGTTCAGTGGTGGTGATGACACCATTGTGCTTGTGGCATGCTAGTTGCACTTTGAGGCCATGTGAAGTGTCATAGACCTGCTGGCAGGAGGTCACGGAACAGACCCAGGTGCTATGGGTTTATTGACTGAGACAACTGTCAGATGCATCTACTGTACCAACTCTCTGAGCTTTGGCCACCTGGCGCTCTGCTCATTGTTATGAGCGTTGCTCCTCTGCCCTCCGTTGTTGCTGGAGGGCGACTGCCTCCACTCCCCAGCAGCGTTCATCACGAACCTCCTCCAATGCGGCCGATTTTGACACTGCAAGTCCACTCAGCTTCCAAATCCTTCTGTAACACATCAGTCTACCTCTTCTTTAGCCCATGCCGCGTCCATTTAGCCCCCTCTATCCGGCCAAATAGAAGCTGCATGGGCACACGTGTATTCGCACGGATGTGCACATGTCTGCACGCACACGTTCAGAGACGTGCACGGAGAGACACGCTCAACTCATGGCTGCACACGTGCATGCAGAGATACATGCACAGGTACACATTTATACTCGAGCACACACAAAACCACATGGGATTGTATGCACATGTGTTCATACACACATGCATACATGTACACACACCAGACAAATATTCCCCAGTAGCCATACAGAACTGTTGGGGCAAGTGCTATTAGCACGTACCTGTAAAGGCCGGCATGGTACATAAGAGGGTGGTTGGCCATCACTACGCCTGGCCCCCAGTGCTGATGTTTATACACCACACCAGGTGCTCATTTAAGGCTGAGTCGAGCTCGGAGAGGCCCAAGATGGGGTGGGAATATGGGGTGTTTTCTGCTCTGATGTCCCAAGGTGCAGAGATACCTAAATCCAGCACTGTTGAGCAATTAGTAGCTTAACGGTTGTTTGTTGTGCATTCACCAACGAACGATGCAGGCTCCGTGCCAATTGTGGGGGTCGGCGGGATAACAAACGGCGCCGACGCATTCGAGAAGATCCACGCGGGGGCCTCGCTTGTGCAGCTCTACACGGCGCTCATGTACCAGGGCCCGCCCGTCATTGCGCGCGTCAAGCGCGAGCTGCGGGACCTGCTCAGGTATATTCTGGGGCGCTGTCCGCCGCTAATGCGACCGCAGAAAATTCACGCGGTTGAATCACAGTTTGCAAAAAACAACCCTTTCAAGCCGTTGGGGATGATATGAGACGTGTGTTGCTTTTCGTGTGTAAAGCGCCTTAAAGCTTTTCTGTTATCGAGGCGTCTAGAAGTTGCAGGGTGGGTGTCCTGTTCACCGCTGAATTCTCGGAACGCACGAGCGGTTATCGTTAATTTTATTTAGAGGCATAGCGCCGTTGTTTTTAAAACATTGTACTCACCGCAGAGAACTGTAGCGAGCTAACCACACTCTATGATAGCTGTCACCAAACTGTACCACAAGTCCTCCCCACATGGCTTTTTACTTTTGATTCTGTTCCGATGACGTAAATATACGGGACAAAATCGGAAGAAAAACTGATGACTTCCACGTACGCCATTCTATGTATGTACACGTACGCCATTGTAATGGGAAAGGGTTAAGACGCCCAGGAGTAAAGGACGATGCTTTTTATGAAAAATAAATTATGGCTATTTTTATTATTATTACTTCTAAGGTTCATTAAATCAGCTCAAGTGCAAATGCTAGGTGGATTGATACATCGCAGGATGGGGAGAGATGGTGATAGTTTGGGCGGGCCTTCGTCCAGCAGTGAAAGAATTCAGTCACAATGATGACATTGTGACTGACTTCTTCACCATTGTCGACCTCCCTGTTCTCAATTGTAATTACGATCACAGCAGCATCGTTAGCTGTAGTTCCTTACGAATTAGAATGATATGTGACCCCAGGTCAGTATGGTAATCGGGACCCATCATCACAAAACGAGCAATATCAACAAAAACGTCATAATTTTTCATCATCTGTCCACACGATTGGTTTACCCAACAATCGTTTTGTTTGGGCTCCATCTTTTGCAGTGAACACGGCTACAGCAGCGTGGCCGAGGCTGTCGGGGCCGAACACCGGGAACCCCGGACTGGATTGCCGCGGCAGGCGGAGCGTAATGCGGGGGGTGCGGCGGCGTGACGGGAGGGGGGGGGTGCGGCGGTGTGACGGACGCGATGTGGCTGAGCTGTGCAGTGGTGATGTCGCTGAGAACCGTAGCTGTGAGCCGGATTTTTCTGCCGAACGCTCATCACACATACGTAGGATAACACTCATTTGGTCTGTGAAGATGAGTTCAGGAGTCCTCCTTGTTCTGCTGCCATCCACTGGCACACCTCACGGCCTAGCTGGTCTAGGAGTTTAACAAATCCCTACGAAATACACCAAAACTTGCCTCTCCACAGGTGTGCGCCACTGTATCCAGCTCATACATTTGTGTTTTCCTGAATCTTTATCACCAAGGAAGTTTCGTGAAAGGTTTCACGAGTATAATATATGAATTTCAATCGCTGCCTTCATATGTATTTTGGTATTGGTACATCCTCGCAAAATTGTAATTTTAATTGTTAACATGAGCTGTGGATGTGCTGCTGCACTCGCGATAATTACGTTTCCTCTCCACAAACATGCAATTTTTTTATCGCTTGTGCGCGTTAACGTCAAGCGGACGCACAACACGTCCCACTCGATGGTTATTTGTATTTTTGTAAAGCTGATGTAAGAAGCGGCGGTTGCCTTTTCCCCACCACCCATCGCTCACTTGCTTGGCCGAGCAAATTTGGCGATAGTGTCGACTTTCTGACGTGTGGTCGTTGTAAAGCTGTTGCGACAGAAGAACAAATAAACCGCAGGTCACCGACCTCGATGACCTGCCGACAATCGAGCCGTCCCGCGTGGAATTCACATAACACGGCTTCTTCAAAGGGTCCCTGCTGAAGTTAGACGCCCCCAAAAAATCTAGCATCACTCCAAGACATCTCGACAAACAGCGTAATATGCAGGGTGCGGCAATATTCAGGAACAGTAGAAACTTAATTCCTATGATGTAGGAGAAGATACAAGCTGAGTGTAATATTAGTATGATTAATAAGATGTACGTGGGACGATCACTGCATACATTTCCGCAGTTGTGCTCGACAGCTCTCTAATGTATTTTTGGGTTCTACCGCTGTCCGAAGTTTCACTCCACGTACAAGGAGCTTCTTCAGCAACTGACCTGAGCTCCCTCAGCTTGTACTATTTTCTCAATATATAAAACGGAGGCCCCAAAATCGCCCTACAGCATGGGACCTTCTTTGAGGACCTGAAATTCGTGAAGAAGCTTCCAGCAAGTGGAGCAAAACGTTGGACATGGTGGAAAAAAACCCGACGTGGTACAACCCCTAACCTTGTCGTAGTGCTATCCGTATGGACACAAGGGAATGTTCAAGCATCCTATGTATGAAACGGATTGAGAGGTGTGTGTGCATGCAAACGGTGCACAGTTGCAGCGTCATCATCATTGGCCATGATTGATCTGCTGCATGAAGGGCTCTGCACGCCATTGCACACAGTTTGATCATCTCCTGCTATTTTCCTGCGCAGACGTATGGCTCCTGACATTTTCCCACACCCTATGTAGTATTCGAAATAATTTACATAAAAATGCCAAAAACTAAACGAAACAGGAGTCGAAAATGTACAAGTAATTAAAACCAGATGGTGCGTGTACGATTCGTACACGAAGTGACTGTAGGCAATACCAAAGCAATGAGATTAGTGTGTACGATGCATGAGTGTGTTGCACACGCTATTCATGTGTTCATGTAGCTGTCCAGTTTATGTGTGTGTGGTTGTGGAATGATTCGTATCTGATCACAAGTTAAATGCGTGTCGTAAACACTCCTCCACCTGACGCAGCCGATTCGTAAAATCATATGAACAAACGTTGGAAATTTACGAATAACAAATTATATTAAACTCCGTTAGTTAAGCATCTTCCAAATGTTACGACAGCTCATGCGATCTGACCCAAAAATAAATTGTGAATCAATGTTGGTAGCGAAAACCTCCGTGGTAATGTCACCAACCTCTGTGTGGTTGTGGAATTTTGTGTCCCATGGTATTCTTGACAAATCGGGCCAGTTGCACTTTGACCAATTGACCCGAGCAGCTTCTATATAAGAGTATTATCCTTCATGTACTTGCTTATTTTAAGTTTTGCTGGCTGGTGTGCAGACAGGCAAGTGAGTGATGACGTCACGCCCCCCCCCACTCACCCTCCACCCCAGCCATGTCGCCCGCGCAATTGCGTGGGCAGTGCTCGTATAAATAACAAAATAGATCAGCAATGTCTCCTTCACATATTCATATCTCCACGTTAAAAATATACAAAAAGGACGCAGGCGAGTTTTGTGTACGCCACTAAAACGCATGCGGCGCAGAGGGCTTTGTGTACTTTGTGAGAAATACTTTGTCAGATTTGACTTGACATTTCCATAGGGTCCAGTATTTGAGTCAACCCAGTCATGAACTATCAAGTTTTTCTCAAAATAACTGGACGCATCACAACAGCCATCGCTATATTCTGTTTTACAATCTATGGTACAACCATTTGCCAATCTACTGCTGCGCGAAGTCATCCCCCGTGCTGTGTGACCCATGATGGTTTAGATTTTGCCTTAAAACTGTCGTGACTGCAGCAATTCATATTCTTGCTTTCGGTAAAGTCACGAAGATAGAATGATGGTTTGTTTATTTTAATCATACTGCATGGTCAGTACTGGTTGGGTGTCCAGTATTAAAGATGTCATCCAACGCTGACGTTAACTGGTGGCTTGGAATCGAACGCTGCAAGTTTGGTCATACGTTTTATGTATATCGTTTATTGTTCAATTTAAATCACAGTTCCTATGATTACTGTTGTTACATTGTTTTTATAGCTTTATTTTAGTGATTTGAAAACATGGTTAATCCAAATTGTCTTATGGTTGTTGTTGTTGTTGGCTTGCACCACATTGTGATTTCTTCACACAGCGTTTTAATACTTTTTTTTTGGGGGGGGGGGGGGGGTAATTTGTTGGTTTATTCCAGGATGTTTCTGTTACGCGTCATTGCTTTGGGATGTTCTGTGTTCATTGTTTGTTGCGGTTGCACCCGACTCAAGAGCCGCATGGCTCACAGGGCTATACCTAATAAATGAAACTTGAAACTTGGTTGCTGGGTTCATAGTACAGCGCTAACTGCTGTGCCGCCACTGCTATATATAATGTACAGCAGTGGTCAGCATGGTGTGTTTGTGTGAATGTGTGTGTGTATATATATGCTCTGTAAGCCGATATGGCTTATACGTGACTGGTCTCGCCACCCACTGAGCCCACCAACCGAGGCTCATTGTCAGAGCTTTCCATCATCCTCCTCGTCCCATTCATCTCCTCCCCTCCACCCTCGACAACACAACTCCAACCAGTGCCACCCTTGCACGGATGAAACGAATTATTTGGGGGGGGATTCTGCGTTCGAAGTGGTACATAAACACAACTAACAAAACAAATCAACACATTCGTCAGTAACACTGGCCGTAAAAGGAAATGTATATAATCGGCGACGTTTCGGGTAATGGCCCTTCATAGCACACGAATAGAGAGGTCAGAGATAATGTAGACGATCAGAGTTGGAGACCACTTAATATCATGGGACCTGATGATAATAAAATAAAATTAGTAATGTTTTCTGATGACCAGCTTTTTTATTGGAATATAAAGTTACCTAATAGTAGCTACTGGGTAACAGACAAACCTTTAAGTAATAAAACATTATTACTAAATAAACTCATTTAAAAGTAACATGGCATTGTGGGACAATTTCTTCTCGTGAGCATAAGGTAGTCGTTTAAGAGTATTGAGTGGAATTTAGCCAGCAGTCGGTTCTCCGAATACTTTTCAGGAGAAATCCGACATTTAGCAGTTTGGGCAATGCCATTAATTAGTTTGGGTTCGTGTGGAAAAAACCCGGGGGACTCGGGGAGAAAACCCCACGCGACTACGGCAAGAGAGACACCCCTTAGGGTCGGGATCGAACCTACGATCTCCTATAATCGAGGCAAGGTAGTTAACATCTTTCCACCGTGGCACCACCACTCTCATCCAGCAATGGATTGACAAACATGCTGCACATATAACAATTGGTTGTACCCTTTCTGGCAATAAAACAGGTTTCGAGATGTTAAAAGCCCGAACAGAATCCTTATACTGGTAGGAACCACCTGGTTCCACCAGCCCACAGTGGATTATTGTGTGTGTCCGTCGTGCATCAAAAAATGGGAGGGGTGGGGCTGGGTGGAGAGGGCTGGGCTGGGTGGGGAGGGGCTGGGAGGGAGGTGTGGGGAGGAGGTGGGGAGGGGCAGGGTGGGGCTGGGTGGGGCAGGGTGGAGCTGGGAGGGAGGTGTGGGGAGGGGGTGGGGAGGGGCAGGGTGGGGCTGGGTGGAGAGGGCGGGGCTGGGAGGGAGGTGTGGGGAGGGGGTGGGGAGGGGGTGGGGAGGGGCAGGGTGGGGCTGGGTGGGGGGTGGGAGGGGTGGGGCTGGGTGGGGAGGAGCTGGTCACCCCGTGGTGCCCTTATAAAACTCAACGTTTAACCTACTCACGCCGGCTTGTGCCCGCCCTCACAGTCGGGCATATTTGCGGAATACACCACGCCGCCGTTGACCCTGCAGGCCATTGAGCGAGCAACCCAACGTTCCTACCAGCTCCCTCCGCAACAGGAATGTGTTTCAAGGACTTCTGTCTGAACTAACCACACGTACTTGTGGTGAACATGCAAACAAAAACATGTTCTGGTAATACAGTATATGCATTGTCTTTTAAACGAATTGGTCCACACCAGAGACAGCTTTCTTTAAAGCCTAGTCTCAAATATGCTCACCACAAGTACAGTATGTGTGGTTAATGCAGACATGATTCCATGCTAAAGGTTTCTGTTGGTGTTTTAACATCTTCACACCGCTTTTATTGCCGAAATGGGTAAAACCAATTCTTATATGGTGCAGTTCAGCAGCTCGCTGTTGTTTTTTTTGTATAATGCACAGACTCTGTGTGTGCTTTGTTACACGTCTCTTGCATGAAACGTCTGTGTTGGTCATTGCGGGAAAGGGGGGACTCCTTGTCACGGATCGTGGCGTGATTAGAAGCGACAATGGAGAGAGACTCAGAGCCAAGTTCGACCTCGGGGCGGTCACCTCCATCAGCCAATGTGCGTGCGCTCTCACGTCCACACCTCTCTCTCTCATCATCATTCTCTCGTCTCCTCCTCTTGTTTGCTGCCATCGCTGCTGCTACTGCTGTTTGCATTACAATCTACACGTTTTGTGTGCTCTTCCGACAGTCTCATTTGATGTCGTAGCGGCCGGCTCGGGTCTAGGTTGGATCAGGTCGGCGAAGGGGGTCTGACCGAGACGTTCGTGCCCGACACGTGCGAGTGCATCCAGGGAGAGGGGGGAAGGGGGTGGGAAGAGCCGGGGAAGGAGGAGAGACCCGCCGGGCAAAGGGACGCGCACAACGCGCACGTGTTGAGCCCTGCGAGACAGCCGCCATTCGCCACTTGCCGGCGACGTGGCCGCACAGCACTCGTGCCAGGCTAGGTGCACTTTGAGACACACACACAGAGACACACACAGACATGTCCCTGTCGGCGGTCCGTGGAGCGCGGCTGCTGCTGCTGGGCGGCCTGAAGGTCTCGGCGTGCCGGGGTCACCCCCGCGTCGTGGGGGTCTCGCCGGGCCCCAGGGCGGCGGCGCGGGGTCTCCACTCCACCGGCTTCGTGGCCGCAGGTGAGAGGGTCCCGGTGGGTCTGGGGGTAGAGGGGGGCAGGGGTAGGGGATCCGAGGATGTCAAGGACACCCCCTGAGGCTCGCAGGGGGTCTGGGAATCGAGGTGAGCTCCGGGGTGTGCGAGAGCCGCGTGTGGAGCGGCTGTCAAGAGAACCCGCGGGCACTCGAAGGGGTCCGAAGGGTCGGCACGACACGAGTCTGGGAACACGCGACGGGGTCGACAGGGGTGCAGGACCCTGGCGCTCGTGGGGGTGCAGAGATTAGGGGGCACGGGGATCAAGATCGGGGGTTATGGGGAGACGCAAGGCACCAGGACCCTGGGGTCCATGAGCCAAAGACGCGGGGAAAGCGGTGATCCCAAAGGGATGTAGGGGTTGAGGGGTACACAGGGATACGGAGACACGAGGGGGCTGAGGGATCCGGGGTCTGAGGCATTTGAGGACTTTGGGGCCTTGCCGCTGCCCTTCTCGGGGCTGACCGACCTGGCCTAGCCGGCCTGCCCGGCAAGGAGGAGGCTCGCCCGGCGTGGACCGCTAGGCCATCCCGGTGGGCGAGGCCACTAGCGTCTTGGATTTTTTTAAATGTTGTTGTTATTACTGCGGTTATTTGTATGCCAATTGTTTTGGGTGGTTATTCTGGCCATAGTCCTGGTTGTAGTGTGTCGTTACGGCCGATTGCATTAACTGTGTTCTGCCTTGGTTATTGAAGTTAATGCAGTTTAAGAGAGCTGCATCAGTGAAAAATAAGTTGTGGTGGTGCATGTTGCTGAAGTGGACAATTTGTATGTTTGACGATATATTTCGTTGTGTTTACAGATATGCAATTTTTATTAGACTATTTAAACAAATGCACTTTAAAAAATAAAACGTACTGCATATAGTCTGTACAAATAAGTATAGATTTGAAGCTTTCGTGACTGCATGGATTCATTCGGTAAAGTCACGTAGGTAAAAATAAAAATAATAGAAATAATAGAAAGACAATTATAAATCACGACTTGTGTTGCCTCCGAAACGTCGTGATTTATAATTTTATTTCTATTATTTTTCTTATTTATTTTTACCTACGTGACTTTACCGAAAAACCCTAAGAGTATGAATCTGTACAAATATCCTCCTAAATTGTGGACCCAGTATAAGAATGCATCTATTGCACGCTTTCCAGGAAAGCCTTTTCTTCGGACGGTCGTGTATTCGGATTTCTTGCCGTTTCCCTTTTAAAGCGCAGTACTGCGATGCATTCATTTGCATGTGGGAGGAATTGTCTGCAGAGATGAGTTTGCGAACCCACTTTGCTTACAGCCACGTGGGTTTGCACACCTTTCATCCTCTTATCAGTGCCTACCTAATGACAGACCAATTCGCATCTTATTGGTCACCCCGTGCCCTTATAAATCTCAACTTTTACCGACAACGTCCCATCACAAGGGAGAATCACAAACATTTTGCCCGTAATGAAATATTTGGACCGGGTTGTATCAGCGTAAAATTGGTTTTCCTGGCCTCTCCCACATTGCATTGTGATTCGAATTCTGCTTAAGCACTAAACACCATTTCAAGATGTGTGCCATTCCTGAGGTTGTAAACAAAGTGGAACCTCCCTTGGGGTAGGACATACAGAACTGGGGGACGGTTCTTAATATGGAACACAATGATTGTGTTTTACTTGCCAAGCAAGACTTCGCAAGAAAGGACAAATGCCGCCTCGAGGCATCGAACACCCACGTGATCGTCCCACACTTAGCTCAGCTCTTGAACAACTTGTAGGGGAAATCGCCAATGCGGTGCATAGCCAATGTTTTGTAAAAAAAAAGGTTGCTTTCCAATGCAGTCCAACAAGTAAAACAGGGCATTAGGTCTCAAGGCCCCTGTCAGTACATTACCATAATCTATTTATCGAGTTGTCCTCTACGTAAGTGAGATTGATTTCCATGACCGATGCTTTCCACCGTCTACAATGTTCAACGCCTGTCGTGTAGAGAGTCTCATCCTGACTGCTCTCATTGTCCCACAGAACGATCCGTTTCCTTCCTGTCCCCCTCCTCTCTTCCATTTTCCCCTTGCAGAATCATCTTCGTCATAAAATTAATATCTCCAGCTAATCCCCTTAATAATACGTTCAACTTGTAAGACGCACATAGTTATGTGCCACATATGCAGCCTTTCTTCTCATCAGCCCTCTGAGTAATTCTTGCTTGTAGCTGTCATCTCTCAGCAGATCTTGATCCTTCTTTGTGAAGAGTCTCCTATGGCTATATTAGTGAGATTAACTCTTCACCAGGAAGGACACAGTTCAAAAGTGATTCACCCTGATCGCCCACTGTTCATTGCTGTGATATAGTGCAAACACACCAGGTGAGTTGGGCAACTGCTTTTACCAGATATTTGTTCCTTGTTTTATGTAATTGTTTTTTTTATTATAATATTAATCTGGCCATGTGGCTAAGCAGCAGAGTGAGCGGCTCGCAAGTGAAAAGTTGCGAGTCGAAATCCTGGTTGGGGGGGGGGTTCACTCGGCCCATCATCCCTCTGGGGTGAATAAAATTTGTTATACTTTAAGGGGAATTCAACAGTGGTTGTTATCATGTGTATAGACTCGCCTCTAATGTAGGATAGGGGAGTTTCCACCACTGCCTTAAGAATGTAAACTAAGATGAGCACCTACTCAATACTGATTTGAGCAGGACAGTAATATAAGCTTGTTTTATTTTTTACTTATTCTACCTGGAATACATTGCCTCGTTATTTGAAGAGAAATGTCTTGTATGCCGTATATTCCAAGTGTTGGGTTTTCATGTACATGTTATTTCATGTCAAGTGCTCTCTCAGATGCCTTGGTTATGTGAAGTGTGCTACATAAATAAAGATTGAGTGATTGATTGATTGCTCCCTGGGTCTTCGCTCCCTGCTTCTCCCTGGTCCCCGCAGCCCGCAAATACTCAGATAAGCACGAGTGGATCCTGGTGGAAGGTGGAGTGGGCACCGTGGGCATCAGCAACTATGCCCAGGTGAGTGGCACCAGTGACATGTGGCCCTCGCCTGCTCGTTTAATCACCTCTGTAACGACGTGGATGCATCACTCAAGATTACACTTAGCCTGGTACAAGTGATCTGATGATGTCATTGTCACTCCGTGGCAAATGGAAGCTGTTGCTGTCGTATCACTTGCCCCTGTCAGTAATGTTCAAGCGAGCACCTATCATCATCATCGTTAGCCATGATCTATCCACTTCGATGAAGGCCTCCTCAATAAGCTGCCAACTTACACCAGGCAAGAATCCACTGATATCCGGCACACAAGTTGATTTAATGTGCTCCATTTCCAAAGTGGACCAACTCTTGGGCGTGTTCCCTCTGCGCACTCGTAATAACCTATGTTATAAGAGTTGTGCATAAACAAATTTCAGAATCAGAATTTGTATTTAGACTGGGAGAATCCGATGAGCTATGAAGCAATTTTTCACTGATGTCCAAATCAATGGACAAACTCTTCTGGCTGCATCTCCATCATTAGACTCGATCACCGACAGTCATCCCTTCTGGTGATGTGTCCTTCCAAAGCCCACTTATTTTTCTGAACAATCAATATGATGTGTCCAACGTGCATATGTTCTCTAATGCACGTGTCGCCCTTCCTGTTTCTTAGTGAAAATTAAAGGGGCACCTTTCTCTCCGTGCTTCTTTGCTCACTTTTCAGCGTTTCTTCTCTGTATCCCCCACCTGTGTACCAGCTGCTGAGTTCGTGCCCTGAAGGCACAAGACTCTTAAGTGATACCAATATTATCAACACTGCACTGGTGTTGTAATAATTCTTGCTTTTAAGACCTCGGAGGTGGCTGAGCTCAGCAAATGTATGCTGGTCTTGTTCTACATGTCTGCACATGCGAATGGGTCGCATAACAGGATTGACTACAAACACAGATGTGAGCCACTCTAAGCTATGCCTCCTCCAGTTTAGGCTGTGCCAGTCCAGACTGAACTGTTGTGTTTACAGCTGTGCTCAGATTAAGGGCAGACAGGTATAAACCAGGTATAAACCTGTCTGCTCAACAATGATTGTGGGAACAAGCGTATAATACAGACACCCAAACACCAATTCACGTGTTTCATCGAGCCTACAGAGGATCTGGTAACTCCATCGTGCGCATTGAACTCAACAAGATGATATGATATATATGGGACCCTTTTTGCCAGGTAGTCCTCTACTTACGATGGAGATGCGTTATGACGACCCCATCGTAAGTCAAAAATGTCGTTAGTCAAAGATGGCCTCGCCTACCCAGGAGTCTTAAAGAATGGTGATAGTTTAGCAAAACAGAGAAATTTACAGTAGCGTACTGTATAAACTATATACTGTATGTATTTATTAATTACAATAATGTATTGCACAGTAAAATGTAAAGTATAAAAAGCAAGCTAAATTCTTAGCCTACCTATATGAACTGCAATTTAATAGAAAGTTTTTTCAGGAAACAATCCTATCTGCTATAAAAAAAAACTTTTAACATGCATTGAACGTATCGTATCGCCATCGTAAGATCGAAATATCGTAAGTCGGACCATCGTAACTCGGGGACTATCTGTATATGCCAAAAAGGGTGAAGACAATATCAATTACTATTGTAAGGGTTTTGTGGTTGCACTGTATAGGTTCTGCCATGTGTTTTCGGGTTGTACCACTTGTTGTTTGGCACGATGTCCCGACGTTTCCCTCCACATGCTGGGAGCTTCTTCAGGTAGCTTTTTGTGGAAGCTCCCACCCAGCACGTGGAGCATCGGGCTAAGTGCAGTACAGCCTGAAAACACATCAGACAGCTAAGTTAATATGAGCTCAACAAGTTAATGTGCACATTTTTATAGTTGCTTCTCTGGCCAAGAGTTAATGTGTGCATGGCGCACGTGTGTTTTGCGAAGTTAACCTGTAAAAGTTGGGAAATGTTCAGCCCCTTCAACAGCAGTTGTTTTTTTAACATAACAAATTTGGCTACTGTCTCCACTGTTTATCGTTTACTGCCTTTCTCCCCCAACCCCAATGTCTCACCCTGTAAACCCCTACTCCCATCCCAGGAGGCACTGGGTGATGTGGTGTACTGCGGATTGCCCGAAGTAGGCACCAAGTTAGCTCAGTTGGGTGAGTGGCCTGAATCTTCCCAACGTCCCGGTTTGTTTCAGACAGTCCCGGTTTCAGAAAGGCTGTCCCGGTCTCCCAAAGCTTTTGCAAAAAACATTATTTTGTCCTCTGTTTAAAACGCTCTGGTCTCATGCTCGACTCCTGATATGGGCAAAGGCTGGGGCTACTTGATTAGTAACCGGGGCTGGTGGAGGAATAGGCAGGGCCTAAGAGCGAGGCCACTAACTGTTTGGGTGGAGCTCGTGATTGAGTGGGCAGACGGAGGGCTCGCCAGCTCACCAACTGGTTCTGCTCGAGTCTCCCAGGAAAGTTGTAACTCTACTGTGGCCACCTACACTCTGCTTCAAGGTAGCTTGTGTGAGAATCACTCACAGGCTGTGGCCTCATGCGAATACAGCCAGCTTCAACTGGTACCTCCTTTTTGCATGGACATTCAACTCGATTCGATCCGATTTGGCTTAATTTCTGTCAGAACTTAAATTGATGGATAAGTCAAGGTGAATATAAATAATTGGCATTTCCAAGGTTACAGAGTTGTGACACGAGTTGAGCAGCTCTTACCATTCGGCACGAATTCTAACATACAATTCAGGTCAGCTGCACAATATGCAAAATCGTCCAGGAGAATTTGGGATATGTCTCTAGACAACTCGAATTATTTAGAGAAATAGAAAACGAGTTGTGGAGGGGGGGGGGGGGGATCTTGAGGCACCACGATGGCGAAATGTTCACTACCTTGCCTGGTATACAGGAGGTCATGGGTTTGATCCCGAACCTGATGCCTGTATATTTGGAGTTTTCATGTTCTCCCTGTGGTTGCATGGATTTTTCTCCGGGTCCTCTGGTTTTCCCTGCACATTTAGAAACATGCGTCTAGAGTGTTTGGCTGCTATACATTTCAACATAAGCCACTTCGTTGAGCTATCATTTGTGGCCAGGTCACTTCTGAAAAAGAGCTAAATAAATCAGTGGGCTTTGCCTGGTAAAATTTAAATAGTTTAGTTTAGTTTGTATACTCGAGTTCTGCGGGTTCATGCAAAGCGGGATTAATTGTACCGATTCTGCCATGCATAAGCCAACCTTTCATGCCTCCGTGAAATAATTAAAAGATGGCTGTGGAAATTGAGTAAATATTTTATACACTGTGCAGGCGCTTGCTGCTGAAGCGGATTGCGTGGAGCGATAGGGGCACAGGGCTGGTGTAGTCAGGGTTTCCAAGCGGATGGAGTGAGGATCAATGCCACGGGCGGTGGTTGTGTGTTTATTCAGGCTGGAAGGGTTAAGGGTGGAATGTAGAACCCACACAAGACGTTTCGTTTGTCTATAAGCCACGTCAAGGCACCTTACACGAAGCCTGCGCCATATGTGGTCGGAGTGGTGGCGCAACGGATAGCGCACTGTCAAATGAACTTGGTGACCTGAGTTCGATTCCTGGCCATAGTCAACATCAATAGCGAGTGATATCTGAACTGGCCCCATGCACCCCTTTTCACCAACCCACACAGACCAGCGTGGTGAAGTATGGTCAAACAACCCCCATAACTGACGCCTTGGGGAAACCTTCATCCACCAGTGGATTGGCAGGAAGCTGCGAATTATATATTTTTATTTTATAAATCTTAAACTGCACATTCAAGAGTCAAGTCTGTGTCTACATTCTCAATCCAGAAATGTGGTGCCACTCATCTCCATTGACAAGTGGTGGAAATTCAATAATCGCATGACAAGGCTATGTATCTCCATAGGATGACCACTGTTGATGTGACACTGCCCAGTGCTTTTTTCCCAGTGGTGTCAGAGCAGCCAACAGATTCTCAGGACCGGTTTATAATTGCTCTCCTAGTCTGTGGGGAGCTGCAAAATTAGGAACCAATCCTCACGCTTTATTGTAAATGATAAGAAACTCATCGGGCAGATAAGCGAATGCAATCTGGAAACGAGTAAGAGTGATAATATGTAATGACAGACACGGGGAGCTCGCTCCAATGTCGCGGGACTTTGTACAGATGGGAAGGGTCGTTATCAGTGTCCATGCGAGGGGCAGAGTTCGTGGAGCAAAAGATCTTTGGCAGCACAGTAACCTGCCTGAGAAAAGGCGATTTCAACAATAATCGGTGCATTAACAGCAGCTTAGAGCGAGAGAGACGTTTCATTTGAATTGTATTAGCAGTTGCGGAGGCTGAGCGGGATAAGACCATAAGCTGTGACCACCTGGCGGTGAGCTCGGCATGCAGCCTAGAGCCCTGCTCCTGGCATCGGCACGTTTGCGTGCAGGTGTGCGTTTGCTGCTTTGAATGTGTGGCCTGAGGCGGGGTGACCTGGAGTGTGCTCATGTGCGCAGGCGTGTAGATCAGTGTTGCAGCGGCGAGCGCGCACCGCACTATGAACCCGGCCGCCTGAGTTTGATTCTCGGCCCACGGCTAACATTAGTGCTGAATGAGATCTCAACCGGTCCTGTGCCTCCCCTAAGTCGGCCCCACCTTGAATGAGTACCTCGTCTGGCTTATAAACCTCAGCATTGGGAAGACAATGGCGGCTGAGTATAGTGCTGGGCACACCATCCCCTCGTGCATCTTACTAGCTTTAATAAAGTGCTCACTAACAGCACGTGCACCAACAGCCTCTTAAGGCTATATGGAGGATCTTTGTCAATATGGCAGTATAGCAAGATTATTCATTTCCATTTGTATTTCATCGGTATGTGGATTAAATCCATGCATGAGTTTTCTCCGGGTACTCAGGTTGCCTCCTGCATGTGTAAACACTCGTTAAAAGAGTTGGCCAAACATCCCAATATAGGATCACAGAGCTGACGCAATTGTGGGCACCAGTTTTGGCTGCCTTCCCATTTGTCTGCGTTTTCCAGTGCCTCCATGTGCAAAACTGCGTGCATCACAGAATGTGTGCGTACCGTGTGTGTCTGTGGTTCGTGTGCAGAGGAGTTTGGTTCGCTGGAGAGCGTGAAGGCGGCTAGCGAGCTCTACTCGCCCATAACGGGCTGCGTGACCGAGGTGAATGCCGCCCTTGCTGAGAATCCTGGCCTCGTAAACAAGTCCTGCTACGATGACGGTGAGGAACTCTTCTCTACCAACGTCGCCTTCCATTGCTCGCTGTAATAATTATTTCTCTTGTAAGGCTGGGTGCCGTGGAACTCGCACGCTGTTGGGATATAGTGACGGGGAGCTTTTGAATCGTGCCGGGCTTTTCCCCAGCAATTTTAGACCTTTTTGCAAAAAAGCACAAAATGTTAAAGTCATTGTAATCTTTTATGGTGATGCAAAATTTCAAAACTAAACTGTGAAGAAGCCCATTAAGTGTGCGCGCGTGTTAAAGCGTCTGTACAAAAGCGTGTTGTGTAAAGTGCAGACATTTTGAGATAAGCGTCCGTGGCATGACTTTGGATAACACTCGTAGATGAATTATGAAAAGCAAAAACAAAATTAGGTTTTTGGATTGATGGGATTTTAAGATCCAAATTAACCCCCCCAAATGTGTTGACATTTTTGTTCAATTAATTCACAGCAGTCATATAAATAATATCAGTCCACCACAGTGTGTGTGACGCACAATGGGCACGTGTCTCCCCTGCTGTGCTTGCAGGGTGGCTGATCAAGTTGAAGGTGGAGCAGCCTGCCGAGCTGGATGGCCTCATGGATGAGAAGGGCTATGAGGCCTTCCTCAAATCCATGGAGGAGTGATGGGGGAGCCCTCACTTAGCCGCACACCCAGCTCCCATTCCCGTCCACCCATACCGCAGCCCTCCCAGGTCAAATAGGGAAACCTTGATGAAGTTGCCCCCACGGGTAAAATCCCTGGGGTGGATCGAAATGTGGTGTGGAAAAGGAATTAAATTAAATGATGCTGTGCCTTCTTTATAGAGCTATATTTTGGTTTGGAAATAAGTTGTGTTTTAGACGAGAGTCTCTTAGGGAAAGCTTTGGGAATTTGAGGCGGCGATGTTGTAGGCGAAGAGGTTGATCCGGGAGGGCGGCGCTTCCACATAGCCGATTATGCCGGGTGGTGCTCACGAAAGTTGTGAGGTTCCCTCCACCCCACCCTGCACATTGTAGACATGCATATGGAGCTACCATGACACTAACAAGCTATACACTAGCACATCGACTGTAGCTAAAAGTGCTTTAACTCGTAAATGTAGCATGCGAGCCATCAGCCGGTCAGCAGCCACGTCCCGAGTGATAGCGTGCTTTCGCCTAGGCACTCGGGGCTGCTACAGCTGCCCCGTGCATTGATCGGAGCACTTGTTGACCCCCGTGTGCTTTTCCGCATGTGTCATGGTTTGTGTTCTAGCATTACCGTTAGTGGCATGATTCGCGCGATGGTCGTGATGGATGTAAAATGATCAGCCGCTCAAGTCTCGGCCACCTTGACCCAGTAGGTCCAAATCGTAATTCATGCAACTGATGTTTACTTACGTTGACCTGTCATAAATCCAATCCTCAGTTACTATTGCACAAAAGATAAACCCAGTCCTATCGCCTAAACAATCGACATTGACCCTTCAGGCGACGCTTAACCTTAAATCTGGCAGTAAATGCAAAACTGAACTTTTAAATGTTCAATTTTGCCAGTAGACAATCTTAAACATGACACTAATGTCTAACCCAACCTCAATGCTAACTTTTAATCCCGAGCCTAAACCAATACACAGCCTAAGCCGCTCATGGTTAAACACAGCCTTAAGCTCAATGAGCACGACCATAGTTATACAATTTTCACTGCCTTTTGCCCTATGCCACGAGGGTCAAGGTATTTTATGAGCTCCACACAGCATGAGCATAATGCCCTCAGCCACGTGGCGTGAACTCCATTTTCTGAGGGCTGCTGGGGTCAAAAACCTACCTGGTGCATGCCTCCCGAATGCCCTAATTACCCCATGCCCCATACTGCTTGTGCATTGGCCCATACTCTGTGAAATGTCACTAATGTGCACTGTCAGTTATTGAGTGAATTGGACATCACTGTTAACTCGGTGTTTTTATCCGAGTGATAAAAAAAAACTTGCGTTGAGCAGCTTTGGTGAACAGTGTGGTACCTGCAAATGCGAGTGTTTGTGACTGAGCCGTGGTTTCAATGCTTGGGAGCACCGGGACAGAGACACGGTAACCCTGTGAGATTGCCTCTTTTTCCATGAGAACTTTCCACAGGACCTGCCATGATGACTGCATCACCTGGGCCCATGAATAATAGGGGGCAAGGGGAGCAGCTGTACGTAAATTTGGACAGGGAGGGGCAGGCCAGTTATGCTGTACCCCCTTGATAGCTGTATTTCCCCCCCCCCCCCCCCCGTTAGCTACCCAATATAGCCCCCTCCCATAGGCCCATGTGGCAGTAACCCACATTTTACATTAACACTGGGCAGACTCTTGCCCATATCTTCCGTTTCAGTTTGCTGACCTTTTGAGAAAAATGGTACTAATATGCGTTTCGGGAGGATTTAGTGATGAGTTTAAAATAACTAATAAAACGAGACGAACACGCCGTGCATGTGCATTGTGACTTGATGTGCGTCGTGTTATTGTTGGTCCTGAACCCAAGAGAGCCCAATTGAGTTGCAAGACTTGTTTTGCAACTCAATTGCAAAACAAGTCTTGGGTGGGGGGGTATCCTTGTTCGGTGGCGTTGTGTGTTGGAGGATACTGCATTGTCTGGTGAAAACTCATCACAAGTAAGAGGGGAAACCACCTAACATTTGAAGCATTGTTAAGGAGGCATATGACCAGTGACGGACTGGGACGAAAAAATCGGACCAGGTGTTGGTAAACACACCGGCCCAAATTGCCGTGCGATTTCATTGGCCCATTTGGGCTGGTTAAAAAAAAAACAAATGGGCTGGTGAGTTAAGAGTCTTTGGGGTTGTAGAATATGGGACTTAATGCCAACTGAGAGCAGAAATAAGCAATGAAGTGTACACAAAGGTAATACATTTTAAAACATTGCAAATGTTTTTTTTACTCGAATCACATTATGAGACATCTCCTTTACCAGTGGCAAAATATAGTAATAGGTTTTTACCCTTTCAACTGGTACAACAACTGACACCTTTATACAAGGCATCATGTTTGCAATAACCACAACACAAGCAGTCAAAATGCAAACAAAAGTAAACAACTTTGATGATGATAATGATATGCACTGTCTGCATAAGACAATGCGTATCATCATCATCAGAGTTGTTAATTTTTGTTTGCATTTTGACTGCTTGTGTTGTACCAGTTGAAAGGGTAAAAACCTATTACTCGAATCACATTTGCAATGTTTTCCACAGACCGGCCTTCGAAATGTGGTCCATGACTCGGCTCAGGTTCACTCATGAGTACTGTCGTCAATGCGGTGGTATTGTAGCGATGTTTATGATGACCATGGTTATGGTGATGATTATGATAAGTTGATTTCTATAGTGATTATGTTTAGAGAAAATATGTTCCGAAAATGATCATGTAATTAATTCAACAAAGCCTCACCCAGCCTTAAGACACTTTAGCAGAAGAACCCTGAGTTGGGATGTTTGGCTAATTGTATACAGTATATAGAACTGAAGTACCTGAAAAAAATCCACAGTGCTCGGGCAGTGGCATGGTTCAGCAATAACGCTGCTTGTTGTGAAGGTTTGCAGCTCGAATCTGGCAGGCTACCATGGTTAATACTGCGGGTGTATTGGCATACGAACCCCTGATGTCATTTGAAAATAGGCCATTGTGTACCGGCATCGTGGGATACATTTTTAACTACTATACCCACAAATTACCTAATTGGGATTACATATAGGGACATCGCCCCCTACTGCAGACTATGTGAAACGCAATGCCTTCGTGAATAATATTGCGCTTCTAGAATGGCGCGAATACCAACGTGTAGCAAATTAGTATTGAGCACTCAAAAAGGTTGTCGTACTCAAATTATAAATGTTGTGGCTTTGCTCTCCAACACACCAGTGTGTTTCAAGTTTAAGTTTCATTTATTAGGTTATGTGATGTGCTAGTAACGAATTGGCACGTTCTGTTTACGTGACAAACCTTACTAATTGGTTGTGTCGGGTGGTGGCGGGTTTAACGACACATTGGAATATTTACGCGATCTAATCCAAAAAAAACATGCATTATGGACTCAAAAGTCTTTTAAGAAGGTGTTCACAACTCTTTTGGCTGTACTGCCATCTGCTGGCCACGTCGCAAAATATTCGGGTTTGGGAGTTTCTTCAAATCTGTGATCCACCGACCCTGTCCTTCAAATAATCGAATCACGGGGGTGTGCCACCATCATCATCACAACAACAACAACCGCCATTCGCCACAAAGTGGCGGTGACGTCACCACGACGCTTGTGCCAGGCCATGTGCACCTTGAGGCCATGTGAAGTGTCGAACGCCCGCTGGCAGGAGGTCACGGGGCAGACCCAGCAGGTGCCAAAGGTCGACTGACCGAGATGACCGAGATAACTGGCTGATGCACCACCTGTGCCCCCTACTGTGCCAACTTGCTGTGCTTTAGCCACCCGGCGCTCCGCTCGTTGTTGTGAGCGTCGCTCCTCCGCCCTCTGTTGTTACTGGAGGGCGACTGCCTCCAACTGCCCAGCAGCGTCCTTCACGAGCCTCCTCCACAGAGGCCGATCTTGACACCGCTGGTACCGGTCATCGGCAAGTCCACTCAGCTCCACGTCCTCCTGTACCACATCACTCCATCTCTTCTCCAGCCCGTGCCTCCTGTACCACATCACTCCATCTCTTCTCTAGCCCGTGCCGCGCCCGTCTAGCCCCCTCGATCCGGCCGAACAAAAGCTGTTTAGGCATGCGGTGGCTGGGCATGCGGGCTACATGACCCAGCCAACGCAGCCTTGCCTGCCGGAGGAGCTCACCGATGGGACTTTGCCCAGATCTTTCAAGGATGTGTGAGCTCCTCACACAATCCAGCCTGGTTAAACCCAGGATGGATCGTAGGCAGGCCAGCCTAAATGTTTCTAACCGGCGAAGATGCTCCATTAGGGGGGTCCACGTTTCGCAAGCGTAGAGAAGGGAGGGAATGAATGTGGCCGAGAAGACTTGAAGCTTCGTGCGGAGCGACAGACCAGGTAGCTTCCACACAGCGTTACGCAACCGATGAAAAGATAATGCCGCTCGACTGATTCGGAGTGAGACCTCTGCTGTTAAACCGGAGCTGGTCATGAGCACACTGCCCAGGTATGGGAAACTCTCTACTCTCTCCACTACTGCCCTATCACCACCACTATCACCACCACCCACAATGATGGGCGGTGGTGATGATGGTGTTTGTACTGCAGTGATAACGGTTGTTGTGGTGATGATGATGATGGTGGTGAAATTGTCTGTGGTGTTTAGTAAGCAGGATTGTAATGCACGGCTAAGCTTCTGGCAGTAGAGGGCAGCAAATCCATTGTTCATAATAGAGGTTTGTCATGTTAACAAAATATGCCAATTCGTTACTAGTTCAGCACACCGGTGTTTTGGAGAGCAAATCCACAACATTTACAATCTTAGTACGACGTTTCACCAGTAATTACAACCGGCATCATCAGGCGGCAGCCAGATCCATTGTTTTTATAACTTTCGCGTCTATGCTCCCACATTTTCACGTAATTCGCAATGACGCGCGTGGCGAAACTAAACGAAACAATGTTTTTTTATGTTACCAGGTACGGCCCACTGAGCTATGTAGCAACTTTTTCAGAAGGGACCTGGCTTTCACAAATGAGAGCTCAACGAAGTGGTGGCTTTCGTGGAAATTTATAGCAGCCAACATCCTCTAAACGCATGTTTTTAAACGTGGAGGGAAAAATCGGAGGACCCCGAAATAAATCCACGCGAGCACGGGGAGAGAGAGGCACGCAAACTCCAAATATACAGCAGCAGCACGTGTCAGGCTCGGGATCGAACCCACGACGTCCTGCGTACCAGGCGAGGTAGTTAACATCTCCTAGCCACCGTGGCACCGCGTGTGGTAAGACAAGAGACAAAGAGCCCCCGTATAGCCTAAACTGACTTTTGGGGCAAGTGCTGTTAGCATTGAAAGGAGGCCCTCTTGACAGCAGTGAATTGCGATGATTAATCAGTACTGTAACACAGATTAAACAGCCGTGGTTGTGGTGAAAATTAACAATATAAATATGCTGATAATGTGTATATCAATGAATTCGTCTCTTCCACGTATTTGTGCTATGTATCAGGGTCATTGCCCGAAACGTCACAAATTAAATCTTGACTTAAAGCTTTCGTGACTGCAGCAATTCATATTTTTTGGGTCTTTCGGTAAAATCACGTAGATAGAAAAAAATCACGACGTTTTGATCGCAATACAAGCGGTCGTCAACCTGATGACGAATATGTCACAAATTATATTTATCTTTAATTTCAGGCCACAATGTTAATGACACACGTGTTGAGTTTGTGTTGTTTGTTACGGGTGATTGTGCACCAAATTGCCAACGCAGCATCACCAAACCACGTGTTTATCAACAGAAGCTGCTGTACACTAAAGCTCTCTGCTTGGGTGATGATGACCCCGTGATGGATTTTTTTATTCGCTCGATCGAGTTCGCCTGCGTCGTCACGCTCATCTCTCCAACCATATTACAGACTAATTCAGACCTTATTGGTCACCCAGTGCCCCTTATAATCTCAACGTTCATCCTACAAAGACCCATCAAAAGGGAGAAAAACAAATAAATTGACAAAAAAATTATGGAATTATAAAAAAAAAACTGCTTTATGCAGTAATTTTGATAATTGGTGTCAATGCAGCTACTTATTATGCTGTCTGTGATCTTGCATGCTGCTGCTTGCTTGATATGTGGATGCACACACTCATGTTGTAAATGTACAACAATAAACACAAGACAATTATGAAGGGTTAAACGGTACATTATAATTTCATTTGGCGGCACAAATGTTTTTGTTGTTGCCCGTATTGAAACGGCTGTACGCCGTATGGACCTGGGTAACCCGTATGGGTTGACAAGCTATGGGATTTCCGTTCCGTGCAACAAGTAAAGCATCTGAATGGGCCCTAAAATGTGCCTCTATTTTAAGCCCACGTTGTGTAACTCTTTGAGTATCATGAGACGGTGACGTCACGAACCATGACGTCACACCCGCCTCACCCGCGCGTGACACGGGGCGCGGCGTGACGTCACCTCATCAACACTAGCCCCACCCCCTCCACCCCCCTCAACCAATGGGAAGCGTGGATCAGCGTCGTCACTTCACGCACCCGCGGAAGTAAAAGTCTCGACATCGCCTGAGAGACTGCGTCGAGAATTTGATTTTTTTCTCTCTCTCGGCGAGTCTAACCCCCGTGAAAGCGACTCCAGAGTGCCGTCAGGAAGAAAAAAAGCCCACCGCCTTCTCGTCCAGCGAAGCCGTGAGTTGGCGCCCAGCCGTTCGTGCTGTCCGCAAAGGATTGAAAAGACTTGAGGCCTTAGTCGGGTCCCAACGGGCCCCCGTTGTGATCCTGGAACCTCTGCCGGCTCGGGGTGGGGTTTTCCGGCGGAGACGCCAGAGCGACCGGGGTCTGGCTCCCCCAAGCGGCTTGCGGCGTCTTCTTACCCACGACAAAAATTTTGTTGTTAATTGTACACCGCTGCCAACGCACTAAATACTTTGTTTCTCTTGCTCCTGATCATAATTGGTGTTGACTGCTGCTGCGTTTTGTGTAATATATTGACGAGATGACATGAGAACGCTACTATTAATAACAGCGTAATGGTGCTGGGCGTGGTGGTGCAGCCTGTGGTCTCGCGGTTCGGAGATGGGGGTCGGTAGATCGCGTCGTCGAGAGATGTCAAGCTCTAAAACCCGCTGTTCTGTGGGATAGACCACAAGTGGTATTACATCGACTGGGTTCGTGATGAACTTCGACGAATATTCCCCCGTAAGGAATATGCCAAACATCCAAACGCGGCGCCCTTGTGATCAAATCTAACCACTCCGTGAGTTTCTATTAAAATCAAATTATTGTAATATTACAGTTGTTTACAGATTCGTAACCGCGTTGGGCTGTGCTTATTTGCTGCTTACAGTCACATACCTAATGTGGTGGTGAGTTAATTCGTCGAGGAACAAATGTTGACTTTGCATAAAGTGTCATTTTTGTATCGACCCGGAGCAATCCACAGTTACATTTATTCGCTAATTACTAAACACTAGCACCCTAACCACAATTAAGACGAGTGGTACAATAGTTAACTTGAATAATTTTCAATATTTGTCCAATTCCATTTGAATGAGTAACATACGGGAGGAAACCGGAGTATCCGGTTATAACCTCACCATCCATACGATCTTAACAATGCTCAACGGCTGCCTTGAAAGCTCTTGCTTTCTGTACTGCCATCTACTGGCCAAGACACATCCCTGCAGGTTGATCACGAAGTTCGCTTCGCAGTGGACGATGGTAAAGCAATGCCCGTGTTTTGTGCTGTGGTCGTCACCAGTGCGGACGCCCAAGATGTTCGGATCCGGATACAAGTGCGAGCGGCTACGCGTCAACCTGCGCCTCGTCATCAACCGCCTGAAGCTTCTGCAGAAGAAGAAAAGTGAGTGTCTGGGGCGATGATCAAAACTGATATGTGAACTGAGAAAAGGGGCCTTGGCAAAGGTGGGCTTAGATCGTAGGGTAAGTGAAATGGCTAGTACTGTACTACCGGCTGGTTGGCTCCTTATTGTCGGAGAGAACATTAACAAATTGGGTGCCATGGTGGCGAGATGCTAACTCCCTTGCCTGGTATAGAGGAGGTTATTAGTTCAATCCCGACTCGGACACCTGTATATTTGGAGTTTGAATGTTCTGCCTGTGGTTGTGTGGATTTTTCTCTGGGTCCTCCGGTTTTCCCTCAACATTTAGAAACATGCGTTTAGCGTATTTGGCCACTATACAATTTTCACACGATAAGCCACTTCGTTGCGCTATCATTTGTAGCCAGGTTGCGTCTGAAAAAGAGCTATATATCTGAGTGGGCCTTACTTGGTAAAAGATAAAGTTAAATAGTTAGAATAGCCTGAATTGAGTGAACAAAAAAAGAGTCGCAAGCAGAGTTTCATTTTTCAGTTCTTTTTGCACTCATTTGTCCGTGTAAATCTTTTTTTATTTTGTTTGCAATTGCTACCTTACTGAGTGATTCTCTTAGTATTATTATCTCAAATACCCCTTTATTTTGGCACCTTGAGATGTACTGCACAAGGGAGTGCAACATAAGTATTTTATGTTGATGATGATCATGTAGCCGTGTTGGGGCTAATGCTTGGCGTGATGTTGTCACGTGCAGCGGAGTTGGCTCAGAAGGCGCGAAAGGAGATTGCGGACTACCTCGGCAGTGGCAAGGATGAGCGGGCGCGCATCCGCGTGGAGCACATCATCCGCGAGGACTACCTCGTGGAGGCCATGGAGATCCTGGAGCTGCTGTGTGACCTTCTGCTCGCACGATTCGGCCTTATCCAGTCCATGAAGTGAGCACCTCCCCGCCGCACGTTCACTGCTGAGACCCCAAACCATCACCCCTGGTCTCCCTTGCACATACCTAATTCACTCATCCTCAACCTGGCCACTTACACACATCAATAGGCCGAACCCAGTGGTTGGAAATCTGCAGCTCCGAAGCCGCATGCGGCTCTTTACAGACTGCTTTGTGATTAAATGTATATGTGGTATGTATGTATGCATTCAAATGGCATTGCGGCTCTTGGAATGTTGAGTTCTGTACCTAATTCGAAAAAAAGTTTTTTTGTTAGTTTGGTTGCCAACCCTTGCCCTAACCTTTACACGGACCTCAACCTCTCATTGTAGCTTATACCTTTTGCACACACTCATCTGACCCCATAACCAGCCACAACACCCCATAACTCTTAACCCTATCCTCTGGCACACTATTTTCAACTTATAACTCTAACCCATAGCTTCTCAAACACATGAACCCCAAGCCAAGAATGAATGGGACATATTCTTTTTCAGAAAATGTACTTGATACAATATAATTTGGATTAACTGTGACCATATCTCAGGAGGATGTACAGAATTGGGCATATTTATTTTCTAAATAGTGGCGTCAGTTGTAGGCTAAGGGAAAACAAAGGGAGGCCTTGATCCTTTAATTGCACAGGCAGTCTACAGCACGCACGATTGGATGGTTGGCAGGAGGGAGTTCCAGCCTCCGGGGGCAGCAGAGTAGCATGAGTCACCTCCCATTGAGCAAAGGTTTCCTGGGGGATATTTACTACCTTTCCACATCAACCAATCACGTGCTTTTAAAGGTGGATTGCGTCTTATGTGTCACATGCGTTCTGAAGTCGCCTTTCCCTGCTTTAATCCATGAGAAAGAGAGTGCGTGTTTAGCGATGACTCCAAAGTTATGCCTATCCTATGTCAGTACGATGTTGGAGTTTAGCCGTTTAGTTCAATCCTACGCCTTCTAACGCACTGTTGTGTTGGGGCGTGCAGAGAGATGGACCCGGGCCTCGAGGAAGCCATCTCCACACTCATTTGGGCTGCGCCGCGGCTGCAGGCCGAGGTGCAGGAGCTGAAGGTGGTGAGTGGCGCATGCGGTCTCCACTCGCGACGAGGGCAGTGTCACCGCAACGGGCGGCATGCGCGTAGTACACCACGTGGTTGACTTGTTCTCTGTAGAGGGTGTCGTTTCCGTCGTGATCATTGCTTGTTTATGTGAGCTCATTCACAAAAACGTGTGAGTACAGAGAAATTCTAAGTTTTTATCAAATTTTGCAACTGTGTCATAAGAGTCTAAACCGTAGGTGGCACATGACTTGCATAACAGATCACACATTAAAATAAATTACATTGTTTTTGCCAAAGTATAACTTTCAAGGGGAACTTCAGTCTTTGTACATCCAGGGCTCCACTTAATGGCATTTGAGAAGTCCTTTGGAGTTACAACTATGTCTATGGATGGCTGTGTGTGCCATATCAGCTGGCTAGCTGTGACTCTCTTTATGCTTGCACCCATGCCAGGTGTCTGATCAGCTGTGTGCCAAGTACAGCAAGGAGTATGGGAAGCTGTGTCGAACCAACCAGACTGGCACTGTCAACGAGCGGGTACGGCTGCTCTCCTACGCAAACTTCCCCTACTTTCCCTACTGTTCCATGAAGCCTTTCAAAGCCACTGAGCCATACATTTATTATGTACCCTATTTACCAAAGTTTGTTTGGTTTTCAAATTTTGTTATGTCTGTTACTGGTAATAATATGTGTACATGTACAGCTCTTTTTGTAAGTCCACTGCTGGGTGAGAATTTAAGCTTTGAAGGATGACCTAAGTGACCAATGTCACGAAAATGTCGCTGTTGCTATGGTACACTGTTTACGACAGATTATGTGACGCTGATTAATCCTTGCACAGTCATGGATCACTGGCCCTGGTTTCCACGTTGGTGAAAGTGCATAGAATATGACGTATAAAATAGACGAATGATAATAGGATTCCCAATAATTAATATGTAACTCTAAACGTAGGCTCATAGAAAAGTTTGTGAAAGTAAAAAAAAGAAAATGCATTCATTTTAAGGCGTGTCAGTAGAGGTATTCAATAAAGTCCATTGTCCTGTACGATGCTCAAATTGTCCAGCTTGGTGACGTTTGGTCACATTATGCCTCCCATGGATGGACTCATCCAGCAGTGGATTGACAATAGGGTTTTACATGTACTTTTTGGGCATCCCTTGTAAAATGTATTTTTCATGGCTGTGTTTTGTCACGTTGTCTGACGACTGCTACTGCTGTGTGTTTTTGTGTGTTCGTGGCTCTGCGTGTCAGAGTAGCTGATGCATAAACTGGGGGTGGAGGCACCGCCTAAAATGCTGGTGGAACGCTACCTCATTGAAATCGCCAAGAACTACAACGTGGGCTTCGAACCCGATGCCATCGTGCTGGTGGGTTCCATGATGACATCGCAGCTCTTCGGGTTAATCCCACAGGAAGCCAAATGCACTTTAATGGATACGTCCAAATCAGAATCAAAAGCAGTATAATTATTTATACTGGAGGAATCTGCTGAGTTGTAAAGCTCCTTTTCACAGATATCCAGTAAGGGGTGGGTCAGAAGGTTACAACAACAACAAAAAATACGAACATCCAGATGTAACCAGGACCCCCTTGAAAAAGTCTCGAGACTCGGCAAGGCTTTCCGATATAAATATATGGTTTTGTTATACTGTATGGCATAGTAATGTTCGGTATACTGCCCTGCCTATGGCTAAATCATCTGGCATGCGTTCCATCTCCTCAAATCTTAAGCGTTAAACACGGTGCGCCCTGGTGGTGAGATGTTAACTCCCTTGCCTGGTATTCAGGAAGTCATGGGTTTGATACCAACCCTCACGGTTTGCTGTATATTTTGAGTTTGCATTTTCTCCCTGTGTTCGTGTGGATTTTTCTCCAGTTCTTCCGGTTTTTCCTTCCACATTTAGAAATATGCATTTAGAGTATTTGACTGCTATACATTTCCATATGATAATCCACTTCGTTGAGATATCATTTGTGGCCAGGTCGCTTCTGAAAAGTAGCTATATAGCTCGGTGAACCTTACCTCGTAAATAACAAAAAAACATTGTTTGAGTCTTGGTGGTGCTTGGATAGGTGTTCACCAATCAGCTGAGTTGTCAGAGGCGGCTGTGGCAGCAGACCGCATTGCAGCAAAAGTCCCCTTATTTACTACGGTGCTAAGGTGATTTGCGTACTGCATGAAGAAACTGGAAAGCGGAGTTTTAGTTCTGCCCCCTATGTCGACTCAGCCTTAAATGAGTCTATGGTGCCATCTGTAAACATCAACGCTGGAGAGACAAAGGAGGCTGGGCTTGGTGCTAGCCACACTACCTACTCGTGCGGTATGCCGGCCTCTATAGGTGTTTGCTGATAACACTTGGTGTTGCTTAATGCTACTGTTAGTCTCACTTGTCTGTGCCACTGTTGGAACCGGTGTTGTTGCTGTTTTCAGTGCTGCTGTTGATCTCATTCAGGCTTTAAGTGGGGTGGGGTATCTTTGTTCACTAGGGCGAGGTCCCCGTTGCTGACGAGGCAGACCTGATTGGGGTCTACGGAGAAGTCGATGACTACAAGTGGGGGGGTGGCGGTCCTGCTGGCGGTCGCGGTGGCGGTCACGGCGGCGGTCACGGCGGCGGTCACGGTGGCGGTCACGGTGGCGGTCATGGTGGCGGTCCTGCTGGCGGTCCTGCTGGCGGTCACGGTGGCGGTCACGGTGGCGGTTATGGTGGCGGTGGCGGTCACAGCGGTGGTGGTGGTGGTGGCGGTGGCGGCGGCGGCGGCGGTGGCGGCGGTGGCGGTGGCTGCGTTGGGCCCCTGCCATTCGGGAATGCGGCGATGCCTCCTCCTCTGCCCAGCGGCATGCACCCCAATATGATGCCCATCCCCACCATGCCGACAATACCAACTGTGCCACCAGTGACTCCATTCTCATACCCGCCAGGAAATTCCCAGGTGAGTGTGCAGTATAGGAGGTGGTATCTGTGCATCACTTCTTATTTGGCAGACATGCTATACCAAAGTAAAATGCTACTTAATGATAATAGTGATGATTATCCACATATTGGAAATTGTGCCTATAAATAGGCAATTGTTAATTACTAAATAACGTATACTTTATATAATGATTGAGCTGACGCGCATGACTTCAATTTTGCATTTTCTTGTAGAATTCCAGTGGCCTGTATGAAGATGTCAGCGATCAGAAGTGCAAGCGTAAGTGTCCTGCGCTGCGTGGATAATGTTCAATTGAACTTTTTATTTCTAGAGGTTGGGTGTCAACTGTAATAGTTGAGGGATCTAGCAGAAAGAAGGGAACAATGGCAAAATGTGGTGGTATTAATGTGCAAATCAGTGAAAACCTAATTTGAAGTCCTGTATGATAATGGTTCTGAATTGACATTTGTCTTATATAGATGTATAAACTATGGGGACCTCATTTGCCAGTAAAAATATGATAATTGGTTCTTTACCCTTCTATCTGGCAACAAAACTGACACCTTTTTGCAAGGAGTCATGTTTGCATAGACCGCAATACCTGCAGTCATAAATACAAACAAAAGACATAACTCTGATAATGTGCACTGTCCTTGAAGTTGATTGGTCCACACCCGAGACAGCTTTCCTTCGAGCCTAGTCTCATATGGGTTGGACCAGATGACGCCAAAAGGCGCACAACTCAAGGACAATGCACCATCAGTGTATGAGAGCTCGGGGCAAGCATCTACACTATGGGGACCTCATTTGCCAGTAAAAATATGATAATTGGTTCTTTACCCTTCTATCTGGCAACAAAACTGACACCTTTTTGCAAGGAGTCATGTTTGCATAGACCGCAATACCTGCAGTCATAAATACAAACAAAAGACATAACTCTGATAATGTGCACTGTCCTTGAAGTTGATTGGTCCACACCCGAGACAGCTTTCCTTCGAGCCTAGTCTCATATGGGTTGGACCAGATGACGCCAAAAGGCGCACAACTCAAGGACAATGCACCATCAGAGTATGAGAGCTCGGGGCAAGCATCTACACTATGGGGACCTCATTTGCCAGTAAAAATATGATAATTGGTTCTTTACCCTTCTATCTGGCAACAAAACTGACACTTTTTTGCAAGGAGTCATGTTTGCATAGACCGCAATACCTGCAGTCATAAATACAAACAAAAGACATAACTCTGATAATGTGCACTGTCCTTGAAGTTGATTGGTCCACACCCGAGACAGCTTTCCTTCGAGCCTAGTCTCATATGGGTTGGACCAGATGACGCCAAAAGGCGCACAACTCAAGGACAATGCACCATCAGAGTATGAGCGCTCGGGGCAAGCATCTACACTATGGGGACCTCATTTGCCAGTAAAAATATGATAATTGGTTCTTTACCCTTCTATCTGGCAACAAAACTGACACTTTTTTGCAAGGAGTCATGTTTGCATAGACCGCAATACCTGCAGTCATAAATACAAACAAAAGACATAACTCTGATAATGTGCACTGTCCTTGAAGTTGATTGGTCCACACCCGAGACAGCTTTCCTTCGAGCCTAGTCTCATATGGGTTGGACCAGATGACGCCAAAAGGCGCACAACTCAAGGACAATGCACCATCAGAGTATGAGAGCTCGGGGCAAGCATCTACACTATGGGGACCTCATTTGCCAGTAAAAATATGATAATTGGTTCTTTACCCTTCTATCTGGCAACAAAACTGACACCTTTTTGCAAGGAGTCATGTTTGCATAGACCGCAATACCTGCAGTCATAAATACAAACAAAAGACATAACTCTGATAATGTGCACTGTCCTTGAAGTTGATTGGTCCACACCCGAGACAGCTTTCCTTCGAGCCTAGTCTCATATGGGTTGGACCAGATGACGCCAAAAGGCGCACAACTCAAGGACAATGCACCATCAGAGTATGAGAGCTCGGGGCAAGCATCTACACTATGGGGACCTCATTTGCCAGTAAAAATATGATAATTGGTTCTTTACCCTTCTATCTGGCAACAAAACTGACACCTTTTTGCAAGGAGTCTTGTTTGCATAGACCGCAATACCTGCAGTCATAAATACAAACAAAAGACATAACTCTGATAATGTGCACTGTCCTTGAAGTTGATTGGTCCACACCCGAGACAGCTTTCCTTCGAGCCTAGTCTCATATGGGTTGGACCAGATGACGCCAAAAGGCGCACAACTCAAGGACAATGCACCATCAGAGTATGAGAGCTCGGGGCAAGCATCTACACTATGGGGACCTCATTTGCCAGTAAAAATATGATAATTGCTTCTTTACCCTTCTATCTGGCAACAAAACTGACACCTTTTTGCAAGGAGTCACGTTTGCATAGACCGCAATACCTGCAGTCATAAATACAAACAAAAGACATAACTCTGATAATGTGCACTGTCCTTGAAGTTGATTGGTCCACACCCGAGACAGCTTTCCTTCGAGCCTAGTCTCATATGGGTTGGACCAGATGACGCCAAAAGGCGCACAACTCAAGGACAATGCACCATCAGAGTATGAGAGCTCGGGGCAAGCATCTACACTATGGGGACCTCATTTGCCAGTAAAAATATGATAATTGGTTCTTTACCCTTCTATCTGGCAGTTTTGTTTCCTTGCAAAAAGGTGTCAGTTTTGTTGCCAGATAGAAGGGTAAAGAACCAATTATCATCGATGTATAAAGTGCCTAATTCCAAGGTGCTTCACAGTAATTGTAAAATTTTACGTAAGATATTGGTTAAAAAAAAAGTGGAGTTATTAAAAGTGACGGTGTCATTATGTGACAGGAGAACAGGAGGGGGAGCTTAAGGAGGCATTAGGGTAGGCCTTTCACAATTCCAATGTATTGTATGCATTGAAGACACTATAAACTGGGTATCGTGAGCCTGGATCTGAACAAGAACCAGAGATTTGACATGAATGGCTGTGGGGATGAAACTCCAGACTATTGAGGGGCAGCAGAAGAGAGTGAGTGACTTCCCACTGAGTGCAGGTTGACTGGAGGTTTCAACCTAAAGCCTCGGTGGCTTGAGCATTTTTTGTGCGCTTGCTTGATTTTGTACATGTGCGTTTGTGTTTTCCTGTGTGCATGTCTGTTGTTGGTTTCTTTGCGTCCATACAGCACCCATGCCTGGGGGCTTTCCCGTCTTCCCCGGTGCCCCGGTTGCCCAGCCCCCTCCCGCCTACGACAACCTGGCCCCCCATTTCGACCTACCAGACCTGCCTACTGTGCCAGACTCGTTGCCGCAACCAGCCCCCCGCCGTCGCCCTCCCAACTCGTCTGGCCCGCCGCCTCCATCCGACGAGGTCGATTTTGACGACTTGACGCGGCGCTTCGAGGAGCTCAAGAAGAAGAAGTAAAATGGGGAGACGCTCCCACCTCCCCCATTCCTCGCTCTGTTTTCCTTCGTCAGCAGCATCTTCAATCTCTGTCCTATTTCTCTGCCTCCCACTCTTCCCTTTATTGATCTCATCTCACTCAATCATTTCTTTCTCCCTTCTCTCTCTTCCTGAATGATTTCCCTCCCTCCTTCCCCATCTTCCATCTCCCTCTCTCCCTCCCAGGCACTCTGGCAGACACTTTAGGGGGGGGTCATCTTGACACGAGGCAGCGCTACTCACTGAAGTGTAAAACTTGGACACGCAGTCTTGTTAGCCGCTGATAGACACTTTGCAATGAAGTTAGGAGATCCGCCCGTTTAGCCTGGGGAGGCCTTCTAATGATGAAAAGCGAGCGCGTGTGTGCGCATGTATGCGAAACAATCCTATCTTCTTGCATGATTGTAAAAGCAGTACATAGTGCTCTTTAGCCCGTTTCCTGACACAGATTCCAATGTGTCAATGGAAGCTTCTTAGTATTCCTCTTAAAAATGCAACCTAAAAACTAAACGGCTCGCATACAGTAGTTAGGTACGTAGTTGTGCTGTCAGACGCAAATAAGAATCTTTAGGAATCGGGACAAAGACTATGAAATCTGTACTAGTCATGCAAATATATTCATAATTTGTATCATTTGCGGTAATGTCAGGTCAGGTTTTTCCTATCCTCTTAAGATTAACACTCATTGGATACTCCTAGGGACAACAGGCCTGGTGTGTGGCTAGAGGATGATTTGCAGCTTGGCCTATAAGTTGCTTCTTGCATTTCCAATATAACACGGTTGCCTCAAGGTCAGCGACAGACGTGACCCCTTCCAAAGCTTGTACGACTCGTATTAAGGCGGCGTGGCTTCTCACCTTGTCGGCTACGGTACCCTGGCCAGCCTTAATAGACATCGCCTTGGCACGCTCGCCCACAGACCAGGCCTCTCGGGGACACCTAGCCTGGTACAGAGCATGGCCAAGTTTTTCCTGGTCCCTAAGTTGCCTTTGGCCCATTTGAATCACAATTGCTCTTGAGCATTGCTTCATATCGGTTGGGCTAAAAATGTGGCACAGTCTGCGGTTCTTGCCGAATTAACGACTGCAGTTGCTTCCATAGCCAAGGCAGAATGCTTCCAGTTCATATTAAAATCGTACGCTTCATTTCCATGGGGCAGCCACCTCGAGTTGAACTGGAGTTGGGCCGATTTCTCGCAGAACCCGAGTTGAAGGACAGTGGCGTCGTTCACGCGAGTTCGACGGCTCTTTCCCAGGCATACCTGCAAGCCGGAATGGCATACTTGTAAACGTGGAACGTTGGACCAACGTTGGTTCAACGGTTCCAACCACATGCCACAACGTTGGCCCAATGTATGTTTACTGGCGTCCAACTCGAGTTGATGGAAATATTTGGAAATTATCTTGCCTTCGTGGCAACTCAATTTAGTGGCTCGTGAGATGATGTTGGTGCACATTCACGACTTGTGTACGGTTTATATAGTAGTGGTTTTAAGTCGTGTGCATTTACACTTTATCTTGCTTTTGTGGATTAATTTAAATCAAAAGTTGTTCAAGAAAATGTGCCCTTGTCGCACTTTCTGTTGGGCTGCTGTGTTTGTATCTTTCCATTTCGTGTGTTATTTTAAATTGTAAAATGGTGGGTTGAGGGTTCTGTGAGTGTGCGCATGCATTTGTGAATGCATCTTATGAGCAGAATTTTGTTTGCTTTAACTTGTATCTCATTGTAGCTTTCAGCTGTGTTCGTCTCTGTGTGCGAGCATCATAAACTGGTCTGAAAGCGTGGCATATGCCACCTACACACTCCCAAGCATTTATTTTATAAAGCTGACTTTTGTAAATTAATAAACTCTTATTCTTGGGATGAAATGTATTGTCTTCCGTGAATTTATTGTGTAAGACACAGCCCTGTCGATGGGTTTTCAATTTAAAATGACTGCACTCGCACAAGCATATATCGTCAGCCATGGTGTATCCACTCCTGGATGAAGGCCTATCTGAACTGCCATGATGCCTGGAGAGCTGAATGGCGTTCAAAATAACTCAAAAGCACCATGTGAAAGACCCAACGCAGAAAATCCCTGGGTTTGATCTTCTATGAAGATCACGGTCCACCCTAAATCGCATCCAAACAAACCATGACATATGCGGATACCTGAGGCACAAATGGAAAATTGAAAACTTTCCAGTGTGCAACTGTGGTCATCCAGAACGGACCATACAACATAGCGATGCAATGCCCGATCCACAAATACAAAGGAGACATTGCAGCTATACGCCGCTGCTCCTCATGCGGTTTTCTGACTTGCCAAACTGAATGCGCAATTGTCGTTGTTGCTCTGCATCTAACATCAGCCGTCCGAAAGAATACTTGGTGCAGCAATGAATCTACGTCTTTCAAGACGAGCCGATCTCATTGCTCTACCTCAGGGGTCCTCAAACTACGGCCCGCGGGCCACATGCGGCCCGCCGAGGACATTTATCCGGCCCGCCGGGTGTTTTTGCCGCCGCTGCCTGTCTGTTACTTTTTTTCTACATGAGAAGGACGGTCATTGGTGGGAGAGGGAGAGGGGGCGGAGTTTCCCCCAATCAGACTGCATTGATGGGCAGTGCAGTCTGTATGTCTCTGTGTGGGCAAAGTTATTGCTGGTATATTGTTTTTGTAGCGCTGTATATATATTGGTATTTTACTAATAGCAATTTTGACTCCCTAGGAAACAATGATGTCAAGAAAGAGAAAAATTGACTCGGAGTGTAGGATATTCAAAGAACAGTGGACTTATGATTACTTTTTCATGCAGTACAAGGAAAGAGCTGTGTGTCTGATATGCCAGAATATAGTGTCTGTGTTCAAAGAATACAATTTACGTCAACACTATAAAACTCAACATAAAGATAAATATGCTTGTTTGGTCGGAGAAGTGAGAAAAGATAAAATATTAAAACTGAAAAATACATTAACAACTCGGCGAAATAGTTTTGTGAAGCAGAAGCAGCTAAATATTTCATCACTGCGAGCAAGTTTTCAAGTTGCCAAGCTAATAGCATGCACTGGCATACCATTCGTGGAGGGAGAATTTGTTAAAGAATGCCTTCTTTCTGTTGCCAAAGAGATGTGTCCAGAGAAGGCCGATTTATTTAGTACAGTGAGTCTTTTAGGACCTACAATTACACGGAGGATTGAAGAAATGGGAGACAATTTGCATCAGCATTTGCAAAACTCCACAAAAAAACTTTCCTATTTTTCATTGGCACTCGACGAAAGCAATGATGTTCGTGATTCTGCACAACTTCAAATTTTTATTCGTGCGACGAATGACTTTCGAAGTCACAGAAGAGCTTGCTGCACTGCAAAGTATCAAAGGAACAACTACAGGAGAGGATATCTTTCGATTTAAAGCTTTCGTGACTGCAGGGATTCATCTTCTTGGTTCTTTCGGTAAAGTCACATAGAAGGGAAGTAATAAAATAATTCTCACGACGTTTCGGCCACAACGCAAGCAGCCGTCCTCAGGTGAAAACCAGGTCTGTTGGGGAGACAGCGTCTGAATGAAACAGCACACGAGCTTGGAGCATATATAAGCTGGGTTGGAAGCGGGGGAAAGAGCGCCTTGACAAAATAATTTCAATATCAAGAGGAATTTAGCATATTTATGGGAAATGCAGGAATGTGATTAGTACTACATATGCCCGTGCTGCATATGTAGTACTAATAACATTCCTGCATGTCCCATAAATATGCTAAATTCCTCTTGATATGCAAATTATTTGTCAAGGCGCTCTTTCCCCCGTTTCCAACCCAGCTTATATATGCTCCAAGCTCGTGTGCTCTTTCATTCAGACGCTGTCTCCCCGACAGACCTGGCTTTCACCTGAGGACGGCTGCTTGCGTTGTGGCCGAAACGTCGTGAGAATTATTTTATTATGTTTTATTTTTATTATTTTATTACTTCCCTTCTACGTGACTTTATCGAAAGAACCAAGAAGAGAGGATATCTATGAAAAGGTTTGCCAAACTGTGAATGGTTTGGAGCTGAACTGGGCTAAACTAGCCAGTGTGACAACTGATGGTGCTCCTAGCATGGTGTGGTCTAAGAAAGGAGTAATTGCTCGCATTAACCAAGAGATGGACAAACATAACCATTCTCATCCAATAGCCATACACTGCCTCATCCACCAACAAGCGCTGTGTAGTAAATCACTGAAGTGGGACTCGGTTATGAAATTTGTAGTATCTTGTGTTAACTTCATTAGAGCTCATGCACTAAACCACAGACAATTTCAGGCATTTCTGTCTGAGATAAATGTTGACTATGAAGATGTTCTGTATCACACAGAAAGAAGTCCGTTGGCTGAGTCGAGGGAGAGTTTTGAAACGTTTCTATGACTTCCACAGATTACAGCTTTTCTGCTTAAAAAAAACAAAGAAGTACCAGAGCTCAATGATGCAGAATGGAAATGGCACCTTGCCTTTCTGACAGATGTAACAGAGCTACTCAACAGTTTCAATGTGCAACTTCAAGGAAAGGGGAAGCTCATCTGTGATATGCAATCACATGTCAAAGCATTTGAAGTAATATTAGGCCTCCTCATCAAACAAGTGAAGGAGGAAAACTTCTGCCATCTCCCCACAACTCAAAATCTGTTAGTGGAAAAACCATTGGTTGCATTCCCAAACAAAACGTGTGGATTCACTGGAAACATTGCAAAAGGAGTTCCAATTTGGATTTAAAGAGGTTCATCTCCATGAACAGGACATACAGCTTTTCCGTAACCCATTTTCTATTGACATTGAAAATGTGGATACAATTTACCAAATGGAACTGGCTGAACTGCAGAATTGTGACTCTCTGAAAGCAGGGTTGCGATTTCCGCATGGAAAATGCGGAAGGAGGGTTCAAATTTTCCCGCATTTTTGCTAAAGTCAACCGCAAACGGTGGAAAGACTACTCCTATGACCGCGCGCTTTTAACAACACGTTAATGCGTTCTATTGGAAAGGATACATGCAAGGCCCAGCATCACGTAGGGCTTTGAGTTACTGATTGGAATGAATATATGATTTCCGCATTTCCGCCAACCAGATCTAGACTAATGGATGCACACTTGCATCACTTGTTACGACTAGCAGTGACAAATATGGAACCGGACATTGACCATCTCATTAGCCAAAAGCAGGCCCATAGTTCCCATTGAAATACTGGCAAGTTTGTTGATTTAACTTTACTTGTTCTTCATTTTAAATATTGTATTTATTCCCGTTTTGTTTCTTCACTTCAAAATAAGATATATGCAGTGTGCATCGGAATTTGTTCATAGTTTTTTTTTTTAACTATAGTCCGGCCCTCCAACGGTCTGAGGGACAGTGAACTGGCCCCCTGTTTAAAAAGTTTGAGGACCCCTGCTCTACCTTATAGTGGGTGGGGCTGGCAGCGGATTAGGTGGGGGCTGTGAGCAAGTAGGTAGTGTCAAAGGCCACAGGGAAAGGGTTAGTAATTGAATAGATGCGGTTATGCGAACATTGGTGGGGACGACCGCTCAAAATGCGTCCAGTTGAGCCTCCCCGAAATTTTAATTGGCTGACGTTGCGTTGGCAAGCGGTGCACTCGCACAAATAACACATTCGTCAACAACGATCCCTTAAAAGGCACAATATATCGGTGGCGTTTTGGGCAATGCAGTTCTTATTTGCACACGCGTAGACCAGAGAGATGACAGTGCATAAGAGCTGGAGACTGCACTTAATACCATGGGGCCAGACTAGAATTACATGTTAAAAATATTTTCTGATCATCAGGCTGCATGACCAGGGCACCGTATGAATATTTGCACAGAGTAGCCATTGAGTAACAAACTCCCGGAAATAGTGTAGCCTTAGTCATAGGTGGTTGGTGCTGGTGCACAGGAAATACAATTCTATACTGCCACATTCTTGTACACCCCGCAGCCGAAACCTACACATTTACAACCCCCGGTATTCCTCAACAGTCTACCCGATCCAAGTACGAACCTCACTCAACACTCCTAAGCTTCCGAGATCCCGAAGAAGTCATCCCGTTCAGGGTGATGTGGTGGTGAAGTTCTAACGCATACCGTAGACAGCCCACCATTACACAGCTGCCCACTGAACTGGGTGCAAAGTCCGGGGGTGTCTGTCCACCACATTTACCCCCTTGTCCCCGTCCCTGCGCCGATGTTAGCCTGATAGCCGCGGCCCTTATCACGCCACCGGCCGTCCTTTGGACGGGTCTCTTGTGTGCGCGCGTGTTGCTGTATCGACGTTTCAGCGTTCGCTTCTCTGCACCGCGTGTTGTTTTTCAGCACGATGTCCGACGTTTCGCAGCACGCGCTACTCCAGGGAGCTGGATTAAGTTCTCTTCCGATGTTTGTATTATCCGCTCTTGTCCGTCTGGAGTTGTACGCGCACCGATTCGATGCGTCGCGTTATATCAGGAACGTGAATGATCTAAATCCGAGAATCTACACGTGACGTGGTAACAGTGTTGCACAGCTCATTTAAATCGTTACCGCACGTGGAGACAAACTTCCCCCATTCTCGCCGTGACACTGTTAGGGGCAAGTGCCGTCAGTGAGCATCTCCGAATCTGAATATTTCGGCTGGAGGAATCCGATGAGCCATGAAGCTCTTTTTCACAGACGTCCAGTGTGGACGGGTCAGCAAGTTACAACAGCAGGACCGGGACGGCACGCGACCGGGGTTGGTGGTCAGCACCACGCCCGGCCGCCTTTGTCTCCCTCATGTCGATGTTTACACATCGCACCAGGTACTCATTCGAGGCCGAGTCGGCCTAGGAGATGCCCAGGACCGGTTCAGAATCGAACTCGAGTCGCCAGGTTCGTAGCGTAGCGCGCTATCTGCTCCACCACCGCTCCCACCAGATCACCCTGGATCTTATGCAACAGACCACAATCCTATCGCACTTACCAGCGGTCATATGACGAGCCCTCTACAAATACATCTGTGGCCAGATTTTGACCATATCGGATCTGGCCAGCGATGTTGTCCTGTGGCCAGGCTACCGTCATAGTAACGTGGAATCTCCGCGACTGGCTCGGCTGCTAATGACGATGAACACGTGGCGAGCGAGACACTGATGTGAACACAACTTGTCATGCATCGTGACACATTGATACAGCACGGCGCTGTATCACGGCACGGAGTTGTGAGGTCATCATCCAGCAGTGGGACTGGCACAGTGGCTGTACAAATATTCTTATTCTGATCATCGCTAATTGATTCCGGGTCAGCGTGCTCACATCTGGGTTACACAACTACGGCACAAAACTGCTCATTACTTAACAGCACTTTGTCAATCCGCTGCTAAATAACGCCTCCCCACTCCGCCGTGACGGCCACGGCGTTGTTTGACCATACTTCACCACGCCGCTCAGTGGCTCAACATGACTTACGCTCGCCGCGTGGCCGGGAATCGAACTTAGGTCAAGAATGGTCAGCGCAGTGCACCACCGCGCGTCACACCGCTCCACATTTGAATAAAGGGCATCGATAATTGGCTGTGATTGCATCACATCTTGAGCAACGTTTGCGTATTGACGCGATCAGGAACCGCATCGGGAACGTGATTTCACAGGTACATCCATTAAAGTAACTCTACTGCATTCACAGACGACGCCAGGGGTCGGCAAACTAAATAAAGAGACATTTTAAAAAAAGAATTCAGCCAAAAAAACCCTCAATGTGTCAAGAGCCGCGATGCACGTGGACCACGAGACGTTGGTCCAGCACACAGACACGTGAAACGCGTTTCGTTTAACGCCCACAAACAGAAAAATGTCCCATCACGGCTTCCCCCCTTCACGCCTAATTAATATTCATGAGAACTCACCCCCCGTATAGCCGTGGTCGCCGGGACCACTGCCAGCCAATGAGCCACAGCGTATTCAAATAATCTAATTAATATTCATAAGACCGTAGCACACGCCCTGCTAATGAATATTCATAAGCCGCCAGGACACGCCCTGCTCATGAATATTCATCACATCGCGCCCTCTGAGCCAATGGCGCGCGAGTGACGCGTCACTAAATAATTAATTAAAGCCGCACCGCGGGTATAAAAGCGCTGAGCTCGACAACGCGCGCCCCTTTCAGTTCAGACCTCGGCACAGACGCGGCAGGCTCTTAAGTCCGGCAGCAGTGACAGCAACAACGCAACAGGCAACAAGCAACAGGCAACACTGCAACACGCAACAAGCAACAATGTCTCAGAAGCCGAACTACAAAGTTGGTACGTCGTGAGAAGCGGATTCGGCGTTCGAGTTCCGATGTCAGTCGGAAGCGTCAGCCGTTCACTCTGCGCGGTCATAATGCAATGAATGACCGGCGTGGTGAAGTATGGTGAAATTAGCCCACGGTGAGGGTTGAGGAATGATTGGGGGCTGTGCGTGTGTGACGTTATGCCTCAAGTGCACAGTTGCTATGCTTACATTTGCAAATAATTGCGCTCCATTGATGGGACGGCGCGCCAGGGTTTTGGTGTAAACTCCTGTGGCAGAGCCGCGCTCTCCACGCCACGCGCAGCGCTTCGGGTCGATCCACTGCTGGATGAGGAGGGCCACACCTGGTCGGTCGCGGCAATTTGACGCGACATCGGTGACGGCTTCAGGTGAAGTGCCTGGAGACGCTGGCAGCGCAGTGCGATGACAGCAGCTGTCAGTAAAACATCTGTTCCAAATTTTGATTTAAAATTTTCGTGACTGCAGGGATTCATATTGGTTCTTTGGGTAAAGTCACGTAGAAGGGAAATAATAAAAAATAAACCAATACAAATTCTCACGACGTTTCGACTGCAACACAAGCAATCATCATCAGGTGTGAAATCCACAGCAAGAACATTTTAATTTTTTTAAATGTCTTGCTGTGGATTTCACATCTGATGATTGCTTGTGTTGCAGTAGAAACGTCGTGAGAATTTTTATATATTTATTATTTCCCTTCTACGTGACTTTACCGAAAGAACCAATAATATATCTCCTGTTCCGGTTACGCAGTGTTGTTGTTATTATTATGCATTGTTACATATTGTGCAGGGCATCGGGTCGGAGTTTCGCGAACAAAGTTGTCGGTGAGGGTGCTGCTTGCTACTGTGGGACGTTGGACCAATTCGCCGCTTTATTTGTGTTAAATGCTAATGTGGCCGAGTGGTTTATTTTTTTCGCTCCGATGTGCGGGCTGGAATCTGAGTGGGGTGCTGAGAAAAAAAACCCCACGGCCACACACAGACGAGGGCGCCTGGCCGGTTCCCCGCTTCGCCTCGCACCGGCTGGAATCGCAGATCTCTTCGTGAGCCACCAACCCCTTTCGGCGATTCGGCTGCGCGTGCCGGGCGGCGCTTTGTGAATTTCGCTCGCACGCGGGCGAAACTTTTAACTTGCTGCGTACTTGGCAAAGCTGTAATTGTCGTTAACCCCGCCACCACCCGACATGGCCAATTAGTAAAGTTTGTCACGTAAACAGAACGTGCCAATTCGTGACTAGTACAGCACACTGGTGTGTTGGAGAGTATTCCCACATTTACAATCTGAGTACGTACGACGTTTCGCCAGTAATTGCAATCGGCATCATCAGACGACAGCCAGATTTGTGAGCTATGCATTGCATCGTGACATCGCGAATATAAGTGATGTCTTTATGTAAAACAACGCCATTTTTAACACTTGGCAGGAACCTCCTGTAAAACTTACACAAGACTCTAAAGACTTTCCTGAATAAACTCGCAGAATCAAATGTTCATTTGATGAGTAACGTGGATCCGTGGCCTCTTGAGTTGATAAGTGACACTGCCGAGTTAAGTTTAATTTGTTGAGTAAATCCATTGACGCGTGATAAGTTGATGACATACCTGTCAACCCATGCGGTTTACCTGTATTCTTGTACAGGGAAATTGAGTTTTCAGGTACCTTTTAATATGGAAAAAAATGTATATTTGTTTTTCCATTGTGATGGGGCTTTGTAGGATGAACTTTGAGATTTATAAGGGCACCGGGTGACCAATAAGGTCTGAATTGGTCTGTCATAAGTTTATAAGGGGTTGACAGGTAGGTGATGATATCTTGATACGATTACCGGTGGCATCTTCGTAAGTTGACAATGATATCGCGACGGCACTCCAAGTTAAACACTCAACACCTTTGTCAACAACACTGCGTGGCCCTATATTATTTTATATAGGTGACGTTTTGGGCAGTTACCCTTCTTCGAAGCCGAAGCACAAGGACCATTGCCCAAAAGCGTCACCTGTTATATATATTTTAAGGCGTCCGTTTTGATGAATATGAATGTTGTTTTTTGCTCTTCTGCCAATGCGGCAGCATCACCAAATAATTTATGTCCTCGCCACACGCCTGGAGGTAGGTGGCGTCTTGATGAATTTGGCAGCACCTTGATTAACATTTTGAATGCGTTGCTCTCGTGCATGGGGTCGGCAACCTTTCAAAGAAGAAGAGGCAATTTTTTTGGCTTCTGTCTTTGACCAAAATAGTTCAAGAGCCGCATCACACGCAGAGCTAATTCTACACAAACACAGCACGTATACAGCAGATGGCAAATAATTCTGACTTAACAAAGAGGTGATGGAATAAACTGCATCCATTTTAGTTTTTTCCTCCCCTTCTTCGTTAACAATACATTTTGACTACTATTTTGTCGTCAACACCACTGCCTGACATATTTGATAAGTTATTACGTTAAATTATGCTTAAGAATACTGTTTTTGTAACGGCTACCCGCAAGGGGTCAGCGAAAGAGCCCCAAGGAGGAAGCCAAAGAGCCACATGCAGCTCCGGAGCCGAAGGTTACCAACCCCTGCCCTAATGCCACGCAAGACTTAATGACCCGCCGTCCACCGCCTATCCCCTCGCCTCACAGCGGACATTTCCTTGGCGGAGTGGGGACGCAAGGCCCTCGACATCGCTGAGAATGAGATGCCGGGCCTCATGAAGATGCGCCAGATGTACGGCAAGTCCAAGCCGCTGACCGGCGCCCGCATCTCTGGCTGCCTCCACATGACGGTGCAGACGGCCGTTCTAATCGAGACGCTTGTGGAGCTGGGTGCCAAGGTGGGTGGTGCTCGTGCAGACAGGCACGCATGCACACACACGCGGATTAACGACGGAGACCTTGGTGGGTTGAGGTATCCCGGGCTGTTGGGGCAAGTGCTGGAGTCCTGATATGGTTGGCATGGCGCACGAGAACGTGGTGTGGCTACCACGGCACCCAACCTTTGCCTCCACAGCGCTGATGTTTGCACAACACACCGGGTTCAGATATCACTTGACACTGGATGTCAACTGTGGCCTGGAATCGAACCCAGGTGTCTGGGTTTGTAGCACAGCACATGAACCAGTACACCATCGCACCATTTATCAGTGTGCTCGCAAACACGCACATTGTTGTATACAAGCGCTTCTGTTCACGTGTGTACTCTTGTCTTTGTGCACACGTCTGATTGATCACCTGCTCATCCCCCCCTTTCCGCCCCCCGTCACCCTCCCTGATGCTCCCACCTGCAGGTGATGTGGTCGAGCTGCAACATCTTCTCCACGCAGGACCACGCCGCCGCTGCCATAGCCAAGGCCGGCATCCCTGGTGTGCGCAATGTCACTTGTGTGACGCACGCACACACACACATTGCCCCGATCCGACACACTGGATCAGACATCAACTGGCATGGACACACCGCCCTGATCGCGCACACCACCCCGATTGAACACGCCACACTGGAGAGACACACCGCTCGGCATGGAAACAACATCTGGCATGGACATGCCGCCCCCATCACACACACCACCCACCACGGACACACCGCACGGAATGGACGCACCGCCCAGCACGGACACACTGCACGGGACAGACTCGCACCACCCAGTTGACACGCACCGCCCAACACGAACCGCCCAACATGCACACACATCAGCTCGTCATGTGATAGCACGGTGGCCACAGGTGGTCAGGGGGTCATGATGTCAAGGGTGGCCCGTCGGCTGTGTTTGTCCAGGCGGGACAGTGTGGCGGCTGTGTGTGTCACCATGACTATGCATCTCTCCTCCTTGCCGATCAGATTGGTTCTTGATCTCTCCCCGTGTCAGCGCTGGCTGCCGATTGATTGCACAGAGCTGAATGTTGGCGATCTATCTATGATTTACTAGGGTCAGGGTTACAGGGTAGACCTTTGTAGTGACCAATGTTAGGAAAACATGATTATATTTATTATTTAAAGGTCTTGGATTCCTACACCACCTGGTGTCCCATGCTGGCTTTAATAGGTGCTTGCTCGTAGCGCTTGCACAAGTCTGTTTAACATTAGAGGAGTTGCTGATTTCATCTCCCCATATCGATGGTGGACATACTCTTGGGCACATTTTGTCTGTTTGGTTGGCTGTAGTAATCTCAGCTCTTGTAGCCCTTCTAGAATATTTAACGAAACACCCAGCAGATCAGATTCCTCATCCAAAAACATAAAAAAAAATTCCAATATATAAACAAATTAATCATAATTAATGTTTTGGTCGGATCGCCGCATATGTCGTATACCCTCCTCTACCCGACACAGCCAAATAAAGGTGTCGCGTCAACAAACTCGCAATGAAAATTCGTGCATTTGATCACCTGACTTTATTCATTTGTCTGTCAGGTGGCGGAGGGTGTACGACACACATCGGCATTTTTATTGCGCACTCGGACCCAAAAATGTACTTGCGAATCGTAACATATTGGTCACGAAAGCCCACTTGTTAAATTTATACCGGGTCTTGCGCAGACAGCTGTCCGTCGTCGTTTTCCCTTTCCGCGAACGAAGTCACAGGCGTCACATAGGCCGGTCAGCGTGGCGTAACCTGCACGCGCGCCCTCGCGGACGTCTGCCCTGACCTGTTGTCCATTATATGGAGCCCCCCCCCCCTCGGGTTTCCCCCTGTCGTTGACGAGGGGCGTGCGTGTGCCGCAGTGTTCGCGTGGAAGGGCGAGACGGACGAGGAGTACGTGTGGTGCATCGAGCAGACGCTCGTCTTCCCCGACGGGAAGCCGCTCAACATGATCCTGGACGACGGGGGGGACCTCACCAACCTCGTGCACACAAAGCACCCCGAACTGCTGAAAGGTGCGTCGCGTCCAACAGGATGGCCCACCCAACCGTATCGCCCACTTGCTGCCCCGCCGCTCATTCACTCACTCACTCACTCACCCACTTGCTCGCCAAATGAAATGCTCGCCCATTCTTGTATTCGTTAAGTCGTTTGCTCACTCGCTCGCTCACTCACCCGCTCGATCACCCTTCTTCGGGTTGCTGGCCCACACTCGTGTTCATCTGCTCGTTCGGTCACCTTCCTGGTCACTCGTTTGTTCTCTCCTGTGTTCATCCATTCACTTGCGCAATTTGCTCTTGTGCTCTGTTATTAGCTCGCTTGTTCACTTGCCCACTAGCTAGCCCATCCGATTACTTATCTGCCCACTTTCATGTCCGCCCGCGTACTCCCTCGCTCGCTCATTTGCACATTATTAATTTCTTGTGTTTTGTTCACTTGCCTCTTCACCCACTTTGCCAACTCGCCTCTTCACCGAATGCAAGTATCCTCTCCAGCTCAAGAGGGCCATGCAACAGCCGGAACAAATGAGTGCGCACGCAGATTGGTGTCATCAGCAGAAAAACACAACAGGATTCCCAACATGATGTGCATGTTTTGATGACGTTGCTATTTTTGTGCCCGGTCTGAAATGACATCGGCTTGATGGCCAGTCACCTGATCTCTACACTAAGGGGCAGCACTTTCCCACTTCCCCTACTAGAGGGAAACATATTAATCTCATGACGGTCATTCTCAGAGCTGGAATTCGGTCAAATGAAGCGCAAAACCAAAGATAATGCTATCGTTTTCTGTGTGGCCATTGGTGTCTGAGCTGAAATAATCAATTAACTTCACTGGAGCCTGTTTCATCACGAGCAGCGGGAACCTGGATTCTAGCCCTTCTCCTCAGCAGTGCTGTCTCGGTGTCTCTGACCCCTCATTGACTCGCCCACTTATCCATCCACTCACCCGTCCACTCACTCACTCACAGACTCATTCTCCCGCTCACCCAGTCATTCACCCTTCCACCAACCCACCCTCTCACCCGCTTACCCGCCCACTCGTCAGCTCATCCATTCACTCGCCTGCCCATTCGCCTGCCCACTCCCCTGCTCACTCGTCCGCTTGCCCGTTACGTGCGACTTGGCAGGCATCCGCGGCGTGTCTGAGGAGACGACCACGGGCGTGCACAACCTCTACAAGATGCTCAAGAACAATGAGCTCAAGATCCCAGCCATCAACGTCAACGACTCCGTCACCAAGGTAACGTCCCCAGCGCCCATACCCCTCTACCCCCACCCATGACGGATCTCCCCCACTGCCAGCCGATCATCCGACTCCCCCCACCCCCAACGACCCACCTCCCTCCCCCCCCATTTCCACTGCTGGTCCATGTAAATCCACCAAGATTTGTGGGTTTCTTCACAAGTCTATGGGTCTCTGCAAGTCGGAGTCTGTGTGTAATTCTGCAGTTGATTGTAAATCTAAGATTCTCTTTGTAAGTCTCCGTGCATGTTTGTGTATTAAGTTTACAGTCCTGTGCGAGTCTACGTAGGTAGGGCTCGATGCCCATTACATAATCGATGCCCATTACATAATCGGTGCCCATTACATAATCTGATAAAATGGGAGGAAAAAAGACAAAAGAATGTTTAAAAATATCGATCGTGATTAAGTAGGGGCAGATGTTTATTTGTATTTGTGGACAACTATCGATTTTGGCTACGGAGTCCATACGGCTTGGCGCAGACTTTTTGTGAACTGTTCCAAAGTCATGAACCACAACTCCAAAAAAAACACGGCTCTGGGTCGCCACACCCATGGATAATTGTGCACAGTGGCTTTAAATCACCACCGTGTGACGACAAAGGCAGCTTGCCGTGGGGCATGAGACGATGGCGCGTCAGAGTCGGTGGGAACGCGCCGTCTAAAAGTACGTCCTCCACAGAGGTGGAGCAATGCAATTGGCTTGCGTGTACAGGCACGAGAATCTCTGTTACTTCGCGGGATCGTGAGAGATGACGATGGTCTGGCAAGACTTCATCCGGCAGTGGAATGATCATGGCGGGTGATGATGATGATGATGATATGCGACATTCCTTGTTCTTGTCTGTGCCCTGATCCCTCTTATCTCCCGTTTTTTCCTGTGCCCACGATCCTTCCTCCACTACTCGCCCCCTCCTCCCTTCCCCCTCCCCTGTCGCACGGAACAGAGCAAGTTCGACAACCTGTACGGGTGCCGCGAGTCGCTGATCGACGGCATCAAGCGCGCCACGGACGTGATGATCGCAGGAAAGGTGGCAGTGGTGGCCGGCTACGGCGACGTGGGCAAGGGCTCCGCGCAGTCGCTGCGTGCGTTCGGGGCACGTGTCATCATCACCGAGATCGACCCCATCAATGCGCTGCAGGCCGCCATGGAGGGTGAGTGCGCCGCCACTATCACCACCCTCACCACCACCACCCCAGCTGCCAACGTCATTACCGACACCGTCACGAATTGTCATTGCCGCGACCGCCAACATCATCATGACCGTCACTACCGCCACTTCTGCCATCATCGCGACCAGTTCCATTGTGACCGCAACCATTATCACTAACACCATGATAGTGACAGCCACCATCGCGACAGCCACCGTTACCACCGCCATCCATGTCGATGCCATCACTGTGCCACAGCCTTTGACGACGTGACCTATCTGGCCCCCGAGAAAGGAGTAATACTGACACCAGCATTGGTGACACCAATATCACCGACACCGCCATGTTTGTTCTCACTCCGTCTCTCTCCGTCCCAGGCTACGAGGTGACGACGATGGACGAGGCCTGCAAGGAGGCCAACATCTTCGTGACGACGACCGGATGCAAGGACATCATCACGGGCAGGTGGGGGCTCGCGGTGGCTTAATTTGTGCACCTAGCCTGGCACAGGCGGCGTGGCGATATCGCCATCGGTCAGCGGTGATTGGCCGCCGTTGTCTTCGTTCGTGCGCTCGATCTGACCGTGTGGGCTCGCGTTCTTGTTGTTCCCGTGTCTTGCAGGCATTTTGAGCAGATGAAGGAGGACTCCATTGTGTGCAACATCGGTCACTTTGATTGCGAGCTGGACGTCAAGTGGCTCAACGACCATGCGGCCGCGAAGATCAACGTCAAGCCACAGGTAGGGGGGGCCCACCTGCGATCTGCGGGCCGGACGTGACCCGTGACTTCGTTTCATATGGCCAATGACTTTTAAACTATTTAAACTATTTTTTATTTTACCAGGTAAGGCCCACTGAGCTTTTTAGCTCTTTTTCAGAAGCCGCCTGGCCACAAATAATAGTGCAACGAAGCGGCTTATCGCGTTGATTATAAATGTGGGGGGAAAAAACTAGACCCAGAAAAATCCACGCGGTGGCTCGCCACTCGAACATCCTGCAGTCATGTGATGCCTACGACTTGGTAATGGCCCGCACATGATATGTATTTGTCGCTGTCTTAGCGCATTACTAGATTGCTTGCGACAGGGACTATTTTTGACCTCCCAACACTGTTTCTAATTTCGCCCCACTCAGTCACTTCTGTCACTTTTGCTTACTTGGATTGGTCAAGGAGTGGTGGGGGGGTGAGGGGTCAGAGTGGGGGTGGGGGGGGTTGCGGCAAGGATTGGTTCAGATCTCACTCGCCACTGACGTTAGCCGTGGCCAGTAATCAAACTTTACTGGCTGGGTTCACAGCGTAGTAAGCTAAGCACCGCGCTACCTGCGATTAATGGTGGCGAGATGTTAACTACCTTGCCTGGTATACAGAAGGTCGTGGATTAGATCCCAACCTTGATGCCTGTATATTTGGAGTTTGCGTGTCTCACCATGGTCGTGTGGATTTTTCTCTCCTGGTCCTCCGGGTATTCCCTCCACATTTAGAATGAACATGCGCTCAGAGTATTTGCCTGCAATGAATTTACACATAAGCCACTTCAATGAGCTATCATTTTGTCACCAGGTCACTTCTAAAAAAGAGCTATATAGCTCGGTGGGGTAAATGGAGGCACGCCGCTGCACTTTACATATTGTACAAGGCACAAAAATGTATCCTCCCAACTAATACGACCTCTTTGCCCCCCCCACTTCCTTCTGTCTCTGCCCCCCCCACCCCACAGGTTGACCGCTACCGCTTGAAGAACGGGCGTCACGTAATCCTGCTAGCAGAGGGGCGGCTTGTGAACCTGGGCTGCGCCATGGGCCACCCGAGCTTTGTGATGAGCAACTCCTTCACCAACCAGGTGCTGGCACAGATCGAGCTGTGGAAGCACACCGACAAGTATCCGCTCGGAGTCTACTTTCTGCCCAAGAAGGTAGCTAGCTCCCTTTTGTTGCTCACCTGGTCGGTCACTCATTTGTTCACTCGCTCGTGCTTGTTTACTCGTTTGCATGTGTATTTACTCACTTGTAAGAGTGACAATGCATCGATTTGTTTACGAATATCGACTCCCACGGCTCGTGATACATGGCATCAGATTGTGTGTCTGCTTGCCTTTCCGTTTGTATGTGTCCATATGTGTGTCTGCGTGCGTCTGTTCATGTGTCTATATTCCTCTGTCTAAATGTGTTTTAGTTGATGTGTCCATGTGTACCTGTGTGGTCGTGTGTGTGTGCGTCCCTGACCTCTGTATTCCATCATTTCCCACCTCCCACCCCCCACCACCATCTCCTCTCTCTGACCCGTTTCCCCCCCCGGAACAGCTGGATGAAGCCGTGGCGGAGGCTCACCTGCACCAGCTGGGCGTGAAGCTCACCAAGCTCTCGGACGATCAGGCTTCCTACCTCGGCATTCCACGTGAAGGGCCCTTCAAGCCTGACCACTACCGATATTGAAAGCTGTGCCCTGTATCCCGCTCTCTTGCCCCAAACCCCCCCATCCTGCCCTGCCCTGCCCAGGGTTGGACTAGACCTAACGACAACTTGGCATTTGTTTCCTATAAGCTGCCGGTTCCCAGAGTTTGAGACAATTCATTCTGCACGCAACTTGCATTGCCCCCCCCTCCCCGCTTGTGGCCGTGTTCGTGAGGTTTAAATGGTAAAAAAAGTGAAACTCGTAAACAAAAAGAGAAATCTTGAACTCGATTGCCAACGGTTTAATTGTCAGAAATTGTAACCGAAAGACGAGACCGAATGCGCGCGCGGCCGTCATCTCGATTCTGACCCTCGACGTCGCCACCGGAGCACTCTCGTGACGTCGCTGTGGCGACTTCTCGAAGCACAGCAGCTACTGATGCCGGGACATCACTCGAGTGCGATGGCGGTGCTCCTGAAAGTCACTTTACATTTCTTTTTGTCTCCGAAACGAAACTTTAAACCTCACAGGAGACAGCCTGACACAGCCAAGCTACCAGATTTCAGCTGTTCGATGGGTTTGCGTTATCCCCATCGGCTTTTAAGTGCTACTTAATATCCGATGGCTCAACCTGGTGTCTTTCACAGAGAAAATGCCCAATTTCCATTTGGCCCAATCCGGCCTTGATCATGTCGTGCCCTGTAGCAGCAACGATAATGCACCAAGCTCATCCCCTCTCCCGATGCAACAGCACAGTGGCCTGCATACACAATGTGGTCAGACGGAGAGAGAGTTGCTCACAATGATTCTCTTGGGTGGTTGAGTGTTAAAAATCCATCATTAAAACATAACAGGTACTTTGATGCATACATGGGGCCACCCACAGAGCGGCCGAGTGGTGTGTCACAGCTGTTGCATTCATATCAGTGGTTATCCGGTACATTCACTGCATTTAATTGACATGGTTTACGTCGCAAACTTCACAGGTTTTTATTTAATGTGGCTTGAAAAAAATCTCGTGCAGATTTTGACCAAACCCAGTTGCTCCTGCCTGGCCAATGTGCTCAAAAGGAGTAAGGACTCATTTGATTTAAAATGTATCCGTGTGCTTACGATGCACAAATTCCATCTTATATACTTAGTTCTTTCGAAAGAACCAAGAATATGAATCTCTGCAGTCACGAAAGCTTTAAATCAGAATTCCATCTTGTTTATGAGAATCGATCATTTACAATTTGCAGACGGATAAAACGAAACCTCTGTGTTAGAAGATCTATTTTGGGATCTCACTTGGCCCATCATCGTTAAAAGTATCTGCAGGTCAATAAAAATGAGTTCCGCTTTGTAGGACCATCATCAGTGTTCGTCCTATGGACGAACTGTTACTCGTCCATAGCAATGGTGAAATTTGACACCACTGGATCAGGACTCACAATGTAATTGAACAATCACCCCACACAGGCTTTGTTGGTTTCTCCACACGGGCATCAATCTCATTTCAGAAGCCTCATGTTTGCTGCAGTTAATGCTGCTGATGAATTGGTTTGTAATCGGTGATGTTGGACATTTTTAGGCAACTAAAGATTGAATAAAAGACGGCCGTGACCGAACCATTTGTGTGCGTGGTGGGGAGCGGTGGTGTAGCAGTTAGTACACTCGCAGCCAACACCAGTGATGATTATCTGAACCAGTCCTGGGCCTCCCCTAGGTCTACTCTGCCTCATGAGTACCTGGTGCAGTGTGGAAACATCGCCACTGGGAGACAAAGGTGGCCGGGCGTGGTGCTGGCGACCTACCCCCTCGTGAGCTGTCGACCGTCATAGGTGCCATCTAACAGCATTTGCCCCAACAGTCTTAAGGCTCTACGGGGGAATCTGTCTTTTTTGCGTGCGTGTGGTAAGTTGTAAGCGATGGCGTAGTGGTGTTCGTGTGCTGCGCTATGAACCCAGCCACCATAATTTGGTTCCCGTCGAGGTCGACTGTGTGTATAGAGTACTTCGTGAGGTGTGTAAACAAAAGCACTGGGGATACAAGGCGGCCAGGCGTGGTATTACACCACCCAGTTGTGCACCCATACCAGCTTCAATAGGCGCTCCCTAACAGCGCTTGCCCCAACAGTAAGACTTTTTGAGGATTTCTTTGGTAAATTAATAACACCGTCATCATCGTTGCAAAAAGTGTGGACCGACTAAAAGGGATGACGAGAAACGAATGCCCAGAGACTAACATGGGGAAATGAATCTCCATCGGGTTACATGGGAAATCAGAACGCCCGTAGGCCAACATTGAATAACGAATGCCCAAAGGGTTACATTGATAAACGAATGTCTTGGAATCCTGACGTTACAGGTACGATTTCATCTCTTGGGGTGACAGGTGAAATAATTGGCAAGTTTCTTAAAGTCATCAAGTCTCCATCCAGCGATATAAATGGGTACACCACGGCCAAAAATGCAGGTCGTGTGTGGTGGGGTGAAGTGTGGTGGGTACTCCGACATTCTTCTCGCACGTCTGCTCGGTGTGGAAGATTTGGCAAAATACCCAAATAGAGGCCACTCCCTTCCGCCAGCAGTGGCGTAAGCGCAATTGCAGGCCTGCACCTTTGACTTTAGCATCTCGCTGTAATGGCACATGGATCAGCAGGGCCACATTAACAACCAAATGTCACAAAAACTTAAAAGTTTGCGCAAATCAGCGTGGGGAGATGCACGCCGGGCGGTGGTGGCTGTGCACGTGGCTTGCAATTCAGCAGTGGAGGCGTCAGCGAGGGTCTGTGGATCACCACACAAATGTCGTGAAACTCCCTTCCCGTGGGCAACGAGGACGTGCACATACCTTGGCTCGCCAGGAGACGGCAGTACAGCAAAAGGTGGGCTCCACCTGCACCGTGTGTATGGGGTCGAGGAAGTTGGTTCTCGACCGGGAGTACCCCTTGGGGTACGTGCGGTGAATTGTGTGAAATAATATCATACATGAGTCACTGGTGAGTAATCACGTATGAATCTGCCAATATAAAATAACGACGATACAAATTAATGCCATATGGTAACCGAGGATGATATAAAAGACGAAATTTGAAGCTTTCGTGACTGCAAGGATTCATACTCTTTGGTTTTTTCGTTAAAGTCACTTAGATAAAAATTGAATTAAATGAAATCCAAATTAAATCACGACGTTTCAGGCACAACACAAGAAGGACACTTGTGTTGCGCCCGAAACGTCGTGATTTAATTTAGTTTTCATTTATTTGATTTGATTTTTTACCTACGTGACTTTACGGAAAAAAAACAAATAGTGTAGATATAAAAGACCTTTCTAAACTCATTGATCGTAAACTATCTGGTTTCCAAAAGGAACGTTGCGAGGGTGAACAAATTACGTCCTGCGTGCAGAACGTCCGTTACGCTTTTATTAATTCGCTTGCAGCTACTAAGCTCGCTAGTTAGGATATCTCACAAAACGGACAATAATTAAACTATTGATGTTCATTCTTCGTACATTTATTTCTCAAAACCATGTTGGGTCAGGCAAGGGGGTACTGGGTTGAAACTAAATGTAACCTGCGGTACAAGAGCCAGGAAAATGTTGAGAACCACTGGCATAGAGTGTTGCCCCCTCGCATGCGTTGGGTTTTCTGCGGGTGATCGGGTTTCCTCCCACAAGGTAAACAATCGATTAGCCGAACACATTCCTGCAGAGGGAGCTGGTAGGAACGTTGGGTTGCTCGGTCAATGGCCAGGGTCAACGGCGGCGTGGTGTATTCCGCAAATATGCCCGACTGTGAGGGCGGGCACAAGTCGGCGTGGGTAGGTTAAACGTTGAGTTTTATAAGGGCACCACGGGGTGACCAGCCCCTCCCCACCCAGCCTCACCCCTCCCACCCCCCACCCAGCCCTTCCCCACCCTCCCTCCCCACCCAGCCCCTCCCCACCCTCCCCACCCAGCCCCTTTCCACCCTTCCCACCCAGCCCCACCCTCCCCTCCCCACCCAGCCCCTCCCTGCACGACGGACGGACACAATAATCCCCTGTGGGCTGGTGTAACCAGGAGGTTCCTAACAGTATAACACCTTTATAGAAGGCCGCAGAGCTTGGGCAATTGTTGGTAGCGCCGGCTCACCGCGTGGCCGCTGCTGCCTTCCCGTCCGTATGTGGTTCCTATGTATGTTGGACTTATTTCGCACCGTACATAGCCAACCGTGCTAATCAGAGGGAAAGTTCCTCCTCCTGGCGCCTCCCTCCAAGAGCGAACGAATCCTTAGACACAAAAAGGAACACGTTCATTATAGAGGGCATACGCAGGTTAATAATGAGGCAAACTTAAGAAACGAATTCCGTGCTTCAAGTTCATTCAAACAGAGTTTGCAACACTCCCAGGCCACGCGCCTTACGATGACGATCGATTGTGTGCTCTCACGCCCAGTTAGCATCACCTTGCATCGTCTGTTCACCCGAGTGTGGACCTCTGGGTGGGACCCAGCTGACTGGAGTTGTATCGTGATTATCTCGAGAAGTGGGAAAGGTTTATCAGCCGATTGTAGCAGCTATCGTCTCATCATCCTCGTGATTGTTCTGGGGGGAAAATATTTTTGCCAACTTCCCAATTTGAAAAAAGTGGCGGTTTTCAAATTTTCTTGCTGTGGATTTCACACCTGATGATGATTGCTTATGTTGCAGTGGAAACGTCGTGATAATTTAAATTGTTTCATATTTGTATTATTTTATTATTTCCCTTCTATGTGACTTTACCGAAAGAACCAAGAATATGAATCCCTGCAGTTACGAAAGATTTAAATCAAAACTTAACACTGGTTCACTTGTCCCCACTCTCTACTAGACATCTGGGAAAAAGAGCTTAATAGCTCATCGGATTACTCCAGTATAAATAAATATTCAGATTCTTCACGAGAAAAGGCCACACAGAAGTCGCTTGATTTACGTCTCGTGCTGATTTAGATACTGCGAGACCCCGGTGTACGACTCCTCCTTTTACGTTGTTTCGCAAATACGTCGCCACGTCAAGGCCGTAATTATAATAGATATTGAGTGGGACACATCCCCCCCAATATTCAAATATCCTCAAAATGTTTTTAAAAATACTTTTTATTATTTTATTATTTTCCTTCTACGTGACTTTACCGAAAGAATCAAGAAGATGTCCCTCTCAATATATTGCTATAAAATAGATTTCAGTTTATATGATTGTGGTTAAACAAAGGTAAAAAAGAGAAAAAACTGAGCAATGTAATAACAATACACTATTAGTCATTATTGTAAAACATTAATAGAAAGTCCATCCCATGTGTTAGTGAATATTTTAGGCAGGAAATTAGTTTTCAAATTTAGATTTTTTTTCTGGGGGGGGGGACCCCCAGACCCCCTGGAAGATTTAGTCCCCCCCAATGTTGACTCCATGGCCACGTTATTTATACCGCTGTCTGATTTGCATCGACTCGACTCCCACACTTAACGTCGCCGACAGCATCGTCCGTCCTTTCTGGCATCTGTCGCAGCGGTCTTCGCCTCCACCACCGACTACCCCGTACGTCGCTTTGTATTTACGTCGTTCCGACGTTCGTCGTCCCGACGTTCGTCGTCGCACATTTCAGGGACGCATCCACAACTTTAACCGGGGTATTACTGCACACCGTAGTACCGTACAAATTGGATGGTTCTCCCATAGTGCTCTGAATAAGATGACAACATCGCACTGCGTGGATAATGCAAGGCAGCCTCAGACCACTGAGTCCAAATGAGATCGTTTCAATCTCTACAGCAGCTGCCTGCATGCTTTACCACAGGTGATGTGTGGTCAATGCAGGTTTAATGCCTTGTAAGAGGCGTTAAAGCATTTTAAAAACGTTTTTTCATCAACTTGATACTAAAAAAGGGTCCCCGTAGTTATAACGTCTTAACCCGTGCTGTGAATAATAGTAGGTTTTTACCCTTTTAACTGGTACAAAACTGACACCTTTATTCAAGGCATCATGTTTGCAATGACCACAACACAAGTAGTCAAAAAAGCAAACAAAAAGAAGCAACTCTGATAAGGATGATAATATGCACTGTCCTTGAAGTTGATTGGCCCACACCCGAGACGGCTTTCTTTAGAGCCTAGTCCCCATTGGTGTAGGGCCAGATGACACCAGAAGGCGTACAACTCAAACACAGTGCAATATCAGAGTATTGAGAGCTCGGGGTAAGCATTTACACTATGAGATCTCTTTTACCAGTGGCAAAATAAAATAGTAGGTTTTTACCCTTTTAACTGGTACAAAAAAACAAAAACCTACTATTATATTTTGCCACTGGTAAAAGAGATCTCATAGTGTAAATGCTTACCCCGAGCTCTCAATACTCTGATATTGCACTGTGTTTGAGTTGTACGCCTTCTGGTGTCATCTGGCCCTACACCAATGGGGACTAGGCTCTAAAGAAAGCCGTCTCGGGTGTGGGCCAATCAACTTCAAGGACAGTGCATATTATCATCCTTATCAGAGTTGCTTCTTTTTGTTTGCTTTTTTGACTACTTGTGTTGTGGTCATTGCAAACATGATGCCTTGAATAAAGGTGTCAGTTTTGTACCAGTTAAAAGGGTAAAAACCGTGCTGTGAATGTTTTGGCGTTTGCATCGTCCTTGGGACTATTCGCCCTTTGGTCCACCAGCACTGGTGAGATAAAGCGATAATAAAAGGGGTTGTCTGTGGTGGAAACCAATCAGATTCAAGGACAATGCCTACATTATATAGCCACCGCTGTTTATGGGTTGCCCCCACCACCTTCCCCGTACCATCCCCTACAGCAACAGTCGTCATTCACCACTAAGTGGCGGTGACGTCACCACGGCGCTTGTGCCAGGCTAGGTGCACTTTAACCCGCTGGCAGGTCACGAAGAAAGTCCCAGGTGTTACGGGTTGACCGAGATGCACCACCTGTGCCAACTTGCTGCGTTTTATTCGCTTCGCTCGTTGTTGTGAGCGTCGCTCCTCTGCCCTCCGTTATTGGAGGGCGACTGCCTCCACCTGCCCAGTAGCAGCATCGTCCTTCACGAGCCTCCTCCTCCACAGAGGCCCTTCTTGACACCGCTGGTACCAGTCATTGGCAAGCCCTGCTCAGCTCCATATCCTCCTGTACCACATCACTCTACCAACCCCACTCCTCCCCATGCACAACCAATCGAACCATCACTTCACTCACCCGTACAGCCATTCAACCCGCCCCCTACACTCCCACCCGCCCGCCTTGCCCATCTCCCACTGACCTTCGACCTTCCTCGTTTACCCACCTCCCCCCACCACCCACACAATGCAGTCATAACCCCACTTTCTCCTCCGATCCACCACCCTCATCCCAGCCCTCGCTCTACAACCCTCGCCCTCTCTCAGCCTCATCTGACTCAACTATAACCCACGTGCGCCTCTGCCAATTGCGCCCTCGCGACGTGGCTGGGTTCAGATGGCTGCTGCTGCTGCTGCAGATGGTGGCCCTGCCAGACATCAGCCGCTCGCCGGCAAAATAGCCGTGGTCACGGGCTCCACGTACGGGTGAGTGCCGAGCGGTTGGGGGGGTGTTGGTGGTGTCGGTGGTGGTGGATGCGGTCCCTGCCTCCAGGTGAGAACCTAATGCAGTAAAGTGAATAAAACATTTTTTTAAGGTAACATGAAAATAATGAAAACTAAATTAGCTTTACTTTCACGTACTTTGAGTCCAACGGTTCAGTCGTTGGATGCTGGGACTCGAACAAGTAAGTATGACTGAACGTTCGGATGGTTAAACATTAAATTTTAAGGCGAATGAACATTCGTAAGTGCGTGTGATTGCAAGTCCGACGTTTTATCTCGGGGACTGCCTGTACTAGGCAAGGTCGAGTGCGGATGCATCGAGTGATAGCACAGCTGATGCATCGGTTCACGCAGTTCTGTACAAGTTCTCCGATCGATTTGTTTATTTAGGGTTGTATCACCGCGTGTTATTCTGGCATCATGTCCGACGTTTCGCCCCTCCGCGTGCTGGAAGATATTTCGGAACTGGACTGAACTTCACGAGATGGACAAAACGCACAATGGCCAGCCAGTGCGAGTAGTAATTAGACAAGACGAGAAGTGAACTTATTTTAGTTACTGGAGAAGCTCCCGTCGGGAATTGTGCCGAACAACGAGCAGTAGGACATGTTATTACAATTCTAGATTTGAAGCTTTCGTGACTGCAAGGATTACTCTTTGTTTTTTTCGGTAAAGTCACGTCGGTAAAACAATCAATAAAATAAAATAAATGCAACTGACTTTTTGTCTCGTTGTCTGTTAAAATCTCGAACAGAAATTTCTCCCCATAGAGGGCATTATTTGCCCTTGATTATTTATTTATTTTATTGATTGTTTTACCTACGCGACTTTACAGAAAAACCCAAAGATGTTATTACAACTCGAAAACACAGGAGTGAGATCTAAATATCAATTGCGTTCCAGTGAAATCTTAGAGCAGTGATGATAATGGGGGAAACAATTCCTTTATTGAGAGGAGGGGTAAAGGAGGAGTGGGGATGGGCGAATGCGCATGAACTGCCCGGTTCGTCCACTGCTGGATGAGGACACACGGAACGCCTACAAAACACCCACTGCGTGCTGAGTGATCACCCATCGGCAAAGCACGATCCAGGCTCAACAGCTGCCCAACTTCTGAGCGGTGATGTGATCCAGTGCGTTCCGAGGGATCGGGCCAGGAATGGTGATGAAGTGGTTCGCGCACTGCTGCGTTACAAACCTGGCCCCCCTGGGTTCCATTCCTGGCCACGACCAAGATCAGTGACGAGTTGGTCTTGGGTTCCGCTGCACTCCACCAACTCGCACTGACCAGGGTGGTGATGTGTGGTCAACAAACCTCCATGATCAGGGGTCTGTAACCTGAGGCTCGGATCCTGAGTCGCATGCAACTCTTTAAGGACTGCTTCGTGATGTCACTCATTAAGGACCGTCTTGTATTCAAATGCATTGCGGCGCTTGAAATATTGAGTTTTTTTTACCGAATTCGAAAAAAAGGCTCTTGTTGTTTTGGTTGCCAAACCCTGCCCATGACCTAAGCGGTCAAAGGGGCTTTAATATCAATACTGCTCAGGGTGGTTCTACGGGGGTCAGGCTGAGTGACGCGGGAGGGGTTATCGTAGACAAAGTTTGCAAGGTCAACTTTGTGTAAACGGGGTTGAATTCATACCACAGACAACAAGTGGTGGCGACGTGCCAGGCTAGGTGCACTTTGAGGCTACGTGAATTGTGGAAGGCTCGCTGCTGGAAAGAGGTCCCGAGACAGACCCAGGTGTTACGGGTTGATTGAGATGACTGGCACCAACTGAGCTCCCCAACCGCACGGTGCTGCCCTCGTTGCTGTGAGTGTTGCTCCTCCACGCATCACTGTTCATCTTGGAGGTTGCAACGCTTGCTCCGGTAATAATTTTGGCACAAAGTTTCCATGAAACGATTGATCTAATTATAGCGATATAGGGTACGTTGATAAAGGAAAATTATCCACACGTGTAACTTGTGATCTAGAATAGTATAGTGCTTTACACCGATAATCCCGACATCCAAACCATCCGAGTAACATTGCGATAAATATCGAGTGAAATAGAATTTATTCTCTATTTTTGTGTACAAATAAAAGTGTGAACATTGAAAAACTTGTTTTTAACATATATTTTGTATCGATATTTATTTTTTTTCTTAAGAGACAAAAACAGGATCAGATTTCAGGACCTCCCAACCCTCTGGTGAATGAATCAATGAGCGAACGAATACGATCACTGTAATCAGTGAAATATATGGGTTAACTGCACGAACATATGATGTGTGTCGCGTCCAGGATCGGGCTGGCCATAGCGCGCAGGTTGGCCCAGCATGGCGCCCACGTGGTCGTGAGCAGTCGTACCGAGGAACACGTGGCCCACGCTGCCGAGGAACTCAACGCCGAGGGCCTGAACGCCACGGGCATCGTGTGCCACGTGGGGGATGCCGCTCAGCGCACAAGGCTCATCAAAGAGGTGGGGCCATGACCCTGAACTTTGCACCATGAGCGTGACCCCTGCCTGCCGCGACGGGAGGTTCCAGCAGCAGTTACCATGCCCACCGCTGACGCGCATCTTCATCGCAAACTCAAACTTCAAGGTTGAAATTTAAAAAATATTACAAACACACATTCAATGAAACTTTGTACCTGTGGCCCCATACCATGGCGTAGGGAGTGGAGTCGATTGCGCAAAAAGGGCAGCAGACAGGCAGGAAAGATCAGTGGGAAATGTAAGGGATGCCGGGACAGAAGTCCTCAAGGCAGACAAAGAAGAGGGCACGGCTCAAGATGAGCAGCAGGGAGAGCGAAAGAACAGCACCGGTGCAGGAAGGGGAGTAGGAGAGGGAGTAGGAGGGGGAGAAGGAATGAACGTGCCGAGATGTCGGAGATGAGAGTGTGGTGATGATGAGAGGGGAGGGAAGAGGGAAAAGAGGGAAGGGATGAGCAAGCAGAAGTGAGCTGCATGGAGGGCGTCAGGGAGAGGGGAGGCATTCAGAGTGGGGGTAGCCACACATAATTCACGTGATTAACGGGAGCTTTGAGCTGATTTAGGATCAGTGAGTGTGTGGTACACAGAGATCATGAGGGTATCTGGGAACCCGGGGTGCAGTGAGGCCCTGGTTCACCAATGGAACTCATTAAACTTGTACTGCTGCAACAGAAACAATATTTCATAAATAGTTTGAAAGCTATACGTCACGTTTGGTTGGTTATTGTTTTGCACGGGGACTACACCTCACAATGTGCATAATATTCTGATTCGTTTCACATGTAAAAATGCTAACAACCAATTAAAATGGATTGCAGAAAATGTTTGACCCGGGCCGATAAAGGAGGCTACAAAAGTATTGCTCAATATAAAATAAGCAAAACAAGTGTTATGTACAAGTTCGCGAAGCAAATTAATATATCGCCAATCATTCGTCATCACCATCATCACAATCATCACTTACCTATCGTAATCACCTCCGATTAGCACAATTGGCTACATATATAAATCCAATCAACTACCATACCTACATCTAAAATGATCCGTAATGATTATCATCGGTTATTCATCAGTAGACATCAGTCATAATGACAATAATTAATCGGCAATAATCAGTCATTCACATCTTTTGCCGAAACGCACACGCCACTCCGTGAGTTGCGCAATTCGGTTGCAACTTATCCACAGAATAGTTGTGAAAGATGTACTTTGTCCTGGCTATGCAACCGTGTAAATGCCATCATAAATGTGTGCGCCCTTGCAGACTGTGAGCAAGCTGGGAGGGCTGGACATCCTCGTGCTCAACGCGGCAGTGAACCCGTACGTCGGACCCCTCCTCAACGCCACCGCGGAGATCTGGGATAAGGTGAGAGGCTCCAGAGTTCGACCCGAGAACGCTAAAAGGCGAACACTGCAAGCCCATGAAGAAGGTGGTCTCTGGTGTAGGCCAATCAGTTTCAAAGACAATGTGTGCATTATTATCTGAGTATGTTTGTTTGCATGTTTTGCCACAAGTACGTGTGGTTAATGCAGACTTGATTTCATGCAAATGGTATCTAATCATGTTTTATTGCCTATTCTTATTTTCATTATTATTTCTACTATTCATAGTCAGTCGGCAGTGATTTTCACAATCCCATGCTTCCTCTTAGGTGCAGTTATTGGACATCTGTATGAATAAATATTGTCATACTGAAATATTCTGACGGGTTGGTGGGTTAATTGGTTAATTGCTGGGCTATTTTATTGGTTAATTTAATTAGTAAATGTATGTATTCATTAATTGGCTGACGTGATAATTTGTTATTTTATATGTGACCGCACAGGTGCTGGATGTGAATTTAAAAGCCCCGTTCCTCTTGGTGAAGGAGGCCGCTCCTCACATGAAGGAGCGAGGGTGAGTGACGGGCGTGGGAAAGAGGAGGTGGGGGAGAAATGAGGGGGATTGGGGGGGAGCGAGGGAGGGAATACAGTCGGATCAAGTTGATTTGCTTAACCTAGGATTCGGCAACCAAAAAAGACAAGGGCCATTTTTTTCGAATTCGGTAAAAAACAAAATATTTCAAGAACTGCAATGTATGTGCATACGAGATGGTGGCCCTTAATAAATAACGTCACGAAACAGTTGTTAATGAGCCACATGAAGCTCCGGAGCCAAAGGTTGATAACCTCCGCCCATGGTAAACTGGACTTCCATGGTCAAGGGTCAGCAAGCAAAATAACAAGAAACATTGTTTTAGAATGTCAAGAGCCACACTGCAGTCCTCAAAGAGCTGCATGCGGCTCCGGAACCGCATGTTGCCGACCCCTGGCTTCACGTGGTGAGAACTCAAGGGAACAAACTGAGTCTCGTTTGCAAGAGTGGACTGACATGCATCACCAAAATGACAACAGTAAAACAAATAAAGTGAAATCATAGCAAATGAAGCAAATAGAAATCAGTGCAAAAGCAAATGCGTCATCACGTGACAAATCGAAGATGTCGGCAAAAGCACGCATCGGTGTTTAAGGATGGATTCCGTGTGGCATGGCGTGAGATGACGCACACGGAGCGGGCACCGCCAACCACTCGCGGCATACACCTGGCACCTGCTGCGTATAGCTGGCAGATTAACCAGGGGGGTCTCTCATATCAGCACCTCCCCACCTCCCCCCCCCCCCACCACCTCCCCCCCACCACCTCCCCCCCCCGGTCGTGTGGTTTAGGGAAGGTGCGGTTGTATTCATCTCGTCTGTCACCGCTTACTTCCCAAACGAGGTAAGGGGGTCAAGGCTTCAGGGCTCAAGGCCAGGTTAAAATAAAAACCATGAACAATTGTTATTTTACCAGGTAAGGCCCATTGAGCTATACGGCTTTTTCAGAACCTATCTAGCCACCAAAGATAGCTCAATTAAGTGGCTTATCACGTGGAAATGTATCGCGGCCGAATATTCTAAACACACGTTGATTCTAAATGTGGAGGGAAAAAACTGGAGGACCCGGAGAAAAATCCGCGTGACCATGCAGATTTAAAACATGCCAACTCCAAACATAACACAGGTGTCAGGGTTGGGAGCGAACCCACGACCTCCTGCATTCCAGGCAAGGTCGTTAACATCGCATGACCTACTCGGGGGTCCCAAGCTGCATTCCCCTGGCAGGGGGGTAAGGACCCTCTCGATCGATTCCTTGCTCCCTTTCAGCAGTGGTTGGACATTAGAGGATGACAATGATAAACGATGGTGGTGGTAATTAAGACGCTGCCAACTCTAAAGGTTTGCCAAGTGATTTAGCATCGGCAGCATAACATCGAAACATGGAAGTAGGGGGCTGCTACCCCCCAATTCTTGTAAAACTGGAGGTATGCACCTTCGTGCTCACCACCCTCACCACAATCATCTCCTTCACCACCTTGACCAAGCTTACCCACCCTCACCACGAGCACGGACCTTACCACGCTCACCCACTCCCACAATGCTTACCGTACCATGCTCACCACGATCACCATCCCCACCGCGCTCACTGGCCATCCCTTTGAGGGTTGCGGTGCCGACTTTTAATCGGTGCTCGCTAACAGGGGGCTCGCTCGGTGGTGCCGCGTGCAGGACATAGGCCCCTACTGCGTGAGCAAGACGGCTCTGCTGGGCCTCACCAAAGCCCTGTCGCGGTCGCTTGCCGCCATGAACATCCGCGTGAACAACGTGGCGCCCGGGCTCATCGAGACCGGCTTCAGCGCCGGCGTGAGTGACTCCCAGAACTTACACGGGAGGTGCAGACTTGCCTGGGAATGTGTAGACTCGCCCAGGGACGTGCAAGCTTGACCGGGGAGGTGCAGACTCGCTAACACCACTTGCTCCAACAATCCATGTAGGTTCCATGGGGGATCTTTGTCTTTGTGATATAGTGTTGTAACATGATGTGATCACAGTGTGGCGAAGGTGGCTGTGGTGGTGTGGCCAGTGCGGACGTGGTGTGTAGTCACATTTTGGTGTGTGCGGTGCGTGCAGCTGGTAAAGGATGAGAAGATGATGGAGATGTTCAGAAAAGTTACCGCCATTCCCAGGTGAGTCTTAACGTCCGGCTGAGATCTACACAACTCTCATCCCTAAACCGAGGCCTGACGACCTTATTCTTATTACCCATAATGGTAAATTGGAATTCCCACCCACTGCCTTGGGGGGCAGTGGCGTGGTTGTCATGAGCCCTGTGGTGCAAGCACCGAGGCAGTTGCACGTCCTGCACACTCAATAGCTATACATGACCAAGCACGACACTAGTCTATGAGTGTCTGCGTGCATCTGGGACTTGGTGGTAAAGCGTGGTTGGCTTGGGCCCTGGTTGCAAGGTGTGATAATGGAGCCCGCTGTCCCAACTTGCCCTGCTACCTCCTGGCCTCGTGGCCCGGTGCCTGCATGGGCCTCTGTGCGCTCCTGTGCAGTTGCATGGCCTGCACACTCGATTAGCTGCGTGACTGTCCAGCAGTGGAGATGGCGTTGGGTTTGACTTTGCAGGGCTGGCTCCCCCGAGGAGGTGGCGTCCCTCGTCTCGTTCCTGTGCTCCCGGGATGCCGGCTACATCACGGGGCAGACGATGGTGGTGGATGGAGGGGGCATCTCGCGCCTCTAGCGCCCTGCACAACGCAGCCTACACCCTGCGCGATACAATCTACCGTCTCTACCCTGCTCTCCACATGATGCACCCTACATCCTGCGCAGTGCACAAAGCATCCTGCATGATGCTTTCTTCACAACGTATCCAATCTCACTGCACCTTGCACAATACAGCCTGCAACCCAGCCCTCTGCTTCGTAGACCTAGCTCGCTTCCTGCACAGTGCACCCCATTTACCAGCACCCTGCAATCGGCACGCTTCACCCGTCTCTCTGTGGTAGCAGCTCCTCCCTGCACCACCCGGCTGACTCCACTGCATGCCGCGTTCTGCACGTTGCCTCAAGGGCGTGTGGGTAAAGCATTCCCGTGGTAATTATTCAAACTATAACTTTTTATTTCACCAGGTAAATTACTTATATAACTCTTTTTAGAAGCAATCTGGCCACAAATGATAGTTCAACGGAGTGGCTTATCTTGTAGAAATGTATTGCAGAAAAATACTCTAAACGCATGTTTCTAAATGTAGAGGGAAAAACCAGATAACCTGGAGAACAATCCTCGCAACCACGGGGAGGGAGAGAGACATGCAAACTCCAAATATTCAGGTGTCACGGTCCGGATCGAACCCACGACCTCCTGCAAACTAGGTGAGGGAGTTAACATTTCACCACCGTGGCGCCATTATTTTGTACCAGGTTACACAGTAACAGACTCGAACGAAGACGCAGTCCCTCCACATGGCGTTTAACAGTTTGTGGGGCAAGCAAGTGCTGTTAGAGCACTTTTTTAGGCCAGCAAGTTATATGAGGGGCGTGGGTGGTCAGTTTTACCCAGGATAGCCACACTGAGTCTCATGACTTTTCAGGAGAGTCCTGCCAGGATTTCCCAGCGATGATTGCTATGCACAGTATATTCCAACTGAGTAATTTGCGGGCAATTTTATTAAAATCTGGTCCATTATGCTGGGACCTTCAACATCCGCTCGGAAGCAGACGGCACGTGGTGTCTTTGCGGTGAACACGCTTGTAGCATTAAACAGGGCGGCCGCTGGATTAGAACCGCAAACCTCCGCGACAAACGGCGAACGCACTACTGTGACAGATACACATGTCGAGTGTGTAATCACTCAACATGTGTGAGTGATTACGCACAACAACATTGCGTTGAGTAATTATACAACAATGTTGATTCCACACAACAATGTTGTATTGAGTGTAATTACACGCAACAATGTTGATTACACCACGTTTTATTGAGCGTAATTACAACAATGTTGATTACACACAACGTTGTGTTGAATGCAATCACAACAACGTTGTGTTGAGTAATCACACGCAACAAAGTTGTGTTGAGTGTAATCAGAATGTTGTGTAATTACACACAACAATGTTGATCACACACGTTTTAATGAGTACAGTATAATTAAAACACTGTTGATTACACACAATGTTGTGTTGAGTGTAATCACACACAACGTTGTGTTGAGTAATACAGATAGTCCCCGAGTTACGATGGTCCGACTTACGATATTTCAATCTTACGATGGCGATACGACAAAATTGTTAAATATTTTGAATTTCGCGCGGCAGACAAACGCAGCAGCGTACGAGGTACGATGCTGTACGTTGGGGCGCTGCCGAGATGTATGCATCTCCCGCCTTGTGTGATGCAGATAGGATTGTTTCCTGAAAAAAACTTCCTATTAAATTGCAGTTCATATAGGTAGGCTCATAATTTACCTTGTTTTTTACTGTGCAATACAGTATTGTAATTAATAAATACATACAGTATATAGTTTTTACAGTACGCCACTGTAAATTGCTCTGTTTTGCAAAATTATCACCATTTTTTAAGACTCCTGGGTAGGCAAGGCCATCTTCGACTTACGATATTTTTGACTTACGATGTGGGTCGTCGTAACGCATCTCCATCGTAAGTAGAGGACAACCTGTATCATCACAGGCAACAATGTTGATGACACACGGGGTCCAATAGAGGGCGCCGTAGTCGTGGTACGGGGACGCGAGTTATGAACGCCACTCCGGCGCTGTAAAGCGATCAGAACCGGAATATTTATTTGTACACTGGAGGAATCCGATGAGCTATGCAGCTCTTTCTCACAGACGTCCAGCGTCTTGGCCGTCACGATAGAACGATTAGAACGAGGCCGTTAAACGTGGAGGTATAAATGAGGGTGATGCTGGTAGGAACCTCCTGGTTACACCAGCCCACAGGGGATTATTGTGTCCGTCCGTCGTGCATCCAAAAATGGGAGGGGTGGGGCTGGGTGGAGAGGGGAGGGTGGGGAGGGACTGGGAGGGTGGGGCTAGGTGGGGAGGGTGGGGGCTGGGTGGGGAGGGGCTGGTCACCCCGTGGTGCCCTTATAAAACTCAACGTTTAACCTACTCACGCCGGCTTGTGCCCACCCTCACATTCGGGCATATTTGCGGAATACACCACGCCGCCGTTGACCCTGGCCATTGACCGAGCAACCCAACGTTACTACCAGCTCTCTCTGCAGGAATGTGTTATAAGTCGGTGTGTCGTGCCCTAGTGAAGTTGCCATGGGCGTGTTCGTGGCCGTGTCAGGAGCGAGGTGAGGGGTGAGGAGGGCGAGGTGAGGTCGGTAAGGGAGGTGCCCTTCTCAGGACCAAGTCGCGTGCGAGTGTTGCACGATATTTGTTGCTATGCTCGATGTTTGATTTGTGACAAAACAATGAATAAAGTACTCAATACATCGTGAATTATCGTCAATTATTCGTTTCTGCTACATAGAGGGCAGGTAACCGCGCGTGCCGGGGGGGGGGGGGGTTCACGTGCTCTGGCTCCGCCCACAGTAGGCGGGGCCAATGACGTCACCTCCGGCTTTGACGTCACTCCGACAGGGCGAGCGAGCTGAGCGGCTGCTTCTCTCTTGCGCCCCCAACAGGAACTATGAGGTTCTTCAAGAGAGCGCAGCAGTTGCAAGCGACGCTGGAGACTTCGAATTCGTCAACAGTGGAGGTGAGTGGCGCCACCTGTTGCCTTTCAGCGGCATCGGAGTTATACGAAATAAATACCGTGATCACATCGAGAGAAAAAAAATCGATTTTTTTTTGTTATTTAAGTTTAACTTTAAAATTGAACGCTTGATACGTAGGTAAGGAGGTTCATAGTTTAATATCACAGATTGAGGGTTTCATCAAGGATTTTAGTCGGAAGGAGCTTTCTCTGGGCAAGGTGGGCCTTGTTTGCGTTGCCATGGTGACAGCATCTCGGACCAACTGCCGTTGTCCAGCAGCTGTGCCTGGGGGTCACGTGGCATTTGGATGACGCGATAAGGACGAGCCGTAGACTCCGCCCATATAGGGTTGGCTCCGCCCACATAGCGTGGAGCCAATGACGTCACCACTGTGATGTCTTTGGTTCTTTCGGTTAAGTCACGTATAAAGATAAAATAATAAATTAAATTAAATACTAGCATACGACGTTTCGATTGCAACACAAGCAATCATCATCAGGTGATGTCTGTTACGTCATTCATATCGGTTTTTGGGTGAGATCGCGTTATTATAAATGTGTCGCAACCCTCCACCACCCGACACGGCCAATCAGTAAAAAATGTGTCACGTTAACAAAACGCCAATTAGTTACTTCTTCAGCCCACCGGTGTGTTTGAAGAGTGAATCCACAACATTTAGAATTTGAGTACGACGTTTCGCTGGTAATTACATTACTAATCTTGACTTAGGGGCCGTCCATAAATGACGTCACGCAATTTTGGGCGATTTTTAACCCCCCCCCTCGTCACACGGCGTCACCAAAAGTCAGACCCCCTCAAATATGACGTCACAAAGCTCTGCCCCCATATTTCCATTTTGAAAATAAAACATGCTTCAAATCACTTTAAACTATCGTCATTGTAGTGCGCATTTAATGTGGCGCTACACTTTGATATTGTAGGAGAAAGTATGTATTAAAAAGGTGTTGGAAAGCTGAAATTTAGCATAAAATTCACTTGAAAATATTCAACGTCCAACTAAAACTGCAGATGTTCAGAATATTACATTGAAATTCTCTTAGGATTATAAAATTTTAAAAGTAATTATAACTAAAAAATTACTTGAAACTGTGCAGTAGAACGAAGCAAAATGGAGAGTACAATTATAACAATCACATATTCATTTCACAGAATGTTTTGATGGCAGAGTTGTACTTGGCAAGAGAGGGGAGACAAAGCTAGGCTGGAGTGGAGGCCACCGCTAGAAATCTGTATGGAATTAATACAGGCAGTCCTCGCTTAGCGCTCAAGATGCGTAGGTGGAGAAGTGAACATTCATCATAATAAAGGCATTCATCGAATCAGCGCTTGAAGGGTTATACCATTGTACATATGGGGATGCCTTCCCTACAGCGTTGTCTCTTATGCACAATAAACGAGGGCTTCATTGGGGTGTCAGTATCAGCGCAATTTAATTACAGTAATAAAACAGATAGTAAACATTATATCAAAACAAATATATCTTTGTATTATCAATAAGTATTATGTAATGTACTCGCCTGATGCTCACCCACTCGAACGACCTTATCACTTGCATGTTACCATTCTAAGTGATACTTTTCCTTGACCTGTTGGTCTCATTTCCAGCACTAACACATTTGCAGGCCTCTTTCCAGACATTTGGGGGCAAAGAGAGACCAAGAAAGAGCAAACACGTCGGCGGACCAGGGTGTCTTTTAAAAACTGGCGAGCGCTGCGTGGCTCAAAGCGTACTGTGATTAAACTGAATAACAAATATTGTAACAACATTGACAAAATTATACTCGTGACCATACAGCGTCATAATTGAATCGTGGGGGTTAGTTGCTGGTTGCCCCAGAGCGTTCGTCACTCTCACTGGCTGAGCGAATGTAAACAGAGATGGCGGTGGGTGCGTTTCTCTGAGACCAACGCTGCTGCGCGTTCTACCACGGTGTTTAGGCTGTGTGGGGAATAGTGTTGTCTTGCGTGGGTGTGTGGGTGTCAGCGTATCTGTCCTATATGTGTCTACCTGTATATGAGGTACTTCACTTGCCATGTGCCATGGTGTTGTCTCCACCATCCGAAGTCAAATGGCGTCCGTCACGATGCTAATGAAGGCAGGATTTACAGGGAGGAGCTAACGTGCCCATGCCATGTGCCCTTGCTCCAGTCGCAGTTGCCAATGCCGGAGAACGAAATGCACCAGCTGTCTCAGGAGGTGTCGAACCTGCGGGCCAACCTGGGCAGGGCACGAGCGCATTTCAACACCCTGCGTCGTGCACTGAGCCAGAAGGATAAGAGCCTCCACGAGATGCTGCACCAACTAGAGATCCACCGTGCTGAGGAGGTACCGTGGCCGCCGCCAACCCCTCCCCGTCCCCTTGTTGCCCGGAGCGCGGCTAAAATTAAACGTGTTTTCGTTGTGAAGCTGCGTGGTGCACAAGCAGGGATAACAAAACCTCAACATATTCGTCAATAAGACTGCAATGAATATTGCTTTGAGTTATCTGCTCTAAAAAAGGGCCATTGCCTGAAACGTCACCATTTCGTTTTTGATGAATGTGTTGAGTTTTTATTCAGAGTGCGATCTAAACGTCAAGGAAATGGGCCATTAAATAAGTGCATTCTGGGAGGTGGCTGGGTGCCCCAGGGGTCAGAGATGCTGTGCCAGCACTGCTGAGATGCCAGGATCAAATCCAGATTACAGCCACCCAACCGCAGTGATTTAACCGGGTTCCCAAGCGTAATGAGTTGGTGGTCTCAGCCTGGCCGCCAATGAGTGCACAAATAAACCCAACGAATAATATTTTGGTTCTGTACTTAATTTGGCTAAATTTGAATCCTAATACTGTTGAAAATGAAAAAAAGCAGATCAAACACAATTTTTGTATCATAGCATCTCCCCACAGAATGTGCATGTAGTATATTTTACTGATTAATACACCTGTATGGGGCTGACCAGCATGGGGAAGTATAGTAAAACACATCCCCATGACCGACATGGCATTGAGTTGTTCTGAATATTGACTCCATTTGAAGACGATCATTTGGGTGCTCGGAATTTCTTCATAATCTAATGATGAAGAGCGTTTCCATGTTGTATGCATGCTTACCAATGGTTGATATATCATGGTTATATTTTCGGCATTTCTTTTAGTATTCGAAATATTTTATATTCTCTTTAAACGTGATTGTGGTATGTTCATTACGACCATGGGTGTTTAACCCGTGGTCGTATTGTTCACAATATAATCAAAACTTCTTCTCTTTTCATTTTGAAAAGCATCCATTGCATGTGTGCGTACCCATCTGCGTGAGTGCCACCTATATGGGCACATGTGCGTCTCTGTACTCGATCTCTGTGTCTCTGCATGCGTACGTTGTCTCCCTGTACATGTAATGCCTGTGGCTATGTACATGTCTCTCCATATGCACTGTGACTTTCCGTACATGTGTCCAATTTTTTACATGTGACTTGCTTGTGTCATTGCGTGTACATGTCTCTGTATGTTTGTCATTTCTCTATTTCTTTTCGTGTGTCTCCTGCCTGTGTCTCTGTCTCTATTTCTCTGTACAACTACATACTGCGTGTATCAGTATGTCTCTACCTGTCCTCATCTGCACGCTGCACGTGTCTGTGATGAGGGGTTGCCCACCTATGCATACACGTGCCTGTGCCACTGTGCCCATCTGTCCGTGAGCAGCTACGGGCGCACTCGCAGGCCATCGACAGCCTGCAGGCGGAGTTGGAGGCAGCGCGGCGGGGTGAGCAGGAGGCCGAGGAGCGTTCCGTGCACGACGCCAAAGCCGCGTCATCGGAGCTGGCAGAGTTCACGCTTAGGACTGAGCGGCTTCAGGAGCAGCTGAGACATGAGCACGAGGAGACTCTGAATCTGGCACGCATGGAGCTGGCCGAATATCGTGCATCGCACACGCACGCCGACTCAGAGTACGACGCTCACGTCGTGCACATCGCGGTCCTGCAGAAGGTGAGGCCTCCACTCTCGCAACAGCCACCCCCCTACCCTCCCCCTACCCACACTCTAGCTCCCTTGTCATTCGGGGCCATTGATTGGTGTCCTGGAAAATACTTGATAAGCCACATAATCACTTAGAGCTCTTTTCATAATTGGCCAAGGCTCATTCATTGCTGGATGAAGGTCTCCCTTAAGCCACCACCACCTCTCACAATCTTGCAATGATAACAATTCACTTAGTACCTGCACACAATCAGATTCCATCGCTCCATTCCCAGGCTGACCATCCGTCATCCCCTTGAGCAATGTATCCTGCCCAAGCCCACTTAATTTTCTCAATATATTGGGTGAGCGATGAAAAGAATTATGAATGTATTCAAATTACATGTAATCATGTGTAATATAGATACTGCCTGTCCTCCGCCCGCAGGAGCTGAAGGAGCGTGACGAGCTGCTGCGGCGCTCTGAGGCCGACCTGGTGGTGGCACAGGAAGTGGCACGAGAGCGTGGCACTGAAGCCGAGCGGCTGGGCGCCGAGGCCGCGGAGCTGAGTGTGACCATGCGTGACCTCTATGCCAACCAAGAGGTGCAGCAAACTGAGGTGGACACCCTGCGGGATGAAGCGCTGGAGTTGCAGCAACGGCTGCAGGAGACCAACACTTGCTTCGAGGAGACCGGTGGGTCGGGGCCTGTGCTCCCAATCTTTCTAAATCCACGGACCCATTGAACACTCATTTTTGTAGACCACTATGCACCAATAACTTATTTTCACGAGTTTGAACGAGTCTAAGTCCTAGAAACATTTCACACGTGGACCACTTCCATTGCCTAACATAGTAGGACTGCACTGGGTTTACTAAATGCTCTCTCGCTAAGTCCTTCCTGTGCATGTATTATTATTTTGGACCCTGTTTGAATGCAAGCTGGTGAATAAGTCTGAGGTACCTAATCCCTCTAGCCCCGAGTCTGCTGCTACTACTCCCGCTGCTGTTACTCTTCCTCCTGATGCTTGCTGCTCTTTCTCCACCTGCTGCCGCTGGTGGCTATACTGTCTTCATCGCCGTGGTTTTGTGTCCCTTTCGGCAGCCAATTCTCTGAAGCAACAGCATGAGCGTGCGGAGCTGTCTCAGGCAGATCTGGTGGCGATGCAGGCACGGCTAGGCGAGCACAAGGTGGAGAGCGAGCGGATGCTGCAGAATGAGAAGCGCCGTGCCCAGGAAGAGCTCGACAACACCAGGTGCGTAGCGCAGGCACCGGTGGCAGCGACGGTGAGATTGGGGGCATGGGGGGCGTGTTTAGGAGGGTGCTCGGTGGGTGTGGGAGTGATGGAATGGCGGTCCGTAGCGAGGTGGCAGAGGTGAGCGGTGGTGGAATGGCGGTAGAGTCACATCAAGGAGTCATGGCACGAGAAGGACAAATACGTGCAACGTCCAAGGTGTTCAGATCACGCATGTGCGAGCGTGTGCTTCCGAAGAGCAGAACACAGGGTAACTGAGGTTGAGTGATGGACATATGGGAAAGTAGAAAATCAAGGAACAATTTGTAATACAATCCACGTTTGAAAAAGTTCCCAGGCTGCTCTTCTTGTAGCACCAGTCGTACCATGGCCATGCAATTGCTTTTACTGAGATTTGGTGATCTGCACATATGCACCGTGGCCTTCAGCTTACCGCTTCTCGAATGCTCATTCTCTTCCTCTTCACTCCCCTTGCCCCGCTCTTTCCTTTACCTCCCCTACCCATTCGTGATCCCGAAGTACCCTATGTCGCGGTCTCTCATTCTTTAACCCTTGTATGCCCCTACCATCTAAATGATTAAATTCTGTCACTTTTTTTAAATATGTCAAACGCTTTGAATTAAGTCGCTCTATAAATATACAATTAGATTAGATATATAGGATAGTGCAGTGTGAGATCTTCCATGGTTCGGTGTTGGATTCTCAGTGCGAGTGAGCGAGCGAGTTAGTGAGCGTGGGAGTGCCCGTGCTTGACGCCGTGCTGCCTCCTTGTGGTGTTGTACAGGGGCAAGATGGAGTTCATCAAGGCCGAGCTGGGAGTCTCCAGGGCAGAGGAGGCCACGACGGCACAGGAAGTGGTGCGGCTGCAGTACACAATTCATCACGCGGATGCTGAGATGAATTTCATGCGCGGCCAGATCGACGGGCTGCAGCACCAGGTAACCAGAGGCTTAAGCTGCAGTCCCACACCTCTATTTGTGTGCACGTGAGTTCGCGTTTAAAGTCAATGTTAAAAAATATATATATTTCATGGAAGCAGGTTCTTAAGTACGAATGTTCGTAAGTCCGGTGTTCGTAAGCCGAGGACTGCCTATATACACTTATTTTTCACACTGATGTATAGATGCGCGCTGGGTTACTGAACATCCTCCGTTTAGGGACTGTACCACGTTACAATCCATCATCCCACCTCTAGTAGAAGTACCTACTACTACTAGACAATCTCCCTGTTGCTACGTGCATCTCGATCCCATCCCTTAATTTTACCTTTTAATGCACCTTTTGGGTTAATTGATTCATATATATGGGCTTTTATAGGTGTTATTTTGGGTTGTATGGATGGTGGTCGCCCATCCAAGCACCATCAAAGTTAAACCGTGCTTTTCTTCTAAAATATAATATTGGGTGTATTTTGGGTCATTTGGTCATGGGTGGTATGATGTATGGACATATGTGAAAAAGAGTTTCATAGCTGTTCAGATTCCTATATTTAAAATAAAGATACTGGTTCTGTATGTCTTCGTTGTATCTGAATGTTCTATAGTAACTGCACGCAGTCATTAAAATGCTTTGCCGTATCCCTCTGCTGCTTTATGGCCGTGGCCCACACAGCTCATTGAGAACAACAATCAGACGGGATCCCTGCAGGCGGGGATTCTGGGCTACCAGCGCATGGTGGCGGAGCTGCATGCTGCGCTGGCGCCATCCCACGAAAACTTGCAGAGCTTGCACGTACAGCTCCAGGATCTGCAAGTGGTGCACCAGCAGAGCGAGGCGAAGGTGAGCGCACAGCATTTGGCGTCACAAAGATCCCCTGTATAGCCTTAATAGACTATTGGGGCAAGTGCTGTTAGCGAGCACCTATGAAGGCCGGCACAGCATGCGAGGGGATGTGTGACCAGCACCATACCCATCTGCCTGTGTATCCCAAGTGGTGATGTTTACACACCGTCTAGGTGCTCATTTGAGGCTGAATCGACCTAGGGGAGGCCTAGGAACGATTCAGAAAATTGTCACTAGTGTTGGCCATGAGTGAGAATTTAACTCGGGTCGCTGGGTTCGTAGCGCAGCGCGCAAACTGCTAAAGTGCCGCTCCCCACGCACTCAATTTCACATACACACACGTGTGTGTGCACACCCACTTTCACTTCCAGCACGAGGCTGACTCATGACATCTCATGGAGGATCGCTGCAATGAACAAAATAGTTCCACGGTTCAGTTTGCAAATGCGAGTTTGCATTTTAAGTCAATGGTAACCGAAAATTAATACATTTCATGGAAACAGGTTCGTCAGTCGGATATCCGTAAGTTGATGACTGCCTGTATACACTTCTTTTTCATACTGATTGTACAGTATGGATGCGCACTGGGTTACTGAGCATCCTCTGTTTTGGAACTGTACCACGTTACGATCCACCATCCCACCTCTAGTAGAAGTACCTACTACTACGAGACCATCTGCTTCCCTCTGCTACATGCATCTCCCTCCCTGTTTTTGGTTGGAAAGCCATTTTAATCTGAGATTTTAATGCAGCTTTTGGGTTAATTCATATATGTGGGCTTTTATAGGTGTTCTCTTGGGTTGTATGGATGGTGGTAGTCCATCCAAGCACTATGGAAGTTCAGCCATGCTTTTCTTCCAAGATCTGAGGTGATTGGGTGCATTCTGGTAATTTGGTCATAGGTGGTGTATGGACATCTGTGTAAAAGAGCTTCATAGCTCATTACATTGCTCAATTATAAATAAAGATTCCGATTCGATGTGTCTGTTGTTGCATCTGTATGTTATACAATAACCGCACGCAATCGTTAAAATGCTTTTCTGTTTCTTTGCCGCCGTTTGCCCATGGCCCACACAGCTCATTGACAGGAATTGGCAGCTGGAATCTCTGCAGGCAGAGATTCAGTGGTATGAACGTGTGGTGGTGGAGCTGCACGCCGAGTTGGCGCCCTACCGCGACAACAGCCAGAGCACACACTCAGAGCAGCAGCGTCTGCAGAGCGAGGTGGAGGTGAGCACACAGCACTCGTGCGTCGCACACACACAAGTATATAATTTGCGTTAAACGTAAATAATATATTCATACACACGATTCAGTGTATGATGATAATGAGCTGGTCTAACCATCTCGTTAAGTCGTCATGGTCCTCATTTACAAATACAGATTATCTATCTATAGACACAATTCCATTATTGCTGTAAACAATGATAACGATAAGAATGATTTAGCACCTTTCTGTACACCGGGGCATCTCAGAGTGCTTTACATCACATCTCATCTCAGAGTGTTTGAAAGGGAACCCTCAATGACAGATGTCCCTGTGGGCACAAGGTGACTCAGCACCTGGCGTGAAATTGGCATTTGTCTGCCAGTAGGGGGTGCTGATTGTTGTGTGTAATCCCAGTTGAGCTCGTATATGTACTTAGTTGTGTGTAGTGTATAATGGGTCGGTTTGTCCACAGCTTCCTACGGTTGAGGAAGAGGACATCTCAATCTGCTCACTGGAGCCCGGCGTTCAAGAAGCCTCCCAAGACCTGCCCCCCAAGGCCTCCAACACCCTCCGCGCCTCTCACATTGACTAACACACACACATATCGACTGACAAACACACATATCGACTTACAAATATACATCGACTCACACACATGCATGGACCTAAACACACATGGACTTACACACACATATGGACTTACACACACACACACCGACTCACACACACACATGGACTTACACACACAATTTTATACGGACTTATACACACACATATCGACTAAGACACACACACGTGGACTACACACACACATGGACCCCCGCACACACATCGACTGACACACACACAGACTGACACACACACATCGACTCACACACACACACTGCCCTACACACACATACACATATGGACTCACACACACAGACATCGACTTTAGATACACACAAAGACAAAGATCCCCCGTATAGCCTTAACAGACTGTAGGGGTAAGTGCTGTTAGCGAGCACCTATAAAGGCCGGAACGGCACACGAGGGGGTGGGTGGCCAGCACCACGCCCGACCGCCTTTGTCTCCCCAGTGGCGATGTTTATGCACCGCACCAGGTACTCATTTCAGGCTGAGTCGACCTAGGGGAGGCCCAGGACTGGTTCAGATAATCGTCACTGGTGTTGGCCGTGAGCGGGAATCGAACCCGGGTCGCCAGATTCATAGCGCAGCGAGCTAACTGCTACACTACCGCTCCCCACACAAATAGACAAATATCCCCCGTGTAGCCTTAACAGACTGTAGGGGCAAGTGCTGTTAGCGAGCACCTATGAAGGCAGGCACGGCACACGAGGGGTTGGGTGGCCAACACCACGCCTGGCCGCCTTTGTCTCCCTAGTGGCGATGTTTACACACCGCACCAGGTACTCATTTTAGGCTGAGTCGACCTAGGGGAGGCCAAGGACCGGTTCTGATAACCGTCACCGGTGTTGGCCATGAGCGGGAATCGAACTCGGGTCGCCGGGTTCACAGCGCAGCGCGCTAACCACTACACTACCGCTCCCCACACACTCACACACACGTAAACGTACACACACACATCGACTCGCACACATATGGACTCATCACACACACATACACATCGACGTACACACATATCGACTGACACATGTAATATTGCTCGCAGAGACGGCGTCTCTCTTCTGTTTGTTTATTATCAAATAAATATCAACCAATAACTCAATGTGCAACTGCGAGTGACTATATACACATGGGTGTTTCACACGACACGATTCTGGGATAACATAACCTCTTCTTGTAAGACAACTCGCGGACGATGAAGACGGCCTGGTCCCAGATCACGACGGCGTAGTTCCCCCACACCAAGCAGTGCCCTGAACCTTCACTCACACTGCTACTTATCCTCACCGGGCCCGACCACACCCTATGCCTTAATCCAATTGGTTCCCATCTAAGGAATGCTTATTAACTCGTCCTTCCCTACCATTGGCTCTCGTCGCGTGAATGCTCATGAACTCATTAGCAACCATGGTCCCGGTAACCCTTCCATTAGTAACTATGGTCCCGGGGAGCCCCACCGTCCGCTATCGCCCCGCACTGTCATTACAACACCCCCCCTTTGCAACGTCAATAACGGCTTCCGAACGCCGAGATGTAATAATTTGGTTTCGTGTACCTCTCGAGTCAACGCACCCCGTAAAACCGTAAGAACCACCAGGCCGTAGTGTTGAAACCCCTCATTCCATCTCATAAGCAACCCGTCCCTCAGCACAATCTTTGAGGACTTCGCCGAGCTAGGGTTCGTTCGTTTCTGCTCCGCACGCCCCCGGAGTCGCAACAAGGACGCGTCATCCGTTTGCAACCGACCCCATTCGGCAAGCGTGAGGCCCAGCGTTCCATCTACCGGCGCAAAGTTACCAATGGGTGCTGCGCTCTCCACTGACGTCACTACCCCGGATGGCTTTGCGCCCCGTGGCTTACATCGTCCTGCGCCCGTTGAACAAGCACAGCCCTCCCCCGTCGGCATTCGGGATAATGTGTCTGCATTACTATGCCGCAACCCTTTTCGTTAAATCACCTAAAATAAAAATTCCTGTAATATCTCCAACCAACGTGACAGTTGGCCCGAAGGTCGATCCACACGCAAGGAGTATTGAAGGGCCGCGTGGTCCGTGTGGACCACGAATTCCCTACCGTGCAGGTAAGGCCTGTACTGTTGCCTGCGTCAACGTCGCATGGGCTAACACCGTTCCCGCCTGAACCACCACCGGCTCCACCCCAACATTAAGGACTTGTAAGAACAGCTCCTGACCGCCTCCCCACAGCGTCAACGCACCCACCAATGTAAGCCCCCGGGATACCGCCTTAGACGGGATAAGGAGGACACCTGCCTCCAGGTCAGACAGGTCCAACCGTCTACGGTAACGCAGCGAGACCAAATCTTGAGTACTGGGCGGACTCTCCAAAATTTCCTTAACCAGAGCCTGGACCGACAACCCCTGTATTTCGCGTCTATGTGGGGAATACAAAAAAAACCGCCGCCCTGACGGCATCTGAACACAAACCTGTTCGGTGAAAATCAGTAGGGGCATCCTACTAAAAGAAATCCGTGCCCAAAAGGCAGGGAACCGCTAATGTTTTCTAAATTAATACTGGCCCTGGTATCTCAATCTCCCCCAATGAAATGTGAGCATCTATTTGACCTACAACACCCATACTTCTCCCGTACGCCGCCACGCACACGTCAACCACCGGCGCCGCACGACGATTTGCAAAAGGCAACGTTTCGAAAACAACCTCCGATATGATAGTAGCCGAGGCGCCCGTGTCAACCAGAACCCGAACGTCCACCCCTTGTACACGCCCGACGATAACCGACGTGCCACTCTGCATGCCAGCTGTCACCATTGCGTGCGCGAGTTTGGCCACCCCTGCATTGACCAATCGATCGTTGCCCCCGACTAGAGAGCCCCCTTGTCCCGACGAGTGAAATCTGTGTGATTCCTATCTGAAACCTGATTTCCACCACCATCTGGCACAGAAGAATTCCCTCATCAAAACACTACACCATAGGGCCCACTGCATTTCTGACCAACACCGCCTAGCCAGTGAACTGGAACACGTACACCAGGTCCTTAAGATGAATGGATATTCGGACCGCATTATCTGCAAAGCTGTTTCTCCAACCATGGAGAAACAACCCCCTGAGACGCCGATCAAAACCATCACGTTACCATACATAGCAGGCGTTACCAAAACCATTTCCAAAATCTTAAAAAAACACAAGATCTAGGTCCGATTCAGGACAGTAAACAAAATTCGTGATCTAATCCCATCTGTGAAGGATGCCATTCCTGACATGCAATATCCTGGAGTCTACAAACTAAGTTGTACCTGTGGTGATGGGGAAACGAAACGTCATGTCTCGGACCATGTTCGCGAGCACAAGGCAAATCTGAAACACCAACTAATACCTCCGCCGTGGCTGACCATTGCTATAACGCTGTGGGCTCTCATGATATTGTTTTTTCCGAGACCAAGGTGCTCTGCAAACCTTCGGGCAACTATCAAAGGTTTGTTCATGAAGCCATCCAGATATATAAACATAGACATAACTTCAACCAGGAAGATGGATACAGATTGAGCAATCATTGGAAGGATGTTATTAACCAGGTAAAACCATAACTGCTTTTGGCCTGCCTTCATATCCGCATCTCCAATTTTCTAATCCTCCCACTCCGAGCCCCGCCCACTTCCCCTCCCAACCCTGGCATTTTTTTCCTTGCTCCTAATCCCTCTAGCAGCGCTCCACTTCCCCTACCCCACACCCCCCTCCACTCTCGCAACAGCCACCCCCCTACCCTCCCCCTACCCACACTCTAGCTCCCTTGTCATTCGGGGCCATTGATTGGTGTCCTGGAAAATACTTGATAAGCCACATAATCACTTAGAGCTCTTTTCATAATTGGCCAAGGCATATTCATTGCTGGATGAAGGTCTCCCTTAAGCCACCACCACCTCTCACAATCTTGCAATGATAACAATCCACTTAGTACCTGCACACAATCAGATTCCATCGCTCCATTCCCAGGCTGACCATCCGTCATCCCCTTGAGCAATGTATCCTGCCCAAGCCCACTTAATTTTCTCAATATATTGGGTGAGCGATGAAAAGAATTATGAATGTATTCAAATTACATGTAATTATGTGTAATATAGATACTGCCTGTCCTCCGCCCGCAGGAGCTGAAGGAGCGTGACGAGCTGCTGCGGCGCTCTGAGGCCGACCTGGTGGTGGCACAGGAAGTGGCACGAGAGCGTGGCACTGAAGCCGAGCGGCTGGGCGCCGAGGCCGCGGAGCTGAGTGTGACCATGCGTGACCTCTATGCCAACCAAGAGGTGCAGCAAACTGAGGTGGACACCCTGCGGGATGAAGCGCTGGAGTTGCAGCAACGGCTGCAGGAGACCAACACTTGCTTCGAGGAGACCGGTGGGTCGGGGCCTGTGCTCCCAATCTTTCTAAATCCACGGACCCATTGAACACTCATTTTTGTAGACCACTATGCACCAATAACTTATTTTCACGAGTTTGAACGAGTCTAAGTCCTAGAAACATTTCACACGTGGACCACTTCCATTGCCTAACATAGTAGGACTGCACTGGGTTTACTAAATGCTCTCTCGCTAAGTCCTTCCTGTGCATGTATTATTATTTTGGACCCTGTTTGAATGCAAGCTGGTGAATAAGTCTGAGGTACCTAATCCCTCTTAGCCCCGAGTCTCTGCTACTACTCCCGCTGCTGTTACTCTTCCTCCTGATGCTTGCTGCTCTTTCTCCACCTGCTGCCGCTGGTGGCTATACTGTCTTCATCGCCGTGGTTTTGTGTCCCTTTCGGCAGCCAATTCTCTGAAGCAACAGCATGAGCGTGCGGAGCTGTCTCAGGCAGATCTGGTGGCGATGCAGGCACGGCTAGGCGAGCACAAGGTGGAGAGCGAGCGGATGCTGCAGAATGAGAAGCGCCGTGCCCAGGAAGAGCTCGACAACACCAGGTGCGTAGCGCAGGCACCGGTGGCAGCGACGGTGAGATTGGGGGCATGGGGGGCGTGTTTAGGAGGGTGCTCGGTGGGTGTGGGAGTGATGGAATGGCGGTCCGTAGCGAGGTGGCAGAGGTGAGCGGTGGTGGAATGGCGGTAGAGTCACATCAAGGAGTCATGGCACGAGAAGGACAAATACGTGCAACGTCCAAGGTGTTCAGATCACGCATGTGCGAGCGTGTGCTTCCGAAGAGCAGAACACAGGGTAACTGAGGTTGAGTGATGGACATATGGGAAAGTAGAAAATCAAGGAACAATTTGTAATACAATCCACGTTTGAAAAAGTTCCCAGGCTGCTCTTCTTGTAGCACCAGTCGTACCATGGCCATGCAATTGCTTTTACTGAGATTTGGTGATCTGCACATATGCACCGTGGCCTTCAGCTTACCGCTTCTCGAATGCTCATTCTCTTCCTCTTCACTCCCCTTGCCCCGCTCTTTCCTTTACCTCCCCTACCCATTCGTGATCCCGAAGTACCCTATGTCGCGGTCTCTCATTCTTTAACCCTTGTATGCCCCTACCATCTAAATGATTAAATTCTGTCACTTTTTTTAAATATGTCAAACGCTTTGAATTAAGTCGCTCTATAAATATACAATTAGATTAGATATATAGGATAGTGCAGTGTGAGATCTTCCATGGTTCGGTGTTGGATTCTCAGTGCGAGTGAGCGAGCGAGTTAGTGAGCGTGGGAGTGCCCGTGCTTGACGCCGTGCTGCCTCCTTGTGGTGTTGTACAGGGGCAAGATGGAGTTCATCAAGGCCGAGCTGGGAGTCTCCAGGGCAGAGGAGGCCACGACGGCACAGGAAGTGGTGCGGCTGCAGTACACAATTCATCACGCGGATGCTGAGATGAATTTCATGCGCGGCCAGATCGACGGGCTGCAGCACCAGGTAACCAGAGGCTTAAGCTGCAGTCCCACACCTCTATTTGTGTGCACGTGAGTTCGCGTTTAAAGTCAATGTTAAAAAATATATATATTTCATGGAAGCAGGTTCTTAAGTACGAATGTTCGTAAGTCCGGTGTTCGTAAGCCGAGGACTGCCTATATACACTTATTTTTCACACTGATGTATAGATGCGCGCTGGGTTACTGAACATCCTCCGTTTAGGGACTGTACCACGTTACAATCCATCATCCCACCTCTAGTAGAAGTACCTACTACTACTAGACAATCTCCCTGTTGCTACGTGCATCTCGATCCCATCCCTTAATTTTACCTTTTAATGCACCTTTTGGGTTAATTGATTCATATATATGGGCTTTTATAGGTGTTATTTTGGGTTGTATGGATGGTGGTCGCCCATCCAAGCACCATCAAAGTTAAACCGTGCTTTTCTTCTAAAATATAATATTGGGTGTATTTTGGGTCATTTGGTCATGGGTGGTATGATGTATGGACATATGTGAAAAAGAGTTTCATAGCTGTTCAGATTCCTATATTTAAAATAAAGATACTGGTTCTGTATGTCTTCGTTGTATCTGAATGTTCTATAGTAACTGCACGCAGTCATTAAAATGCTTTGCCGTATCCCTCTGCTGCTTTATGGCCGTGGCCCACACAGCTCATTGAGAACAACAATCAGACGGGATCCCTGCAGGCGGGGATTCTGGGCTACCAGCGCATGGTGGCGGAGCTGCATGCTGCGCTGGCGCCATCCCACGAAAACTTGCAGAGCTTGCACGTACAGCTCCAGGATCTGCAAGTGGTGCACCAGCAGAGCGAGGCGAAGGTGAGCGCACAGCATTTGGCGTCACAAAGATCCCCTGTATAGCCTTAATAGACTATTGGGGCAAGTGCTGTTAGCGAGCACCTATGAAGGCCGGCACAGCATGCGAGGGGATGTGTGACCAGCACCATACCCATCTGCCTGTGTATCCCAAGTGGTGATGTTTACACACCGTCTAGGTGCTCATTTGAGGCTGAATCGACCTAGGGGAGGCCTAGGAACGATTCAGAAAATTGTCACTAGTGTTGGCCATGAGTGAGAATTTAACTCGGGTCGCTGGGTTCGTAGCGCAGCGCGCAAACTGCTAAAGTGCCGCTCCCCACGCACTCAATTTCACATACACACACGTGTGTGTGCACACCCACTTTCACTTCCAGCACGAGGCTGACTCATGACATCTCATGGAGGATCGCTGCAATGAACAAAATAGTTCCACGGTTCAGTTTGCAAATGCGAGTTTGCATTTTAAGTCAATGGTAACCGAAAATTAATACATTTCATGGAAACAGGTTCGTCAGTCGGATATCCGTAAGTTGATGACTGCCTGTATACACTTCTTTTTCATACTGATTGTACAGTATGGATGCGCACTGGGTTACTGAGCATCCTCTGTTTTGGAACTGTACCACGTTACGATCCACCATCCCACCTCTAGTAGAAGTACCTACTACTACGAGACCATCTGCTTCCCTCTGCTACATGCATCTCCCTCCCTGTTTTTGGTTGGAAAGCCATTTTAATCTGAGATTTTAATGCAGCTTTTGGGTTAATTCATATATGTGGGCTTTTATAGGTGTTCTCTTGGGTTGTATGGATGGTGGTAGTCCATCCAAGCACTATGGAAGTTCAGCCATGCTTTTCTTCCAAGATCTGAGGTGATTGGGTGCATTCTGGTAATTTGGTCATAGGTGGTGTATGGACATCTGTGTAAAAGAGCTTCATAGCTCATTACATTGCTCAATTATAAATAAAGATTCCGATTCGATGTGTCTGTTGTTGCATCTGTATGTTATACAATAACCGCACGCAATCGTTAAAATGCTTTTCTGTTTCTTTGCCGCCGTTTGCCCATGGCCCACACAGCTCATTGACAGGAATTGGCAGCTGGAATCTCTGCAGGCAGAGATTCAGTGGTATGAACGTGTGGTGGTGGAGCTGCACGCCGAGTTGGCGCCCTACCGCGACAACAGCCAGAGCACACACTCAGAGCAGCAGCGTCTGCAGAGCGAGGTGGAGGTGAGCACACAGCACTCGTGCGTCGCACACACACAAGTATATAATTTGCGTTAAACGTAAATAATATATTCATACACACGATTCAGTGTATGATGATAATGAGCTGGTCTAACCATCTCGTTAAGTCGTCATGGTCCTCATTTACAAATACAGATTATCTATCTATAGACACAATTCCATTATTGCTGTAAACAATGATAACGATAAGAATGATTTAGCACCTTTCTGTACACCGGGGCATCTCAGAGTGCTTTACATCACATCTCATCTCAACACGTTTGAAAGGGAACCCTCAATGACAGATGTCCCTGTGGGCACAAGGTGACTCAGCACCTGGCGTGAAATTGGCATTTGTCTGCCAGTAGGGGGTGCTGATTGTTGTGTGTAATCCCAGTTGAGCTCGTATATGTACTTAGTTGTGTGTAGTGTATAATGGGTCGGTTTGTCCACAGCTTCCTACGGTTGAGGAAGAGGACATCTCAATCTGCTCACTGGAGCCCGGCGTTCAAGAAGCCTCCCAAGACCTGCCCCCCAAGGCCTCCAACACCCTCCGCGCCTCTCACATTGACTAACACACACACATATCGACTGACAAACACACATATCGACTTACAAATATACATCGACTCACACACATGCATGGACCTAAACACACATGGACTTACACACACATATGGACTTACACACACACACACCGACTCACACACACACATGGACTTACACACACAATTTTATACGGACTTATACACACACATATCGACTAAGACACACACACATGGACCCCCGCACACACATCGACTGACACACACACAGACTGACACACACACATCGACTCACACACACACACTGCCCTACACACACATACACATATGGACTCACACACACAGACATCGACTTTAGATACACACAAAGACAAAGATCCCCCGTATAGCCTTAACAGACTGTAGGGGTAAGTGCTGTTAGCGAGCACCTATAAAGGCCGGAACGGCACACGAGGGGGTGGGTGGCCAGCACCACGCCCGACCGCCTTTGTCTCCCCAGTGGCGATGTTTATGCACCGCACCAGGTACTCATTTCAGGCTGAGTCGACCTAGGGGAGGCCCAGGACTGGTTCAGATAATCGTCACTGGTGTTGGCCGTGAGCGGGAATCGAACCCGGGTCGCCAGATTCATAGCGCAGCGAGCTAACTGCTACACTACCGCTCCCCACACAAATAGACAAATATCCCCCGTGTAGCCTTAACAGACTGTAGGGGCAAGTGCTGTTAGCGAGCACCTATGAAGGCAGGCACGGCACACGAGGGGTTGGGTGGCCAACACCACGCCTGGCCGCCTTTGTCTCCCTAGTGGCGATGTTTACACACCGCACCAGGTACTCATTTTAGGCTGAGTCGACCTAGGGGAGGCCAAGGACCGGTTCTGATAACCGTCACCGGTGTTGGCCATGAGCGGGAATCGAACTCGGGTCGCCGGGTTCACAGCGCAGCGCGCTAACCACTACACTACCGCTCCCCACACACACACGTAAACGTACACACACACATCGACTCGCACACATATGGACTCATCACACACACATACACATCGACGTACACACATATCGACTGACACATGTAATATTGCTCGCAGAGACGGCGTCTCTCTTCTGTTTGTTTATTATCAAATAAATATCAACCAATAACTCAATGTGCAACTGCGAGTGACTATATACACATGGGTGTTTCACACGACACGATTCTGGGATAACATAACCTCTTCTTGTAAGACAACTCGCGGACGATGAAGACGGCCTGGTCCCAGATCACGACGGCGTAGTTCCCCCACACCAAGCAGTGCCCTGAACCTTCACTCACACTGCTACTTATCCTCACCGGGCCCGACCACACCCTATGCCTTAATCCAATTGGTTCCCATCTAAGGAATGCTTATTAACTCGTCCTTCCCTACCATTGGCTCTCGTCGCGTGAATGCTCATGAACTCATTAGCAACCATGGTCCCGGTAACCCTTCCATTAGTAACTATGGTCCCGGGGAGCCCCACCGTCCGCTATCGCCCCGCACTGTCATTACAACACCCCCCCTTTGCAACGTCAATAACGGCTTCCGAACGCCGAGATGTAATAATTTGGTTTCGTGTACCTCTCGAGTCAACGCACCCCGTAAAACCGTAAGAACCACCAGGCCGTAGTGTTGAAACCCCTCATTCCATCTCATAAGCAACCCGTCCCTCAGCACAATCTTTGAGGACTTCGCCGAGCTAGGGTTCGTTCGTTTCTGCTCCGCACGCCCCCGGAGTCGCAACAAGGACGCGTCATCCGTTTGCAACCGACCCCATTCGGCAAGCGTGAGGCCCAGCGTTCCATCTACCGGCGCAAAGTTACCAATGGGTGCTGCGCTCTCCACTGACGTCACTACCCCGGATGGCTTTGCGCCCCGTGGCTTACATCGTCCTGCGCCCGTTGAACAAGCACAGCCCTCCCCCGTCGGCATTCGGGATAATGTGTCTGCATTACTATGCCGCAACCCTTTTCGTTAAATCACCTAAAATTAAAATTCCTGTAATATCTCCAACCAACGTGACAGTTGGCCCGAAGGTCGATCCACACGCAAGGAGTATTGAAGAGCCGCGTGGTCCGTGTGGACCACGAATTCCCTACCGTGCAGGTAAGGCCTGTACTGTTGCCTGCGTCAACGTCGCATGGGCTAACACCGTTCCCGCCTGAACCACCACCGGCTCCACCCCAACATTAAGGACTTGTAAGAACAGCTCCTGACCGCCTCCCCACAGCGTCAACGCACCCACCAATGTAAGCCCCCGGGATACCGCCTTAGACGGGATAAGGAGGACACCTGCCTCCAGGTCAGACAGGTCCAACCGTCTACGGTAACGCAGCGAGACCAAATCTTGAGTACTGGGCGGACTCTCCAAAATTTCCTTAACCAGAGCCTGGACCGACAACCCCTGTATTTCGCGTCTATGTGGGGAATACAAAAAAAAACCGCCGCCCTGACGGCATCTGAACACAAACCTGTTCGGTGAAAATCAGTAGGGGCATCCTACTAAAAGAAATCCGTGCCCAAAAGGCAGGGAACCGCTAATGTTTTCTAAATTAATACTGGCCCTGGTATCTCAATCTCCCCCAATGAAATGTGAGCATCTATTTGACCTACAACACCCATACTTCTCCCGTACGCCGCCACGCACACGTCAACCACCGGCGCCGCACGACGATTTGCAAAAGGCAACGTTTCGAAAACAACCTCCGATATGATAGTAGCCGAGGCGCCCGTGTCAACCAGAACCCGAACGTCCACCCCTTGTACACGCCCGACGATAACCGACGTGCCACTCTGCATGCCAGCTGTCACCATTGCGTGCGCGAGTTTGGCCACCCCTGCATTGACCAATCGATCGTTGCCCCCGACTAGAGAGCCCCCTTGTCCCGACGAGTGAAATCTGTGTGATTCCTATCTGAAACCTGATTTCCACCACCATCTGGCACAGAAGAATTCCCTCATCAAAACACTACACCATAGGGCCCACTGCATTTCTGACCAACACCACCTAGCCAGTGAACTGGAACACGTACACCAGGTCCTTAAGATGAATGGATATTCGGACCGCATTATCTGCAAAGCTGTTTCTCCAACCATGGAGAAACAACCCCCTGAGACGCCGATCAAAACCATCACGTTACCATACATAGCAGGCGTTACCAAAACCATTTCCAAAATCTTAAAAAAACACAAGATCTAGGTCCGATTCAGGACAGTAAACAAAATTCGTGATCTAATCCCATCTGTGAAGGATGCCATTCCTGACATGCAATATCCTGGAGTCTACAAACTAAGTTGTACCTATGGGGACCTCATTTGCCAATAAAAATATGATAATTGGTTCTTTACCCTTCTATCTGTGTGATTCCTATCTGATGACGCCTTTTGGCGTCATCTGGTCCAACCCATATGAGACTAGGCTCGAAGGAAAGCTGTCTCGGGTGTGGACCAATCAACTTCAGGGACAGTGCACATTATCAGAGTTATGTTCTTTTGTTTGTATTATGACTGCAGGTATTGCGGTCTATGCAAACATGACTCCTTGCAAAAAGGTGTCAGTTTTGTTGCCAGATAGAAGGGTAAAGAACCAATTATCATAAGTTGTACCTGTGGTGATGGGGAAACGAAACGTCATGTCTCGGACCATGTTCGCGAGCACAAGGCAAATCTGAAACACCAACTAATACCTCCGCCGTGGCTGACCATTGCTATAACGCTGTGGGCTCTCATGATATTGTTTTTTCCGAGACCAAGGTGCTCTGCAAACCTTCGGGCAACTATCAAAGGTTTGTTCATGAAGCCATCCAGATATATAAACATAGACATAACTTCAACCAGGAAGATGGATACAGATTGAGCAATCATTGGAAGGATGTTATTAACCAGGTAAAACCATAACTGCTTTTGGCCTGCCTTCATATCCGCATCTCCAATTTTCTAATCCTCCCACTCCGAGCCCCGCCCACTTCCCCTCCCAACCCTGGCATTTTTTTCCTTGCTCCTAATCCCTCTAGCAGCGCTCCACTTCCCCTACCCCACACCCCCCTCTCTATCTCTCCTCCCTGGCTCCTCCCCACTCTCTTACCTATATAGCCTCTTGTCACGACAGCCCTTTTGCCCACTTCAGCAATTGTTTCTTGCTGTGGTTGTCCCACCTGATGACGGACGCTTGTCTTGCGCCCGAAACGTCATGATTTTATTTATTTTATTTTATACCTACGTGACTTTACCGAAATAACCAAAGATCCCTGCAGTCACTAAAACTTCAAATCGAGATTTAACACACACACATCGACTGGCACACACATCGACTGAGACACACACACATGGTGGCAGACACGCACATGGACTCACACGCAGACAAGAACTTAGACACAATAATAAATATATTAAGACTGACCAATTTTCGAAATATTAGTTGTCAGCATACAAACTAAAATATTTTTAGATTTCCAAGGTATTATCACAACCCACCCCCACCAGCACCTCCCCTTCTTCCTAACAGGGCGTTGCGGTTTAATAAACATATTCCTGTGGAGGGAGCTGGTAAGAACGTTGGGTTGCTCGGTCAATGGCCAGGGTCAACGGCGGCGTGGTGTATTCCGTAAATTTGGCCCACCCTCCACCCAGTCCCACCCAGCCCCTCCCCACCCTCCCCTCTCCACCCAGCCCCACCCCTACCATTTTTGGACGGACGGACACAATAATCCCTTGTGGGCTGGTGTAACAAGGAGGTTCCTACCAGTACAAGCTTTACTACCCAGCATCGCCCGAGACTTGGATTCTTGTCTTGGATTAATACACTGGCCTACGCGGAGGGTTGGGGGGCGTGGATGCATGACGTCAGCAGTCACACTGTGTAACGCTTTCGCATGTGGGTGACATCACAGATGTGACGTCACCGCTGACTTGCCGTGCAAAATATATCCATTATTGCGCCCACCCCCCCCCCAAAAAAAATACAAAAGTCTATTTTAATATTTTTTCATTGTGTACAGTCGGGAAGCTACTGTGATGCCACCACTACGGAGTCGATCGGCGGGTGCCCCCTCCTACGATCTCGCCGCCCCGAGCGGCGAGGGCGACGCTGCTTCCCCCTCACCACCTCCCACCTAAACACACACTCACGCATTCCCCCCACACATAGAGCGCGAGAAGAGATCCCCTGGCTGACAGGTTTTAACCCGGAAGCCCTGGTATAGGGATAATCTTCACGGTTTCCTGCGGCCAGGGAATTAGACGGTCTCCTCCGACGCTAACGCACACCGCGGCGTCGTGACTCGAGTGGAAATTACATGATCACGACGGGGCTGTCCCGCCACCACGGTTGAAACGCACCCCCCACACACACATATCGACAAGGCAGACAGGTGCGCGCAGCCACGAAAGAAGGGAGAAGCCAGGGGGGAGGTGGGGGGCGGCTGATTAGCAGAACAAAGGCGCCATGGACCGCCGCCAGCGCCCCAGTCAAGCCAGCTGATTAGCGGGTACGTTGTGCTCGGGAACCGCCGGCACGAAGCCGCCCACACCGAACCTTTGTTACGGAAGCCGCGGCTGATTGGCATAACAAAAGGCGCCGCGGGCGTGGACGGGCTCATTGTTAGAGCAATCGGGAATGGGGCTGAACGAGCGTGACGACCTGATTGGCCGAGAAGGCGCTCGGGTCGGCATTCTTTGATGTAGATGGGGGATAAAAAGGGGACGCAGAGAGGTAAACGTGCTCTTACTCCAAAAAGTCAGCGCTCGAGATGGCTACCAGCTCGGCCACCCGAACGTCCGTGCGACGCGTCGAGGTGAGCGGCGAGGAGACCAACGGAACGCCGAGCGCATCCAACCGTGAGTAAAGATGTGAAAGAGTATCCAAATCCGCTTAGAGCGTATCGAATTAGGTAAACCGGGAATAGACCCTTGGGCGTTAGCGTAGGTCAGCCTTGTCGATCCACACTGATTTAACAGCAAATCACAGGTAGCGGATAATAAATCATTAACAAGTAATCGTAGCCTCGTGCGGTTTCGACGAGAAGTGTGAACGCGCGCGGTGCTGGGTGTACGTGCGCTCG